GTTCGAAACACGTTTATACTAGTCATGTTTATAGAATTTTAGCTGTGTGTGAAAAGGCTGTGTATTTTAATGTACCATGTACGGACATGCTGAAAAACAGTTTATGCAGAGCTGAAATCATGTTTTTTAATCACCGTATTTAAATAAATAAACAAACAAAACTTGCTCACTGGTATGCAATATCAAGGTCATGTTCGAAGCTCCCGGTGGGCCTAATTCTATTGGTCAGATTTTATTACTCAGAGATTTTTTCTATTTGTATTTCCTCTTCAGAGGTATTTATTCGGTTATAAAATACATTTTACAACAAATAATTCAAACTGAAATATACATTCAACTTACACCTCATCTCTTGAAATCTTCACAATAAGATAAAATCAAGGGCTTTAATGTTGAAGGTCATTTGATATAACATCTGAAATGTTATCCAAACACAGTTCATTTTTAAAAACATGCCAAATTGCAAGACTGTTGTATGTTTTCCCTTGGAAGTATACATGTAGTTTAACATGTGTATATTGTGGATATGTAATAATTACATTTATATAGTGTTGGAAAAATTATAATCTGCACAAACATCGGGTATTTTCGTTTATTATCAGTGTTTCCTTGAAGTTATACCGCCGATAAAGGCGATAATGCAACTCTCTCTCTCTCTCTCTTCAGATGAACTGAACTGTATTGTTCCCATTCCAATACAATTTACATATACTTACGAACCAAGTCATAATTGTCTGGCGGCCGCCAGATAATTCTATCTTTCCTTATCATGATTATGTTATTTTCCTTCTATCTTCTTCACTTTCTACCTTTTCTTATGTTATTCTTTGTTGTTATCCTTCCACCTTCTTCTCTTTCTATTTTCCGTATGTTACTCTTTGCTTTTATACTTCTATCATTTCCTCTTTCTATTTTCATTTTGAAATTCTTTGTTTTCCTTTCTATCTTCTGTTCTTTCCTGTCATTATTCTTTGTTTTTATCTTTCTATCTTCTCTTTCTATCTCGCTATCTTCTCTTTCTATCTCTCATGTTATTCTTTGTTTTATTTCTCTTTCTATCTGCATCATAACGTACGGAAATATAGCTAGATTATTTGGCGGCCGCCAGATAATTCTATCTTTCCATGTTATGTTGCTTGACTTCTATCGTCTTCTCTTTCTAATGGTTGAGTGCAAATGAGGTATTGCCTGGGTTATCAGGCTACACATCAAGAGAAAATATTAACAAAATTATCCATTTTCAATGTTTAGGTAAGATTCAAAGCATACTAGCTGACATTAGAAGGCGGACGTGGTTTATTTAAAAACGCTTAAGAAAAGCCTGAAATACAGGCGCGGATCCAGGGGAAGGAGTGTGCTTGGCCCCCTCCCCCTCCCCGCCAAAATAAAAGAGAAAGAGAGAATGAGAATAAGGGTAAGGGAAATAAAGAAGAGAGGAAGAAGAATAGAAAGGGGGAAGAAGGAGATCCTTTATTGTAACTATTTTTTGTATACAACTCGTGAAATATATTGACCTGTTTCGTTTTGTTTATTTTAAAATTAATCAAGTTTATTTGTAAACACTAGTATTGGCGGATCCAGCGGGAGGGGGGGGGGGGGTAATATGATGTACATTTTGTTTCCATAATAACGGGAGACGGTCAATCCCATAAATACAAGAAAAATGGAGGAGGGGGAGCCAATAACAAATAAATAAATAGCAACAAAACGAACAAACAATAAATGAATCAGAAAATAAAACGAAATCGGGGAGATGGCCTCGGACCTCAAATTATCACCTTATTAATCAATCAATAATGATACCCCCTTCTACCTTTCACTCTATATCACCGATTGCGCTCTTATCCCTCCTTTTCTAATATTCCTCTCTTCCTTCATTCCTTCCTTTCCTTTTTTTATTTGTCCTTATAACATTCTATTGTCTTTTGTTGTCTTCTACTATTTCTCCCCGTCTATGTCTCTCTCTCTACAGTTATTTAGGATATCTTAAGTCTTATGGGGGGGGGGGGGGGGGTGGGCCGTCTCGGCCTACTGAATTCATTTATGTTCGTTTTTTTTTAGGTACCTTTTTCCAGTTTCGGAATTATGGACCCTATTTCATTTTCGGATTATGAACCCTATTACATATTTCGGAAATACGAACCTTCGGACAACCACCCTCCCTCCCCCCCCCCCCAAGGAACGATAACTCCCGTGGGCTATAACATCCGAGGACAAATACCCCCCCCCCGGAACGAATATCCACGGAGAATTAGCTCCCCTAGGACAAATATGCCCCAAGGACAAATATACGCCCCCCCCCCCCCCCGTTCAATGAAGGGGAAGTCCACCCTGATGATAATTTGCATTTTTTCGGGGGGGGGGGGTGAAAATCAAAGGGGGTAATTTTCCGAGGGGGAGGGGATAACTGCCTTGGCCGGGGGTGTTCGTCCTATTACCCTTTTATTTATATCAAGTCTCCTCTTCCTCCCATGTAGATTTCCTCTCCCACGAATCCTTCATTCTTATCCAGTTTCTGATTCTTCCCATCTATTTAAATATTTCCTTGTATACTTTATTCCGTTACAGTCGCCTCTTCGTTCCATATATTTCCTATCTCTGATATCATTTAATCTTTAATATCTACTAAATTCCCTTCCCTTTTATCCTTTATTCTTTGATTGGTCATCTGAAGACATCACCCTTCATGGATGTTTACAAGTCCCGTCAGACATTGATTGATTAACAAGTAAATGACATGAGGTCACTGTCCTCCACACCTCTACCTTACCCCGTCTTTCTACTTCCCTCTCTGCCCTCTCCCTCTCTCTCTCTCTCCTTCTCTCTCCCTCCTTTACGTGATTACATTTCCCAGACATGTTTTGACAGTTCTTATCTAAGAAATATGACACGCCCCAGCCAGCTGAAACTGAAAGGGCTTGTATAGTCTGCCAATTCAGACGTCATACCATAAATGACAACTGAAAACAAGCAAATATTTGCTTTAAAAAATAAACTTGCAAATTATTATTTAGCCAATGAGAAGAGCTAACTTGTCATCTGAAAATCTGCATTTCGAGATAGAACGAGATTGTACGAATCGTTGTTGTAGTGGTTTTAAAATGGAATTCTTGTGTCCGAAACTAGACTTTTAGCTTCTATACCATTGATGGTTCCAACAACGTGTGTAAGGGAATTAATCTTTCGGATAACTTTCATCTGATTTTCGGATTTATCGTTAAACATGGATATTCTAAAAGTGGGATACCGTCATAGAATCAGGTAAGTATGCAATACTTTATCAATCTGTAGCTTAAAAATCTGCAGCTGCTTGTTTATTCTTAGTTGGGTCGTTTGTATTTTCAAACCAGAATGAGCAAAGCGGTATGGGAATATTTTAACAACTCATGTCCTATGTAATTATCAAACTTGCGTGCCTCGCGTATCGATGAATGAACTTGCTTGCTTTTGTTTTGTCTTCGGGTTACTAGGTTACACGCTGGGGTAGTTTAAGTTTATCAGACCATTATAATGTTCAATGTATTTGTGGCTGCTTTTACCTCTTGAAATAAAGGCTCTTCGTTATTCAAATATTCAACAATTCTTCTGAATTAATGATGGTATTGTGAAATCCAACCCAAACTCGTTATTTCTCATTATCAAAGAACATTTTTTTCAGCTAATTACAAACAATGCCTGGTTGGCTAAGCCTATGTAGATGTACGCGCTACCTTTCCCTTTCTAGTCTGGTGAACGACCATCATGTGCAGTACGTCCGAACTTGTGGAATCAAGTCAGTCAATCGGCAATTTCCATTCATACAGATCAAAAATAGGAATCCCCATACATGACTCACTCACAATAACACACACATTTTTATTTATGTTTTGAGGAATCAAGAAAATAATCATTTTCGTATCAATGTCTAGCCAATGAAATCAACTAAGTAATCATTTTCGTATCATTCTGTCGCCAATGAAATCAACTAAGTAACCATTTTCGTATCATTCTGTCGGCAATGACATCAAGTAAATAATCATTTTCGTATCATTCTGTCGGCATTGACATCATTTAATTAATCACTTTCGTATCATTCTGTCGGCAATGGAATCAAGTAAATATTCATTTTCGTATCAATGTCTAGCCAATGAAATCAACTAATTAATCATTTTGTCGTCAAGGAAATCAAGTAAATAATAATTTTTGTATCATTCTCTCGACAATGACATCAAGTAAATAATCATTTTTGAACCATTCTGTCGGCAAAAAAATAACTAAGTAATTATTTTTGTATCATTCTGTCGGCAATGAAATCAAGTAAATAATCATTTCGTATCATTGTCTTGGCAATGAAATCAACTTTATAATCATTTTCGTATCATTATGTCGTGTGTTTATGCTCGGAATGAAAAGAGTATTCTTTTACACTATTGTGATGTAATAATAAACTGATTGTGACGTCAGTGGCAAGCGCGCATCGGTATGATAAAATAAAACAAATAACTTGACTTTCCGCGTACGCGTGTGCAACTTTTGAGAGTTCTTTGGATACGCGCTCGCAGACTTAGCGCGCACATTTCTTTTTGTTATTAACCACAATTCCTCGGTTAGCAAACGGTGAGCGTACGGTGAGCAAACGGTGAGCAAACGGTGAGGAACCGAAGTTGGGCGTACGGTGAACGGATCCTCGCCGTTCACCGTACACAGTTCGGTGCGGTTTACGGAGCGGAACCGATGCCAAAACCTTTGAGCGGTAGTGTATATGTATAAAACAGAGGGGGAAAAACAGTAATGCAAATGCCCTTGGGCAGGTTTCTTGAAAATCCCTCGATTCATGTTAGATAATAAAACACAAAGGAGACACAATCAAGAAAGTAAAATTTCACTTTCACATACAATCCACACTTCTTTAAAAAAAAGTAAAATAGTTTTCTCCCTTTCAGATGGATGTAACTAACATGTGTAGTTTCAGAAAGATTACAAAAATCTTGATATATGAGTGAAAAGAAGTCCAAACATACCCTTTCTCTAGACTGCTGCATTGCCGGCTGTGGTCGCTGATTCTGGATTTTGAATTAGAAAGAAAAGTACTTTTCACATTAACTTGAAAAATACATGTACCGTAGGTTCAATGGTGAGTAATCAGTACATTTAACATTTATAGTCAAGGTCCATACTGATAGAACCTTATTAGCTATAGTACATAAAATAATTGACAACTAGGCTTGAAGGTTTTATGATGGGCCCTGGGGGGTGTTTCACAAAGATCCTAAGTCGAACTTAACTCTAAGTTGGACTTAAATATTATGGAGAGCCATTTGTAGTCTTATAATGAATTACATTCAAAAGCAAAATTCAAGTATTTTAGCCTTTACATAAATTCCACATTGAGAACATGAAATCTCCCAAGATAATAGAAAATATGAATGATTTGAATCAACATTTTATGCCTTTTAAAATAATTTTTACAAAATATTTTCAATGATGCTAACGGCTTTCCATAATTATTAAGTCCAACTTAGAGATAAGTTCAACTTTGGATCTTTGTGAAACAACCCCCAGGACAATAATTAGGAATATAATGTGGCATACACTGCCCATTCATGTCAAAGCTTGCATGCCGTTTTCACAACTGTCCCGTCATCCGTCACTTCGTAATTTGTAGGCATTCACAGGTCTAAATGTCCTCATAATACAGGACAATTTTAATTACAGTATTGACAAATTTCCCAACAACTTATAGGCCATATTCCTAAAAATAATCAACGCTTAAATTAAAATTGAAACATGTCATCCTAAAAGCTTGCTCAGTCATTTAAATGTATAGAATGATCAAATGCACAGATCCAATGAATGAGGCTTATGCAGGGCTCAACACAAACAGTCACCTACAGCGTAGGACCCCCGAGCACCCCAAATACAAATCCAGACACAGAAAATTGTTACATAAGGCTCTCAAAAGTTCAATCTGGAACCCTTCCTAAAATGTTAGTGTGGTGCCCTTGCTTTATTACAGATGCTCAAAGTCCCTACATTTAAAACATTGCACAAAATGTCTTGCATACACCTGTACATGTATAAACATGTATAGTGAAACCTGTTCATAAAGACCACTCAAGGGAGCTATTTAAAAGATAAGGTGGTGTATACAGGCAGGTGATCTTAACGTACATGATCTTTTAATCAACATTTCAATGAGAAACTCTGTTCAACAGAAATAGAAAATGTCTTGTTTATTCACTTCATTGACAGGCGGTCTTTCTACAAAGGTGGTCACTAGAGCATGTTTCATTGAATTTTCAGATTAACGCCCTTATAATCTCTATACTAGACGCATGCTATTATGCTCTGCCTTTTGAATAAGATAGGGTCCAGCCAAACTCACAGCTGGCTTGAAACAAATGACTAATCTGAACTATTTGGCAAGTGGAAGTAGAAATAAATCAGCTGGATGTCATCTTACATCTGCTTGTAATCCGAGTCATACAAGAACTGCATTGATTTACAGTCAAACCTGTCTATAGCAACCGCCCGAGGGAAACACAACAAGTGGTCTTTGTAGACAGGTTGCTTTAGTACATGTTTCAATGAGAAGCCATTTTCACGGGAAACAAAAAATGTGGTCTTTGTAGACACATGGTCACTCACTAATTCAGGTTTGACTGTATTACATATGCTTTATACATGAACGTATTCATGTGAATTGGCATTGTAGAACAAATTGTGTTTGGAGTCAGAAGGGCGTTAACTTGTATTCATTACCCTTCTTGCTCCAGACAGACTTTTGAAGTTCCTCTTCTAGAAACCATCTTTAATCAACAGGTGTGTTTTGAGTTATAACAAGAACTACATTTATAAATGAAATATGTATAAAGACCTACATTGTTCTATCACATACATGTAATGGGAACTAGTATTCTTAAAGCCAAAGTCCACCAAGACCAGATTATCAATTATCATTATATACTTACCGCATCTTCTATTGGCACACACGGCTCGTTCAGTACAATTTCCTGTAAGGAGGAAATAGATCATCGAGTGATTAAAAACACATGTATGTCTGTTTTACTGATTGTACAGTTGTACTGATTTCAGAAATTTATACGCTTTGTCACAATGAAACGTTATTGATACATGTATTGTTTCTAAATTCTATATATCCATTTTGCATTTATGTAACATCGTATGTTTGGAGCCACAATGGCATTGATCCATATTACTTTGACATGGAGTTAATGCCCTTGAACCCCCAAACAGATGACATGTTACATGTGTCCTTAATATCGTTGTACATTGTTTAACACATATTCGATCATAAATAATGCGACATATTATCCCTGCATTGCCAATTGTCAACATGATCTGGACTTTTTCTCATTTCTACTTTTACATTCTTTTCTTTGGTAGTATCTACATGTACATGTATACAATTACTATAACATGTGCTTCTTTTGTTAATAATCAAGATTGTTAATACAGTGATAATGAAACAAATTATAATGGTTACACCATTGAGGTGTGGCAACAAAACTGTGTCAAAGTCCATGTTAGGGCTTGTTAAAAAATTGAATGTAAAATCTTTTGAATGAAAATTCAATAAATGGCAACTACATGTATTAGGTTATGGGACACAATGCTTAACAGCTGTACTACATGTACATACAGCAAGCACTTTAGAAAGTCAATGAACTGTGTTCTGTAGAAGGGCAGGTCCAAGCTATTTGCTTTGTGACGTACGGGACATTCAGAGACTTTAAACAAGAAATAACAATGGATGACATGATTTATATGACTGTCTTTTGGTATGAGTCTGTGGCTATTATGGGCAAGTTCATTTGTGGAAAGTTTTAGTTATGACCAATTCATAAATTAATTTTTTAATGTAATTAATGTGCTGCGTGACGTACGAGACCAGAGAATTTCTGACTTTTTAAAAAATAAGTTCATCATAAAAGTTCTCTGAATTTATTAAGTTATGAGATTTATGGTAATGATATCTTAATTCATTATGGAATCAAGCATTAATCACAACTATTACCATATTTTTCTGAACTTTCGTTATGATGTAATATACCAAAACATAAATGTGTGCATGTGACGTACGGGACACGTGACGTACGGGACAACTTTTCCCTATGGGAAAATGCATTGAAATGGAGAATTTTCGTCAAAATGTGAACAATTTTAACTTAAATCAGTGACAATTAGAGTGTTTTAGAACCCAATTAGATCCTCTGACCATCATTTAATATCATCTGTGTTAATTTATGAGGTAAATCAATACAAATATTACTTTAACAAAGAAAACAAATTGAATTTCAAATTTCATCTTTTGCACAAGCTGCGCCTTGAGCATTTGACTGTCAAGTGGATTTGGCGCCTTATAAATCATATGTATTATTATTATTATTATTATTATTAATATTCATACACACTATATTACCATTTTTATTCCATTTACCCATCTATCATGTGCAGTCATGCTTCTTTTCTCATTTCTTTTATCCATTCCATTCAACATTGCAAAATTTTTTTAAACAATAATTAATGAAGAAGATGAACTTGAACTTGAAAACTTTTATTTAAACTTGTTTGAAACACAGGGGCACACTCGGCACATCATATTTTGTCAAAGAACATTTCTTATGCTCTAAGTGTTTGTGAACAAAGATACATTAAAAATATGAAGTCTTTTCTTCATAGCTTGTTTGAATTATTTGATAGTAATATCATAGAATTTTGAAGGAATTCAAAGATAATGCTGGACATATTGTCTTTTTTATATCCTTTTATCACAGATAAGAACATGTATATGTTGCTGTCGTATATTCAAGAATTTTGATGTACATTAATGTAGCCTACATGTTTGTGAAAGATGGATACAAAAATATAAATCTTGAATGTATTTCGTATTGATTAAAACATCTTATTAACACCACCAGATATAAGAAATTAAAACCCTAAAGGTTTGTGTGACCTTTTCCACAATTCAAAAGATTAATTTAAAGCAAACTCAACAAAAATGCATGGGTGTAAAAGTGATAAAAATCTTAAGTGGGTGAGAGTGTGAAATACTCAAAAAGGCTATCCTTCCTTAAAAGTTATGATTTAGTTTTTAGGGGATCAGAATTCCCGAGCTGGCTCCATAACATGTAAAGTGCATGCTGTAATCCTTTACCATCATATATGACATTTAAATAGAATATAAAAAACCTCACATGGAGAGCTTGATAGCATACATGTGCTATTCTTACCTGCAGCATCTATGAGTTGTAAAAGCCAGCTTCTGGTGCATCCACTACCATATCATTTCATTAGACTCATTCCAGGAACTAGTACACTATTATGATTTACATATTTAGCATCCTGCCATTGTTGGAGACATGATCAACTGGCAAAATACTAAAGTTGATAATACCAGGGGTCTGGCTTGAAGACTAATTACATTAACAACAATTACATAAAACAACAACAAAAGTACAAACAAGTAAATTCCTAGAAGGGACCCATTTGGAATGTTCATATATCCCTGTATACAACAAGTTTCCTAACACAGTATATATTCTCCTTTTGGTCATTTCCTTTTTCACATCTCGCATTGGTTTTATACATGTATGGGGTTGTCCCGTACATCACACACTTGTCCTGTACGTCACATTTCTTAATTTGATTATGTAATCAACACAGAATTTTTGAAATTTTTGTTAAACCTATTTTTTGTTAGGTATTCATCTAAATTAGAACTTCCTAGAATATCTTTTAAAAAAAAATTATTTTCATAATTAAAATTAAACAAATTATGATCAAATTGTGACGTACGGGACATCACACTTTGGAACCTACCTCATTTGCATAATTAATTAATTTTGAAAGTTTTTATATTTTTTTCCTATTTTCTAGCATGATGGTCTTCATGTCCTGAGATATTTAATTTTAAACAAATAATTCAACTGAGATACAAAAATAAAAATGTAATGTCCCGTACATCACGCTAATTAATACAAATCGAAGTTCGTGACCTTGGCACTCTTCGTATTTTGATAAGTTTTTAAATTTTTTATCAGATTCATAAAATTCATAGTTTCAGCTTTAAAATGAGGTATAGTTTGTTAAATATATATAAAGATGAAATTTGACCCCCAGAGGAGACAATAGCTTAGACCTGCCCAGAAACAGAAGGGTTAAATTCCGATTGGAGTAATTCGGGGTTTATTACGGGAACTAGTGTTATTTTTAGGGTCTACGGTAGAAACATGCTGAAAGTGAGACTGAGTTTTGACTGCACATACCTGTGTTCTACTGACCGAGTTGTCCTTGTGGTAATCTACTAGATCATTTATGGAAGTGAATTTGACCACCCAAAGAAAGTATTTCCCGGCCAAATCGGTTAGAATTTTGAAATGTTGTACTTGATCACGGAACCTGCAAAATAGGAAATAAGAACAATAACATCTACAAGTGTACAGCATTGAAAGAAAAGATGAGAAGTATAGGAATTTGCAACATAAGTAATAATAAATTCATCTACATTTCATTGACTCTCTAACTCCTTTACTTTTACACAAACATATTTTTGTTTGTTTTGTTCTCAAAGTACTGTATGAGCTGATATTTTTGGATGTGCAATGTGCATCCAGAATTGCGTTCGACAGGCTACTTACAATACATATTTGCACATACCCGCAATGAAAGCTCATTTTCACACATTGTTGAATTCACAATCCTAATCATTTGTACAATGTGGGAAAATAAAATACACCTGTACTTGCAGTTCACAATTTCACATCTATTACTTTCATATCTTGCATTTTTATGGTCAAATGAATAATATTAACAAAAACATCAATAATAATAATAATAATAATAATATAATAATAACAACAATAATAATTAGAAAAATATTAATAAAATAATATTTTAAAAAAAATAAAAAATAAAATAAAAAATAATAATAACTCTACTACGACTACTTCTAATAATAACAATAGCATTTGAATCAATTGACATTGGTAATTATAATTACAATATAAAATGCTTAGAAATGAAGTTCTAATTATCATATGTTATTATTTGCATGATTACAATGTAAAAATTGACTTACTTGACAGAGAGTGAAAAGTTTCCACTATCGGGATTGCTTTCTGAATCTCTGATCATGAAGGCACCATCACTTGGCATGGACATCAAGTATTCCTCTGCCACTTTTCTTGAGATTTTCCCAACATACCATCTATCATGATGAAGAAAGTAAAGAGAGAAATGGAGAGGGATGGATGGAATAATGAACTCTCAGGACTCCCACTTTGGTCGACATTCGACAAATACATATACAGCACACATTAGAAAGCCACACTTTTGCAGATGTACTCTATGAAGTCTATATGTGCCATGCATTCCAAACAGTGTGGCAAGCTTTGTATAATACATTCTCCTGTGAAAACAGGATTTATCAGCAGCTGAGTTGCGTTATTAAATTAGGAAGTCATTTCTCTAATTAATGCAACCAAATATAATGCATTTACGTCTTTATAGATAAAGTTGAGTTCTGGCCATGCGATTGCATTGTGAAAGAAACAGTGTGGAATTGATTAGAAAAGGTTGATCATCTAGCATGTACATGTTAATAATAGTATTGATGTGTACTGCAAGGTTCTGGAATCATCAAAATGATAAGAAATTTGGCCCAGTCTTGGTAAAGTTACAAGCGCTGTACACATGTATTTGGGACTACACGAACATGTGGCATAAAAATCTGTCCTGATTTTTATGCTGTTACATGCCATATTGAGAATAATAAGGCATTTAAAGAGCCATGCTTTTCAGGGAACATTTTTTATCTAATGTTGTTCCACACATGCATAATAACAATGATAGGCTCACAAATTTTATTTCACCTCTTCCCAGAACTCAACCTTCTCTTTAAGTGCCTCCATACAAGTTGAATTTTATCAAACAGTGTATGCGTTTATAGGAGTGTGACCTTGGCTTTTGTGACATGACAATGGACAGGGCCCATTGTCCTTGGCATCGTCTAAGGCTTGTACAGTGTACATGTTTCTCTTGCAGAACAACTTCAGATCTCACATTTGAGTTGTATACAGTACAAAATATACCTGTACAGTACATGTACTGTCCCAACTTCCCACAATCTACGATTCTTATTCCAAAAAGTTTGCTAGAATACTTTTTTAAAACTTCTGTCGTGAATACATGAATGCAAAACATGAAACGACACGAGAGCTGACAAATATCCACTCAAAATACATACACTTATATTGGAAATACCGGTAATATTATTACCGGTATTTAATATTACCGGTATTTCCAAAATATATTCAAGTTTATGCAAGTTTACTTTATAATAGCAACGAGCTACAAAATATAATTACATTTGCCTGTTATACATTATTGTAGTTCATTAGTCAGAATGCCAATTGCATGGCTAGGTAGGACGACCATTTAGGCTTGCCCTACCTAAAAACACATGTAATAATATGCAATTTGCATTCTGACTATTGAAATAGAATAATTTATAACTGGTGAATGAAATAATTCATACACTGTACATGTAATTACTGTAGGCACTTCACAAAGACATACATGCATTTACCAGGGCTCCACACAAACTTTTTGAAAGTTGTCTGGATGCAACTTTATACAGTCATTGCGCATGAGCCATGTATACAATTCCTTATTTATTTCATTTGTTATTAATTTTCATTCATTTATTTATTTTAAAAATGTAATTAATTAATTTATTTATTTATTTACTAAAGCCCCACTACGGTCTTCTTTTTCTTATGTTGATTGAGAGCTGAGTTGATGAGATAACCACCAGTCTTTTTTTTTCCTTTCCTTTTTTTTGGGGGGGGGGGGGGGTCTAGTCTTGGATTTTGGGTGCCTATGTATCCCTGGCATCTGTTGTGTCGAGCCCTGCATACATGTATATACAGGTACATGTATATGCATTTAAAATTAATTTCACTATGAAAATGGCCTTTTCACTGAACATGTCAAAGAAATAAAGAGGCCCAGAACATGACTTACGGGTGTGATTTCTCAATTTTCAGATAGTTTTCTGGTACTAATCCTTGTTTTGCTCCTTGATGGGCAAGCAACCAATGTCTGTCTTCTCTTTTGATCACCTGAAAGAAGAAAAAAAAAGAGATCCATGTATACTAAACACCGTTTAATTTATGCCAACAAACTATTGTTGCTGGCAGTGGTACAGCAGTAGAGGGCAGCAAATTAAAAGTTTCATCATGACCATAATATTTGTTCAGATCTACATGTACATACATGTACATGTAGGTGATACTGCCAAAGATGTAGCAGCATTAAGAACAATTCATACATGTAAATCACAACAGATTATTCCAACTGTTTTAACAGCCATACACACCTGTCAACTCTTTAACATACATGTACATGTACAAATTAAGACTAACAGTATTCCCTCGCAGATGGCAGCATAACACTATGGTGTAAAATACATTGTACATGTGCACATTGACAATTGGCCACAATCGCCACACCAAGCATAAACAACATAACTTATTCATTAAATAAAATGAATTTTGACACATAATAAGAATTGAAGTATTAAATACAATTTTATCAGTCACCATGGATTTCAAAATCTGATTGTCTACACGTTTAATCATTAGTGTGGAGACCAGGGTGGTGTTCTGAGCAAATTTTGTCTAGAAAATAAACTGGTATTCTGAGACCAAATCTCTTACTCCTCAGATGCCCATTAGAGTTACATGTACAGTTGTAAATGTATATGATATGCACAACTTTATAATTATAATATAAGCCACTATCATTATAGCTGGAGATGGACTGCAGTGGCAGAGACAGATGTCTGCTGAAGAAACAGATGCTAAAGGAAGAGAACCAAGGTCTTGAAGGTAGGATGGAGCAGGGTCGTGATTGACTTTGTAAACAAAAAGGACTTTGAATATGATTTTGTCATGGATCTGGAGCCAGTGTAGGGATTGTAAAACAGGGGTAATGTGTTCAGACTCTTTGAGTACGGGTAACTAGTCTAGTGGCAGTATTTTGTGTTCTCCGAAGGGGTGCAAAGTGAGAGGGGAGGAGACCAGCAAGCAAACCATTGCAATAGCCGAATAAGAAGAAAAAGAGGCATGAACTATTCATCCGGTGGCTGAAGTGTCAAGAAACTTCCTAATCTGACCAAATTATATTGGTGCCCCATGAATCACATCTGCAGATATTTCTGATGGGTTGATTTAGGGCAAGATACATGTAATTGTCAATTATAACTCTGAGGTATTAAACTCTTCTTGAACCAGTAATGCTCCCTGGATCCAAGTCAAGGCAGGGAAGAAGTCCGGTGTTACAAAACATTAAATTTTTTACTTTTGAGTTCATGGAGCTGAAGTTTGTTTTCCAGCAATCATCTCTTTAAATCATTAATACAGTGTACGAGTACAGAGTCTTTGCATGACATTTCCTTGATCTGATGAACTCGTGATTAGTTTTATTCGGGTATCATCAGCATACATGTAGGTTGCATGTTGGACGCCACAATGTGGGCTGATGATCATTCCCAAAGGACCACTATATGAGACGTAACTACATACATGTACATGTACAGTGTACATGTACATGAGCCCCACAAAAAACACAGAAAAACACCACAAGGGAAAGATAAGGGTTTGGAACAGGCCAAGGAATAATTTTCCTGGTATCGCATCGCAATTTGCTATGCATTTTTGCATGACTGCTATACAAAATATCTTTTGTGTAGCAGTTTTCTTCCATAGAAATGTACAGAATTTCATTTTAAATATTCATCCATCGGCTGAAATTGCTAATCAAAAAATTTGAGGAAAATTATTCCCTGCAGGCACAATCAACAATAACCTCCTGGCTGCATCCCTCCAAGTACATGTAGGATATTAATTATCCAATTCAGAGCAGATCCTGTGATGCCATAGTCAAACTCGATGAAGTATCAAGAATGGATAGAGAAATTTATTCCAACGAAGCTGGTGAAATCAGGACAATGTCATAAGCCACAATGGATGAGTTACAGGTCGATGAAATGAGCCAAGAAAGCGAAGAGGTCAGCAGCTGTGAAAGCCAGAAAAACTAGTCTTTGTGCTCACCAAGACCAATATGACCATCTATTAAGTCTCATACTGATAAGGTAGTGCGTGAAGCGAAAGTGGATTATGAGACATTTTTAATTAACCAGATCAAGTCAGAACCCAAGAAATTCTATAATTTTGAAAGACATTTTTCACGATGTTCAGCAAGTGTTGAGGTTTTGGAGCATGATGGTAGTAAGATAACAGATGATCAGAATAAGGCAGAAATTCTAAAGAACTTTTCGTGAGTGTTTTGAAGACTGAAGCAGTTGATCAGCAGCTCCCTTCTACTTACTTACTTTACTTTAATACACGATGTTATAGGTCTAAGCCTGTTCATCGATCCAGGATTCTTCCAGGGAACTGCGATTTGTGGAGGGAGGAGGTTGTGTAAAACATGAAACAACAGACAACACCTAGACCGGCTCATACAGAAGGCTTGCGTTCTTTGACCAGTGACTATCCAGTCTATTCTTGAATGAGTTGACTGACCCAGCTGCCACAACATTTTCTGGGAGACTGTTCCACAGCTCCACGACTCTATTGCTAAAAAAGTATTTTCTGATATCTAGTCTTGAATATTTCTTTTCTAGTTTTCTACAGTGACCTCGAGTTCTATCTTCTGTACTCAACTTAAAGGGAATCTCTTGCACATTGTACAAGCCATTCAAGTACTTGTACACATCGATCATGTCCCCCCTTCTACGCCTGTGAACAAGAGTTGGTAATTGGAGTTTGGTCAAGCGCTCCTTGTAAGATAAATTTCTAAGGCCAGGAATAATCTTTGTTGCACGTCTTTGTACGCTTTCCAACATCCTCTGTTCTCCTAGTCTGTACGGGGACCATGCGGCCTGTCCGTATTCTAATATGGGCCTAACGAGGCCTTTAAACAAAAACGGCATAGTGTCAGTATTTAGGTACATAAATGTCCTACGGATAACTCCAAGTACTCGATTTGCTTTGAGAACTGTTTGGGAGACGTGATCTTTAAATGATAGTTGTGAATCTACAAGGACACCTACATGTAGGTCCTTTTCTACTTTGGTAACAGATAGTGTTACAGAGTCTGTCCCCTTTTTCATACAATAGCCTGTAGAGGCATCTGCTGGTAACTTCCCAAGCCTTAAAACAGTACACTTATCAGGATGAAAGCGAAGCTGCCATTTCTCAGCCCATTCTTCCATCCGTGACAGATCCTCTGTTCAGATTCCAAAAACCTCTGACATAAATCCTATCTATGAGTACATTGAACTCTCTGTGAATACAGTTCATGAAAAACTGTACAAACTCCACTTGAACAAATCTTGTGGTCCCGACAGGATACATGTCGATATCTTTAAAGATCATTCCTGATTTTGACAAGCCTCCGAGTATTGTTATTTACCTGGTAAGCAATCATGACAGACCGGTCAAATCCCTCAAGAATTTTAAAGGATGCAAACATCACACCCCTTTCAAGAAAGGATCTCGACTACTGCCGAACAGTTACAGAACAGTCTCTCTTACAAGTCTCTCTTACAAGTCAAATAGTGAAGATCTTGGAGAAAATTATTTGTGACAAGTTAACTGAACATGCATCAATCAATACTATAATTTCATGCCATCACCATGGTTTTCACCAAGGATGTTCGTGCACTACTCAACTTCTTGTGTGTCTTTATGACTGGACAAAGGCTTTCGACTTGTTCCACATCGACGGCTTCTGTACAAATTGAAACAACTTGGAATACATGGACAAGTATTGGATTGGATAGAGAGCTTTCTTGAATGATGCAGGCAGAGAGTTGTTCTTAGAAATGGTGTGTCATCTCGGAAAGACATGACAAGTGGACTGGAGTATCGCAAGGGTCCATTCTAGGGCCCTTGCTTTTTCTGTTTTACGTGAATGACATCCCAGAAATGGTGACCTCTACAGCGAAGAGGTTTGCCGATGACACCAAAGTGTAGAGATGGATCGAGACAAAACATGATTGTGATATTCTCCAAGATTATCTGTGGCAAGCTCTGGCCGTTAGATTTCAATATTGAAAAATGTATGGTACTGAGAATTAGAGGTGCATTGCAGGAATGTTATTCAGTGAACAGAAATATCATTCAAGAGGTTTCTCATCACACAGATCTGGGACTCTGGGAGTTATTATGATGAATAATTTGTCCCCATCCACGCATGTTCAAGCTTTTGCTCGTCGCAAGATGGCTTTGTTTTGTTGTTGTTTTACAAATCAAAGTTAAATGAAGAAAAGATTGTGACCCTTTATCAATTGTGCGACCAGCGTTGGAATTTTCATCAACAGCTTGGAGCCCTAAAAATATGGAAGCATTCCGATCTGCGCATTCGCAAGGCGAAAAACGGATTCTGCGATGATTTTCTTGAAGCATTTCACATTGACTTTGTACAGAGACTTTCATGTTATGAGCGATAAATCCTTGGGAAGACAGACAACCCATCCCATAAAAGTAGACGTTGAACTGGGGGTTATTTTATTCTACGCAGATTTTGTTTTTCGCATTGCCAGCGGCAGCGGGCGGATCTGGAAACCGAACCCGCAGAGCACCAAAGATAATTTTTAGGACGCAATTTGTCCGCATTTGCGAATACGAGGGTATTCTCGTTTATGCAGACGAACCTTATTCTCGGATGCTGGTAAAAATGTACGAGTCATTATTGATCATGAATCTCCAGTCCAGACTTCATTCCATGACTAATTACTCATATTTTTCCAACACTTACTTACTTCGTAGTTAGTTAGTCTTAGTCTACTCTGGTCCTAGTAAGTTAGTAATGTAATTAACTCTCTATCATTTTTTAAGTATCACTATCAAAATGATCTACCTTCAATACTTCGCCTTTCTTGAAGGCAAGTTCATCTTGCTCTTCCTTTGATGGTGAAAAATCGAAGAGAGCAACGTACTCCATACTTTCAAGTTAATCGTGGTCAATGAATGTTCATCATACAAAACAGATCTCCGGTATTGTATTGGATGTTTAATTGATGCCAATTTGCTCTTTCGAGTTTGGCAACAATGCTGTCGGTGTCACGCTGCACTATTCTGTTGCATGCACCACCACAGGTACAGGATTTGCAATGAATCAGTTTGTACACGCCTGTGTTGTGCTACTTCAAACCCCAACTCAACGTCAACAATGTCGATAGTGGCCCTTCAATTAATTATCGTTTCCAAGAAAGTTTACAGTCAGATTCGAACTCGCGTCCCACTTGGTTAGGCTTTAAGATGTTCTCTTCTTGTTTTCCTGTCGTTTTGGCCAATTCGTTGCGAAACTTCTTGGTATATTTTCTCTAATGCAATGTGGAATATACACACCATTTCCGTATTTGCGGAAGTTAGAAGAACGCGCGCGCAGGCGCACGCGCCGTTTCGAGAAAAACCGATGAGAACTTTTATTTGGAAACACAGTCAGACCGCAGAGTTTGGGTGTGATTGAAAAGATGACACGGTTCAGACTAAAGGTTACACAAAATTTGAAGGATGTCAAATTCATTCAAATTTCATGACACATCTTCGTAAAGCTTTTAATTTTTAAATATATTTTAAGGTTTCCTTTTTTTCTAATATCAATCAGAGCACCGTCTAAAGGAAATTATTAATCCTACCTGATCAGAATCACTTTAAAAAAACTGCATAAGACGTAGCGGTACAAAAGTGCGTGGACTGATGATACGTGTGACGTCCATTCGATCAAGGCAGTGCATTAAAAGGACGTCGACCGTAGCAATCCACATTGTCTTCGTAGCTTTGACCACCCACTAGTTTCTATAGACAATCATTACCTCCCGGATTTTAGAGGGAGTCTCAGCGGCCTCCACGCCTCATTCTCCCGCCGTTCCACCAGCTCGTAGCGGGAGAATCCCGCTACCACGCCCCGGACCACGCCCTTCCTCCCTCTCCCGCTTTAAGAGTCTCCCGATTCAAGTGAAAAAAACTTTCCGCCAAACATGCATAACCTTCTTTTTTTTTTTTGCTGAAAGGGGGGGGGGGGGGGGGGCGGGGGGGGGGGGGGTGGGTGGTGTTGAGCAAAACAAAGAGGAAAGAATTCATTTTAAGTGCTCACTACATTTTCAAGTAGGCCTACCCCTAAAGTACCCCCCGGCCCCTTTGACATATAGGAAGCGCCCTTTTGACCGAAAGGTTTCCCTTTTTAGTTTTTATAACGGTGCTCCATTCCCTTAAGTTATAAGTGCCACCTTTTAAATCGGAAATTGCCCCTGTTTAGTTTTGATAATTATAAGACTTTTACCCTAGGAAATTAAAGTGCCATAATTTCAATGTTGATAAATACCCTATTTCAAATGAAGTGTTCCTTTTCCTTTCTGACAAGTGCCCTTTAGTTTCAGACAATTACCCATTTTCTAGTAAGATAAGATGATACATGCGCCCCTTTTCCTTTCTAACAAGTGCCATTTGATACTTTTCTCATTTCTCTCCTGATACTATAGCTGAGTGCCCCTTTTGTCCGATATATATTGTTTGTCGCTTACAAAATGTGTACTCTTGAAGTTATAAGAGCCATAGGCTTATATCTCATGCTCTAGAGAATTAAAGGAGCCTTTATTATGTGGAAACACACAGTCCCCCAAATTACTAAAGAGAAGAGTGTCCCTTTGCATAAATCGTTCTCAAGTTCTTGGTATCAAAATATGCCCTTCCTGCACGTATACAAAGTCATTTTGATATAAGAAATGTGCCCCTTTCACATCATGTATCTTGACGTGTTATACTCCACTCATAAAGGAGCCATCTTCCGGTATAATGTCGTGAGGAAACTGAGTGCCATCATTTTTAATACCAAAAAGGGCTTTACTTACCGCAGCAATGTAACATTGTTATCAATAGAATGCGACCCTTCAAAAGAAGTAGAGGAAGCACTCTTTCAAGATGACCCGACCTTGATTAAATGACCGTAAACATCAATGAGTTCTCATCCACCTCACCCCCCCCCCCCAAAAAAAGTCCATCTCAAATGCTTGTTTATTCAGCTGCTCTTTTGAACTTATAACATGTGTCCAGGGGTAAGGAAGTCAGAACCTTCAACACACAAAGTACTTTCTCTTAAGGGCAATCTTATACAACAAAGGGTTGTCTTGGGAACTACTTCTAACACGAATGGGGTCCAGGGGCGCATGGATTGCAGGGGTACTGAGCCCCTGTCGTTCAGTGGGCATATAATATAGCCCGGCTGGCGGCTGCGGAGGGATCATGTGGGCGGAGCCACTGAATGCTATCGAGCTTTAACAATATTAGTTATTCAGAGCCTACAAAATAATTTGACCGGTAGCCAACTAAAAACTGTTATTCATCTATTGACATTTGCACATTGAAAATCATTTTGCTCTCGGAGGGCCGCGGTCGATCCGTCCCCGATGAACGTTTGCAGGATTTATGCATAATTATGCAGCTTGCGGTGCCGATGGGGTTATTATTCTCTCTCTCTCTCTCTCTCTCTCTCTCTCTCTCTATCTAACTCTCTCTCTCTCTCTTGCCTTCTTTTATCTTTTTTCCCTCCTACCTTCTTCCGTCGCTCTCTCTTCCCTGTGTGTGTGTGGGGGGGGGGGGGGGGGGGGGCTAGAGCATCAGCCTCGCTTGATCCATGCCTTATTTCTATGGTAACTGAGATAATTTTTCTGTTCATAAAGTTTCCTGACAGCTCACTTGAGCGCTACGCTCAATGTACACGCAATCGCCTAAATACAATTCGGGATGGGGGGGGGGGGGGGGTGCATCCTTACACCCCTGGCAAGGCTCTGTCTTCTGACAAAATTTAGCCCATGGAAAAATTGACCCACAAAATTTCAGGTGGTGTCTGACACGGTATCCCGACCGAAACTTTTATTATATTTTTTTTAACTCTCTATAGTTAAATAATTTATTACTTTAAATCTAGATCTATATCTAGATCTACACTACTCGTTTTTGATGTGCTTTTATGGATTGAGAGGTGTGAAATGATTTCGATAAGTTTAATTAATCGTAGAAAAGACTTCTGGATCTGCCACCTTTTTTCCCTATTATTTACAATTTTGTTCCTAAAATGTTGGGGGCTAGGCGGCGCAATATTTTTAAGCAATGCACATTTTTATCAATGACGTCATCCAATATGTCTGCGCCCTTGTCCTTCTCTAGTTCCAGATAATTTTCCAAATGTTCTATTTAGGCGATATCAGGAACGTTACTGTTGAAGTCAACTTTCAAAAGCTTTCCTATTTGGGAAACCATGGGGAGTAGTGCTAGTAGCAGTGCTAGTGGTAGTGAAAGTGATGAGGAAAACAGCGACTTTGAAACGGTAAGTTTTTGTTGCACTGTCTCACTGTCTGACATGACATGCATGTATTGTCGGTGATCGTGAGGGTCTGTGAGCCGACTGCGCAATGCACTGTGTCTGTAGCTGGAGCTGAACTGTGTGCAGGAGATGATTCTCAGTACACGGGCCCGGGAGGCGGAGGCCTGCTCATGTTGGCCGGCCACAGTCCGGGCAGGCACCGGCCAGCTATTTGCTAGAGCCTAGTGGTTAATGGTTAGGCTCAAGTTCGCTCATTGATGACTGATGATGTCATGAGGGGAATGAGATCTAGATGATTAGGGTGGAGCTTTAGTTTAATAGGTCTAGCATTAGCAAGTTTGAAGAAAAAATATTTTAAAAAAATAATAAAAATCTAGATCTAGATCTAGAACACATTATTCAGAAGTTTAGGCCTTACAATACATATCAAAATACGAGATATAGACCTATAGATCGGCTCATATTTTCATTTTTAGCCAAGGTAATCCCTTTGCAGCAAATTGTAAATAAAGAAAATTGGTATCCCGATCCGAATGGAAGACTTTCTCCCAAGTCCCAAATATCTAGTCTAGATCTAGACTCTAAGGCTAGGCTAATAATTATCCTGACAAAAGTCTCTGACATTACAAACAACGAAAATTGGCAATCCAGCTATAGCGGTAGCTGGAAGTGAGGATATTGTGCCTTGTGGCATTGCTGTATTGCTGACAAAGCCTGACAAAACATGATAGAAATTAATTCACATGCCACAGCGGCGACAGCACGCCACACGATGTAAATTACATTTTTAACATTTTGTGCCCTCGTTGATATTATAACTTCTCGGCAGCTTCGGAGTTGTCAAGAAATGATGCTACATCATACATATTTATTCACTTGTTTTCAGCATTACCCAAGTCATTTCTGTTTGTCATTAATTTACGATAAAACATTCTTTCTTCCACCTTAAATAATGAAAAGACAAATAAAAAGTGATTGCCTCAAACTGACCGTAAGTTTAATTGTCTCCTTTTACAAACTCCAGCGAACATGAAGACATGAATGTCCAATCCAAATTTGCATGTTCATGAGAATCATTCACTTTGAAATAGAACTCTTTCATGCAGTATTATATATTACTTCACCCTTTTATCTACATGTACATGTTTTTTTGTTATATTTGCAGCAAGTTTGTGAGAACAAGCCTGTACAAGTTACACATCCCGTTGGTAAGTTATGGGGCCCTTGCACAAAACTTACCATTGATGGTAACTTTGCCATCAATGGTAACTACTATAGAAACCTGATTTTGATTGGCTGTTGAGCCCTGTAAACATGGTAGTTGCCATTGCCATTGATGGCAAAGTTACCATCAATAGTAAGTTTTATGCAATGGGGCCCTGGTGTAATTTATTAAGATGTTATTGACAAAATCCACTTTGTTCAATTATAAAATTTACTTCTATTTTTGTCCAATATTCTTCTGAACAAATCTAGCTTAAGGTGAAATTCACTAAGAACTGAAGACTGAATATATTGTCCATTTTTGTCTTGCCTGCATAGCAAAAAGCAAGACATAGACGCTTTTCCGGTGACGACAACAGACTTAACATAAGGTTAAGTTTTTGAAACTATAAGTTCACTGAAACTTGAACATGAGGGTTATTAAGTATCACCAATCATGTCATGAGGTGACAAAGTCAAGGTCAAATGTCATTTCAGGTCTGCACACTTACATGTAGACTTTGTTTGGCATCCACATCAAGATTTTGAATTTTTAGCATAATTTCAAAAGTTTTTGTTCAAATTCCATGAAACTTGTAGGTACCAAGAATTATCAAATATCTCAAATCATGTGACACAAATTCCAGGTCACAAAGTCAAGGTCAAAGGTCATTTTAGGTCAGTAGACTTGGATTATGTTTTCAAAACTTAAAATGAGAATAAATGAATCAATTTTTGATGTTTGTTCATATTTTCATTAAAGTTACCAATCTTGGTACAAATTATAGTAAATAATTCTTCTGATGATTCTTACTATTACAATATTCTTACAATATTCACTTAAAAATGCTGATTATATTCAGAGGATATAATTTGGAGGGCCTGCTAATTGGCCACCCTGCCGATAAATAATGTCCCAACCTCAATTTTTCATATCGAATTGCAGGCGAGACCGCTGAATGCGTTTTCCTTGTTTATTTACTTTTAACTTTTGAAAAGAATAGCTTTTATAATGCTATGTGTACGCACTTGTTTGCTGTATCTAGGTGCACTTGGGACAACACTATTTTCGTAAATTTATTGTTTCTTTCTTTACATATTGATTGTTTATTATAGGCCTAGTTAATTATGTTTATTACATGTTAGTCAATTTACTTGCACGTAATTTTATTAGCCAAATTTTGTATACATTGAAAAAAAAAATTGACATTCCATCTCTTATCTTTGAGTGTCATTCAATTCAAGTTTCATTGTGAAAAGAAAGTACAATCAGAACTATGATTCGGCTCTGCAATATTATTTTCTGGTTTAATAACTTACATGTATTGTAGATAGTGATTACTATGCAGACTAACTGCTCCTAAACATTATCTGCTTTTACATAGTGCAAAACATTCTGTGATACCTTGAAACCAAGCATAGAATATTTTCTGTTGTATAGTTTGGTATTTAATTTGTCACTTTTTATTTTCTGTTTTTTAGAATCTGATAATCTTGGAGACATTGACTTAAACCAGCTCTTCGATCATGTGACTCTACGTGAAGCAGCTTCGAAAATAAGGTACTGTACAGATGTAAAAAGAAATTTAATTTCTGTTCGAATGTTATGAATAATCTCTATTTAATAAAAATATATATTTCAAGCCGATTTTGAGCCCTGGTATTTTCCTATTTCAGCCCTTTTCATATGGGTAATTCCATAAATTAGGGACCCACTTTGTGACATTTTTGGTGTCCCACTTTACATAAGGAACCAAAGACTCGAATAATGGGGTATGATTGTTAAGTGATTCTAGGTATGAGGATGCAATATTATGCTGTGAAATCACTTTACAATCTCACTCCACTACTTAAAGTCTTTACTCAGAGCCACAAATACGTGTGGGTTCCTTATGTATTACAGGGACACCAAAAATGTCACAAAGTGGGTCCCTAATTTATGGAATGACCCATACATGTATTGTACACATCATGCTGGGTTTAATACTATAACACACCTGTGCCTCTTCTACAGTATGTCTCCTTGGGTAAAACAAGCTGGTTTCCTTGTACACACACATATACTGTAGACCTGTATATCATGAGAGACAAGTTGTATACTGTATGTAGTTTATGTACATGAACATATGTACAAATTGTGGATGTTCAGCAGCAATTAAGCTACAAAGACTGAAACTGAAAGTGTGCACATAGTAGATCTATGGTCTCTCCATTGGTCTCTCTATTATGATCTTTAAGATAATATTTTTTCCTTCAATAATAAAATTTTAAAAATGTAAATTCTGAAGATTTGTGACCATGATCTGTACGTCCCTTGAGAAACCAATGCCAGGAATGGTTAGAGGAACAAGTTTTATACTGTATGTGCATGAACATATAAAACTTGTGGTTGTTCAGTAGCAATCTACAAAGACTGAAACTGAAAGTGTGCGCATAGTAGATCTATGAGTCTGTAGATGCCAACGTTCAACAGAGCACATGTACATGTACTGCCAAATTGACATTGCTGTGTAACATAGGTAAATTTAACCATTGCCAATACAGGGAAGAAGAATGCAGTAGTGAACAGGATGAACAAGGAAAACTACATGTACTGTAATAACTTATTACCTTCTAGACTGATAGATCATTTTGCTAGCAGTTTTAGACCATGATGAAATTAAGACCACAATTTTTATTATCCGTTGAACAGAGTTTCTCACGGAAACACATACCATTTTAACCTGTACAGTTGTACATGTGTGTAAAGACTACATGCCCATATTGCCTTTAAAAAAAATTCCTTAAGCAGTCTTCATATTCATGTATTGTAACTTTGACTGTAATATAAAATAAATTTATTATTTAATTAAGAAAAAAGACAATTACAACAATATGTCCTGCCCTATGATGAATAATAGGTACAGTAGTACTTTTTAGAGGGTAAAGTGTGATTACAATTCAATTCAATTCATTTATATTGCACAGAAATGATGTTTCAGTGATTTAGAGCCAAATAGAATTAATTTTTGACAATTCCTCCTTCTATTTGTTTGACTCTCTTCAATTCTAATGCTATTTGATAATTTAGTCTGAAATAAAATTAAATAAAATTAAATAAAAATCTGATTAAAAATTTAGACAATGGGGTTCATAGAAGTTATTAATGCATTTTTCCAATGTTTGGAGCCTTTGGTGTGCAATTGCAGAGCTGCCAAACCTTAGTGCAACCCCCCCAAAAAAGGAATGTCAAGCAAAAAAAAAGGAATTTTAAGCAAAAAAAAGGAATTCATTAAAACGAAACTTACAACCACGGGCGACACACTTCCAATGCAGAAATAGTTTATTTACAAGTATATAGTTTTTTTGTTGGCATTATTAGCTTTTCATTCTTTTTGAGAACATTGTTCTCTTCAATAATGTTTTAACCCTAGTTTTCTATTGAAGTAGTGATCAACATTTTAGGGCATTTGGTTGATGTGCGGTATGTGCAACAACAAATAAACAAAAAAAATTAAAAAAAAAACTTTTTTATGAAGAAAAAACGTACATGTACTACAATAATTTGGAGAAAATAATGTTATAATTTTGAGAAAATACTGTTATAATTTTGAGAAAAATAACGTTATAATTCTGGGAAAAACGTAATGGTTGGCAGCTCTGCAATTGAATTGAAATTATGTTACAAAATTGTATTGACATTAACCCAGTACTATTGCTACGTATAGTACTATCAAATATCATGGAATCCCCTCCTCATTTTTTTTGAGAAAAAAGAACAGGACTAGAAACAAGGTATTCATTTCTAATTTGCCTTTGGAAACTGCAGGAGTAGACCGGTTAACTACCATATTTTTGTTTTAATGCATACTGTTTTAAGCGGGACTGTACTACTTGTAGCTGCTTGCGCCCTCTATGTAGCAAACGATGCTTAAGCGATACTCGGTGGTCCCCAATGATCCCCTTTTTCTTATGTTCATTGAGAGCTAATTTGATAACCACCTGTCAGTGACCATGCAAGGAAGTCTAATCCCTCCTGGTCTAACTAGTGCAGATAGGCTTTAAAAGAAAGGTCGCTCTTGACAATCTGGAAGCTTGCCCAATGCTTGCCTGACATATAAGGCTGTGCACAACAGTGTAATGGGGTATCCGAGTACACTCCCATGCTTACAGGCGAATACTCGAGTATTCGGACGCCATGTTTTTGTTTTTTGTTTTTTTTTGTTGATTTTTGTTGATTTTTGTTGATTTTTTTTTGTTGATTTTTTTTTTTTTGCCACCACCATACATACCACTGGGGCAGTATCCCAGTTCTGTCGCCGAAAACGCATGCAATTTTACTTTGAGTTGCAGTTGAAGGCGCCGATTTAATAATAATAATAACAGTGAACAATGCTGTTTTAAAAACCAAAGATGGCAGAATAATCCATTTTCCTCCAAGTCCAAGCAGAAATCCAGACATTTGGTCCCAGTTTCTGAGTGGTGAGTTTGACAGTGCTTGAGTTGGGAAACATTTTTACCGACGGCACCATGCCAGCGGCCGCCGCTCACCCAGGCACGGGTAAGCGTCGGCCTGGACATTTTTTTTGTTTTTTGTTTTTTGCGGCCGAATATTCGGGTACGCGAGTAGTTGTCAACCGTGCGGGTACTCGAGCATTCGACTACCCTTCACAGCCTTACTGACATAGCAACAAGTAATATATGGAGACTGGATTCCAAGTTTTGTAGTTCATTCATTAATAACAAGTTAATAGAATACCCTGTCATTAGGTCCCCAGGAAAGAAACAGCCATAATTTGAATATCTTAGTAAACCGGTCTATATAATTATCTATAATACTCAATCCCTTGACCATTTTAAGTCCTTGCTGAAAAGGCACCTTTTTAGTTCATTAATGATATTCTACACAGGCGCAGTTGTGAGTAGGTCAAAGGAGGTGCACACCATCTTATTCCTTTGTTTGATCTCATTTTTATTTTTATCACTTTAATTATAATTATATATGCATGATTTATTGAATACGGAACATAATTTGTGTGTTTATTATAAGTTTTGGTTGGTGATTTGTAGTCAGACAATGGTGCGCTTAGAAACAACCGTACCAAGTGCCTAATAAATGTTGTGTATCATCATTATTTATTTCATGTCTACCGCACAGAGATGATGTCCCTGAGACGGTGGTTCAGCAGCACCATGGTCACCTGGTCCGATGGCTGGAGGAGCGGTACCAACGCAGCGAGGAAACCATCTCTCTCACTCAGTTCTGTGATGTCCTCATGAACAGAGGAGTCAGCCGCGAGGAGTGTACAATCGTGAGTAATTAAATCAAGAATGAACGCCATAAACATCTACAGTACCAACGAAAAATGATACATGGGAGTGGTGAGCAATAATGCTCCCGAGAGCTCAAAAAGAGCTACACTTAACTAAGGCTGTGACGTGTACATGTCCGTTAGACAACTACACGTGTCCGGTAACTCGTAATAATAATAATAATAATATTGGATTCTTATATAGCGCACGTATCTACCTTGCAAGGTCCTCAAGGCGCTCCAACATTACCCGGCTATGCAAGGCTGCTGATTTCGACGCTCACAGCATTTCAAGGAATTCCTTCCTACTGGTACCCATTTAACACCTGGGTGGAGAGTGGCAAGTGTAGATCAATGTCTTGCCAAAGGACATTAGTGCCGCGGCGGGACTTGAACCGCGGACCCTGTGATTCACAGTCCGACGACTTATCCACTACGCCACAACACCTCTACGTACATGTATACAGAGCAGCCATGTTTTTTTTCTTTTCAAAGTGTCGATTTATGCCCCTTCACCTGGCACTGTGCCGGTCGATGCTCACCCGTGCCCGGAAGAGCACCGGCATGAGTAAAAATGTCTCCCAGCTCAAAATTAGAACCAAACTAGCTGCCAATGTCCGGATTTCAGTTTATACTCGGAGGAAAATTTGTCTGTCATGTTAAAAACGACATTGCTACTATTATTATTCAGCCATTATTATTTATTAATTGTATAGTGGAAATAGATGATTTTGAAACTATGTCAATTGTAGTAAGAGGAGTCCAATGCACTTTATTAACAACTTTAATGTACAGATTTTATTCCCAGTATGTGTCATTACAAGTACATGTAGAATATCCTTGCAGAGATCTTAAGACACATTTATTCAAAATTGCTTTTGATGATTAAGTTAATATTAATATTTATTCTTATTTGTAGGTTTATTTGCATTTTCTTTTTGTTTTGTTTAATATGTAAATTGTTTATCATTGTATTTTGTTTGTTATAGCGCTTTGGTGGTAAGCGCTTTAGAAGCACAGTTTTTTAAATTTTTTCTGTTTCTTCACTTGTGACAGGCTTTTGATCAATTTGATGTGGATGGAGAGGGGCAGGCCTATGTGGAGTCGATGCTAGATGCTCTGCGCTCATCCAATGGTGCTAACCTAAGAGGGGAGCTCTCCCATGCCATCAGGATATTAACTGCATGCACTCTTACCCCAGGTAAGTGTCACTCCAGCAAAGCATGGAGTCGATGCTAATGCGTATTGACCTCTAGCGCTGTACTACGTGCTGTGAGGCAGCAATTACACACAATACACACATTGCACACAATTGCACACTAATGCACACAATGAATACAAATTTGCTGATCTGCAAGTTTGACAGTAGACTTTTTAAAGTGAATTTTTAAAGTATCCTTTCTAACATTGGTAAGTTGAACAAATTGTATTTTACTGCTATTTAGACGTCATCAATTGTCACTAAAGTACCGATTTTTAGTGAAATCAGTTGAGTTTTGTACAGTGGTGTTTGAAATGTTGAGAATCAATAGAACTTAATACATGAAATGGGTAATTCACAGAGCCACTCTGTTGCACAAACCAAGCCTTCCCCAAATTATTGCCTATTATTTTGTGCAAAAATGCATGTTGGGCAATTGAGTTAACGTGCAAACAGGTGAAGAAAGCAACGAAAGTGTTAAGCTTGGCTTTTGAATGTTCCCGAAGGTCATTGTTGAAACCTTATTTGCATCTGGATTGCCTAAATGTGGATAAATTGTCAATCATTTTATTATTTCAGGTCTGATAGATGTATTTTCTTCAGACAGGGAGAGTGTTGGACAACATGGACAAAGAATTCTCAAGGTAAAACAGTGTGGTGTTTAAATTGTGCTATGATAATGCTACAAGGTCAAGTTCTAATACCGGTCATGTTCTAAAAATTCCAACCCTGGGCCCTACACTGTCCCTAATGATAAATGATAATTGTATTATTTGTGTAATGCTTTATTATGCTAAAGGTTTGTGCTATCATTAATTACCCTTTGCATAAGAAATTCAAGGAATTTCTTTCTACTGGGTACCCATTCACATCACCTGGGTGGAGAGTGACAAATGTAGATAAATGTTATGCCGAAGGGCATTGGAGCTGTGGCGGGACTCAAACCACAAACCACATGATCCACAGTCTGGTGACATATCCACTAGACCACAACACCTCTACCTTACCCTCTCTCTTACCCTTATACCCCGAACCTTTCATGAAACTTGACCATTTTCCAAACCCTAACTGTATATATGTGACAAAATAAACATGGAAAAAATGTCAGACCACCCATTAGCTGCAAATACCTACATGTGCTTTTGGAATTCAAGTGCTTTAATATTTTTGAAATGTTTTTAAAACTTTTGCTTTATTTCTAGAGAAAAGAAATGACCAAAAGTTATACAAACTATTTCAAATGTGCATTATTCATGTTGACTTCATCATCTCTTGGGGTTATTCCCCTAGGAACCATGCAACCTCTTTCTGTTTTAATTTCATTCTTTTCTTTCTCATGCCTGTAAACGTCCCATCTCATCTGTTTACTGACAGTACCTGCTGAGGAATCGAGCTCCCAGCAGTGCTCTACCGTACCCCTCCCTAGATGGCTTCACCCATACCACCACAATGAGACTCTCGGTACTTGATCAGCATCTTCAAGAAAAACAGAGACAATCAGGTAAATATTAAGAAGACATAGAGAATATGCAAATAGTCGTTCTCTCCTGTTCCCTTACTTAAAGCCCCACTGCACTACTTTAATATTGCTACTTGGGCCTCTTTATAGCAAACAATGCCTAATCGGTGACCGCTGGTCCCCATGATCTCCTTTTTCTTATGTTAAGTTGAGAGCTGATTTGATGAGATAACCACCTGTCAGTGACCTTGCAGGGAGGTCTAATCCCCCCCTCGCCAAACCAGTGCAGGTAGGCTTTAAATGGATTCGCTCATACTAACTTCTGGAGGCTCTCTATTCTTGTTCAGTATCTTCAAGGAAAACAGAGGTAGTCTGGTGGATATTGAAACAAAATAGTGCACAGTAGTGCTCTACAATATCTCTCTATCACATACCACCACCACGAGGGGCTCTGTACTCGATTCAACACTGCATATAATGTATTTATGAACAATAACATAGCCTCCGTGGAATACAACTATAGTAGTTTGCTTAACTTGACTTTTTGAATAATTTTCCTTCTGTTTACTGATTTGTATTATTTCCATCCCTCCAGCTTTCAGAGAGAGTTTTGAGATGGAAGGAGGTGGAGAGGTGAAGCTCACCACAAAATGTTTTAAGAGCATCCAAGTTTCCACCAATCCAAGGGATGCCTCAAGGTAATTTCATTATAAACTGCTCAATTTATAGACATACATACCCTGATTACTTCTGTTGCGTAAAACTTACCATTGAGGGTAACTTTGCCATGAATCGTAACTACCAGTGACTACTTGATTTTGATTGGCTGTTGAGCCCTGTTACCATGGTAATTGCCATTGCTGGCAAAGTTACCATCAATGCTAAGTTTCATGCAACGGGCCCTGATGTTAAATACAATCATTATAAAATCTTTTAGTCATTAGCTTACATTAATTTATTTGATGATTTGTAAAAGTCTGATTATAGCATATTGTTATTCATAAATCAAATTCTACAGTTTCTTTGACTTTGCAGAGATGCCAACCAGTACGATTAAATCGTATTTAGTACGATAATAAGAGTGAAATAGGATAATACAATATCACCTCTTAAAATACAATTTTTCAACAAAAGAAAAAGAGAAAAATTAAACTCATAAAAACCCATGAAAACAGCGGAATCGCATAGAAACATGTACAAGTAAACCTCCGCAACCCCAACAAAAACTTTGCATTACAATTTCTCATAAAATTTTAATGAAAGAGTAAACATTTTACTTGACCGTATTTACCAGTAAAACATTTTTCTGAAATTTTACTGGCCTGGGGCCGACAGGCCAGTGGTAGTGTCGAGTTTTCGTGAAAATCTGATTTTTCTCTCCAAAATCTGATTTTTAAGGATACTCAGTCTGTTTTTTTTAGTGTCAAGAGGTTGGCATCTCTGACTTTGTGTACATTATTTCTATTATTGTTACCTATCTGTTTGTACTTTTATTTGTATAATCCAATTTCAAATCTTGGTTGCAATAATGGAATAAAAATGAAGTAAACAAAATTTAATTTTTGTTTTTCGAACGTATATTATTACTGACATTACTGTTAAACCAAAAAACATCTGCGACATGAAACTTTTCAAATTGAAAATGACAGCATGTTCATGGAAAGAAACTTCTGAATCACAAAATGTTAGAGTTTGCATTCGATTCAATCTTTTTTGCAGTGTGACAATTACACAAATCTTAGCATGCTTCATTTCCAATGATGTCATACAAAACTTATTTTTGTATGACATAATAGGAAATGAAATTGGTGGGACACACAAATGAATGTAAGTTCATGTGAACTCATACACCAATGTATTAAAGATGCTATTGGTTGGGGAGGAAAGGTTTACTCGGTTGGAAGAGGAAGTACATGTACCTGACATCTGTTTAAACTAAGAATTTGTTCACCTGATAATGAAACAGAAACGGTGTGATAGATATGACAGTGATAGAATACTTAGAACCAGGAAATAGCATGACATCATTCAGTCTGATGAAATGATACTGTTATTTACGACACATTAGTTTGCTTGCATGTACACTTAATTTGTTTTACAATGGATCATAATGAGAGACTTGAATTATTGATCAATTAAAAATGCATTTTCAGTTAATGAAAGAGAAATTAGTTTTTATAAATATGGGGACATGGTATAATGGATAATGTATTAGTCTGAATCTAGTTCTGTAACTTAACCACAATATTCAGGTTTGGTTTAGCAAGGTTCTGTATTTCAATTTGCCAAACCATGGTTTAATCATAATATGCCTGAATGTACATAGTGGGTAGGTCAGCCCAATGTAAAACCATGTATATACCATATTTGCCGGCGATAAGGCCGCACCGCCGCATAGGCCGCACCCCAACTTTGACATTTCAAAGAGGGGGAAAAAAAAAAAAAAAGGAAAAAAAAAACATACGGACAAAACAAAATAATCATAATTTTCTCGAAAACACTATTTTTTTTTACAAACTGATACCAAATTCATCAATATTCTTATAATTTACCGGAAGTTTAGCTAAAAAAGTGATCACAGGCAGATTTGGTGTCCGATATACCCCTTCCACAATGTACGGTGTAATGCGAAACTGCATAAAATGGAGAAAAAAAAATGGCGACTTCGGATGGATGTTCGCGGCAGATCCATTAAAAGGGACCCTTCCTTTACTTTTGCAATGCATTGGCACAAACTTAGATCAAGATCTATCGGCAAATGTTGTGTTAGGATGTTTATTTTCGTCTTCATGTCAACAATGCAAGGTAAAATTGTCGGTAAGATGTGTGGTAATGTCCTGTACCCTAGTGGTATAGTTATTTTACAGTTTCTAGTCCCATATGTGCAAATTCGTGCTGGTTTTACTGTAAAGCCCTTTTAGCCATTTTTGATTTGATTTGATTAGACATGGTTTATTGATTTCTAAAAATCTTTGCAGTCTTTAAATTACATTTGTTTTGTGTATTAAGTGGCAATTCAATTAATGTAATGAGTCCCCTTACCTTTGCTTGTGTTATTCAGGTTGACCGATGGCGATCCCAGCACCTACTGGCAGTCCGATGGCCCCGCCCACACCCATTGGGTTAGGTTTAAGCTGCGGCCAGGGGTGTGTCTCAAGCACCTGTCTATCCATGTGGCCCGAGGTGACCATAGCTACATGCCTCAGCATGTCACAGTACTGACCGGTCACTCACCGGTCTCGTTACAAGAGGTGACCGAGGTCAGGATAGCAAGGTGGGTCTGATCTTGAATATCATAGTTGATAACCAGGGGAGTGTTTCACAAAACTTGTTATCAGTGACATGAGACAGTTTTTTGTTATAAGCTACTGAAATCCTTGCTTCTGATTGGTTATCAGCAGATTTGTCAGTGATTTTTGTCATTTGTCATTGGAAAAAGGCTTTGTGAAATGGGTCCCTGGAGTAGATCCTGTATATAAAGACCACTCAAGGGAGACGATAAGAAAGGTCTTCAGAAGGTGGTGATCTTTCTGTAAAGGTTACTTTAGTTTTAATGAGAACCCTGTTCAAATGAAACAGAAACAGTGGTCTCTGTAGACAGGTGGTCTTTCCATGCAGGTGGTTATTACAGCAGGTTTAACTGTATTCTGAACATAATCGGGAGCGCCAGGAGGGTCAAATCTGACTAACATCAGCGCTATACAAGAACCCACTATTATTATTATTTATTATTATTATGTTATGTCTTCTAAAGATAGATATTTCATTGGTCAAAGCATACTACATGTGTGGCAGGGCATTGGCAATTGACTCCATGTATTGGGTCCATTGTGTATAACTATGCAGACATATGCAGTCCTTGAAACACTTGAAATCCTTTCACTAAAGTTAAAGATAATTTTGAAATCTCAGACCAGTGAACCATTATTTATTTTCTTTAATATACACAAATGTAAGTCAAAAAGATAGTTTCAATAAGCGGAAAATTCGATGTTGGTGAAGGTCACATCTCCCTGGTTTAAAGGTATAGACCAGTTTTGGAAACACCCCCTCTCAAAAAATTAAATGGAAGCTCTTATTACCATTCATGTGAAAGAATATGTTTTGACTAATACGTGATGATACAAATTTTGCCGGAAACCGCCTACTAATTGATATATTTGGTAAATTATCATATCGATTCGGCCTGGATAGATATCGCGAATGCACTTCAACATTGAACATTCAGGCATATATTTCTGCTTTTTTGCAAATTTAGGTTGAAGTATTGCCATCTAAACCTCTGAAGGCAATATTTAAACAATATCGAATGGATGTTTTGCACCCAAAACCTTTGAACCGCAATTTTACCACTACCGGTCTATATCTTTAAGTTTGTAATCGATGTCAAAAAACTTCTTCATCCTCCATGCGCTAACAGCCACATCACTGGGGACGTAACTCTCCTGGAGAACGCCAAGGTGATCAGACCTTACGTTCAGATCAGCATCAAGAGATGTCAGTTTGAAGGCTGTGATGTCAGGGTCCATGGGATACGAGCCCTGGGATACAAGTAAGATTTTGTATACGTTATATTTTAATAATGGCATTTTATAACTGCTTTTTAAAGTTTATTCTTTTTTTAAAAATATATATTTTTGTGTGGTAGCCCCTTCAACTCAAACATATTTATGTTAATTCAGGTTTTAAGGCTTTTATCATTGCCTGTTTCCAAAATATAATTTTCCCCTATATTTTTTTATTGTTTGGTTACTCAACATTATTGTCTGTTTATCTGTTACCATTACCCTATAACAGTTTATCAATTTGACGATTGACCATTAATTTTCCTCTTAGTTTATTTTGGTATTGTATTGATTGAAATGTATTTATTTTTCATCTTTATTGCCATCTTGTACTTGTTATACCTGTCTGTTTGGCTAACTATTGTAAATTTACTGTATCTATAACTTTATCGTATTACTTGTAAACATGATAAGTTGTGGTCCTTGGACCTTTGAATCATGTTTATTTATGTCTTTTTAAAAAGAAATAAATATTTAAAAAAAAAAATCAAAACAAATCACTATACTCTTACGTTTGAGGCAGCAGAATCTCAAAATAGAAACTATCATATACATAAAACATTGTATGTTCTCTGATAACTTATGTAACGCATGTTCTTTTTGTACATGTATCTCTCTGTCTTAGCATCCACATCATACCCTGCTAGACAACTAGATGTTGATTGTTATTATTTATATATTCCAATGTACAAAGTACATGTGATTCATGAACTTTCCAATCTGTGGTTTCATTCTATAGGATGGTTAAAAAGTCAGAAGTGAGCATAAAAGATGCCCCAGCCATGTGTTATCTCTCCGTCTTAGCTTCCCAAGCTAACGCTGCTATACCACTAGCTGTTAGAAAAATAACAAAATATGTGTCTTTCTGGAATGATCTTATTCTTCTTAAAGGGATAGTTGAGTTTTTGTTTCTGACCGCAAATGCCTCTAAAGTGCATGGTTAGACCCCAAAATCTGTGAAATTTAGCCAATACAATAATTCTGCTCCAACAAAAAGCCAACATAATAAAACGTAAAAGGTGCTAGTTCGTTTTTTCAACGGCTGGTTCAAATTATCGAATATTTGTGGGGCTCCACATATATTAGAAATTGATATTTCTATGGATATTTCAGCCGTCTCTGAACCGATTTTGATCAAACAAAGATGATTTTGTCATTCAAATTGTATGTTCTTTCAAATTTGACACTCAGTTTTTCATTATCTCACAACAAATTATTTTGTGTAGCATCCTCAGCAACAAAACTCAACTATCCCTTTAACTGGAAAAATTCAAAATTTCAGAGATTCATGATCTGTTGTTTGTTTCCCTAGAATGGTGCAGAAGTCTGAAGTGAGTGTGAAAGATGCCTCAGCCATGTGTTATCTCTCCGTCTTAGCTTCCCAAGCTAACGCTGCTATACCACTAGCTGTTAGAAAAATAACAAAATATGTGTCTTTCTGGAATGATCTTATTCTGTTTAACTGGAAAAATCAAAATTTCAGAGCTTTACGATCTGTTGTTTGTTTCCCTAGAATGGTGCAGAAGTCTGAAGTGAGTGTGAAAGATGCCTCGGCCATGTGGTATCTCTCCGTCTTGGCTTCAACAGCAAACGCTGCTATACCACTCGCGCCCCATCTACGCAGTGCTATCCTCAACCATACAAAGTAGGTTATTTGAATTGAATCTCTAGGATTGCATTGTAAACTATACTGTTTGGGCATGGATCGTGTATGTGCGTGAGGAAGATTGGTGAGGAAATTGTTTTCAAGAATTATCTTTATTGTGCTTAAAAACCTTGTCAGATGAATTACATGTTTGAACTTTCCATTTTGCATTCATTTTGTTATGCCTTTTATCTTATGTAGCAATGATGTACATGTAAACAGTATGGCAGCCGTGCTAAAGCCAGGGTAATAATCGGGAGCGCCAGGAAGGTCAAATCTGACTGACATGAGCGCTATACAAGAATCCATTATTATTATTATTAGTATTTAAGTATCTGAAGTAAATCTTGATTTTCTGTAAATGGCTCAAAAACTACCATGGTCACAAAATTCATCTTAATCACAATACAGTGGATGTGAAGAAATACAAATGAATTAAATCTGCCACTTTTTGCAAATGAAAGACACGAATGTCAAAGAATGTTGTTAAAATTATTAATGAAAGATTGCTTTATTTTGCATTCAAACTATGCTAGAATAATTTCCACTGAATTTCTAACGTGATATTCAGTGAAGGTATTCTAAGATTGTGCTATACCCCATAAGACATTGGCTACACATCACATTAAAATCCATTACCCAGAGAACTATAATATGTTGAACTGTATTATGCATATGTATCTGTTTATCCAATATTTGAATTTCTGTTTATATTAGATTTGATTTCCTGTTCATCTAAGATTTAAGTTTAATTACGTGTAGAAATATTATCTGTTCAACCATTTTGTGTAATCTGCATACTCATTTTTGTCGCGCCTCGATCAAAAGTTTTGGATACGTGCGCGTTATTAATTCATGTTATTATTATTATTTAAGTTCCATCAACTTTTAAAGATTTGCTTAGATTTTGTCCCAAATGGATTTGCCAGTACTTATGATTTTTTTTGTGCCCTTGACAACCCCCTCCCTCTCAGGATGGCCTTATCCCACATGCCGCCACTATCCCTGATGCCCCAGCAGCTCTCCAAGGCGAGCTTCCTCAGCCCACATGTCCTGGACCAGGTAGCTGAGTTCCTACATAATATAGCCAGGTATGTCTTAGTAAGGATCCGGGTTAACTCGGACCCAGGTCAACTCGGCCCGCCGCAAAAACGGTCAGTTTTTTGTCATTTTAACCTAACCCCAACTCTGACCCTAACCCTAAACCTGCAAAAAATGACTGTTTTTGCAGCGGGGCCGAGTTGTCCCCGGGTCCAAGTTAGCCCAAGTCCCTTAGTACTAGACCATTTTCAATAGTCAGAATGCGAATTGCATGTTTGTTGCTAGGGAGGACAAACATTATGTAATTCACATTATGACTATTGGAATACAATTATTCATAACAGGTAAAGCAAATAATTTGTAACGAGGCACTTAATAAAGATTTGTGCGTTTAATTTCAAATTGGATTACATTCTGAAAAATGGTCCAGTGACTTGGTAGGACAAACATTATGTTATTCACATTATGACTATTAGAATACAATTATTCATAACAGTTGAAGGAAATTATTTGTAACGAGGCACTTAACAAAGATTGTGTGTTAAATTTGATATGGCCTAGTAACTTGGGAACCAGGGGTGCTGTAGTGGTAATGTCAGCAAATATGAGAGTGGAAAAGGCACCAAAAGTGTGATAGCCCCTTTTTTTTTCTGTCTTTCTCTCTTGCTCTTTAAAACTTCTCAATGTGACAAAATGTCTCCCTAGTTCCCTGTGCTTGTAATTTGTCCGTTTGTTGGTTGTAGTCCTTGTAAAACCTGAGCTTCCATGTTCTTATAAGAATTATAACCAAATGCTGTGTTTCAGCATGGTAGATTTATCAAACGATCTGAGACTGTGGTCTAAGTTGTAGGTTTGATGAGTCAACTAATAGTTGTTGCAAACATGCATGCTCATGAAGAGGTCATTCGTAGAGTTCTGCCGTTTCACCACATTGAACAATTGGTCTGTTTGGAGACCCTATTGTTTACATTTGCAACTAATATTTGGATAAAATGAAATGTCAATGTTAGTATCTGTTCTCAAACATGTATTGCCTTGATAACACATGGAAGTGCCATAGTCGAGTGGTTTAAGCACTTGACTTGAAATTCAAAGGTCGTGGTTTGATCCCTGATACGGCACTAATGTCCTTTGGCAAGGCATTAATCTGCATTTGCCACACTCGCCCAGGTGAGGTAAATAAATGTAGGTACCTGGTAGGAATTAATTCCTTGAAATGCTGGAGCGCTGTAATGGCAGCTAGGCTAAAACCGGGGTAATGATTAATGTGCCTAGGAATAGCATTTCTAGATAGATGGCGCTATAGAAATGCCTATAATTATTATTATTATTACAAGTATGTATTTCTTTTTCTTTCTGTGGTATAGAAATGACAGAGGAGAGATGGCGATGGAAGGTCTGAAGATACTGCTAGAGTTTGCACTAGCCAGAGGGAACCTGGCCAGCATACTCAAAGCACTACAAGATCTGCTAGGTAAGGAGTACACTGACTCTTTGTTGTTGAAATGACAGTTTTGATTGTAAGTTTGATTGCAAGTTTGGATTGCAAGTTTGGAATTCAGTTGGATTAGATTGGATCGTAGTAGGTTGGATTTGAGTTGTTAATTCAAATTGGATAAATTGGATTTGAAGGTAATAGATTGATGACATTGGGCCCATTTACACAGCCCCAAAAAACATTTTGCAAAACCATGGGATTTCTGTGGACTGCCATTTACACTACCAAAACCAGAATCATTCACCAATATTTTGAGAGTGAGCATTTACACTGCAAAAATCAGTGAAATTTCTTTCTTTTGCGTCTTGTTTACCAGTAGCTTCAAGCTACTGCTTCTAGCCTAGCAACTTCTGACAAAACACCAGAATGTGAGGCAAACTGATGAAAGGCTTTGTTGAATAGTTCTTATGTGAAAAATGGATGTGTGCGAGAGTAGATTGTCTGCTCCCACTCTATCCTACTATTTGCTCTCTTTACAGTCATGAATTCAAGCTATATTTGATAAAATACATGAATTGCATGAACATGTAATATGAATCATTTTCTTCATGCAGATCATAAAAACAGTGAGATTGAAGGTGCTGTCAAGATGTTGAGGAACCTGAACACAGTAAGGGACTCCATCTTGAAGAAACATGGTAAGATTCCTACACAGTTTCCCATTTCTTCACTCCATGCTTTGAAAAAAAACCTTAACCCCCTCCCGTCCCCCCTCTCTCTCTCTATCTCTGCTTCTATATGTCTCCTTCTTTGTTTCTCTCTCTCTCTCTTGCTCCTTATCTCTTTTGGTAAAGTTGCTTCAATTGATATTTTGAATACTGTTTTTAATTTATAACATTTCATTGTTGGATGTCTCCATAAAGTATACAACGATCCATTCATTTACATAAATAAAATTAAGTGATGATACTATTGATGACTTATAATTCTATATTTCTTCTTTGTTTCTCTTCTCTCTCTCTCTCTCTCTCGATCCCTTTTGGCAAAGTTGCTTCAATTGATATTTTGAATACTGTTATTAATCTATTACATTTCATTGTTAGATGTCTCCATAAAATTTACAACGATCCATACATTTACATAAATAACATTTATGTGATGATACTATTGATTATTTATGTATGATGATGGTTTATATCTGTATATTTTTAATCCTATTATGTTATTTAATAAAGACAAGACTATATCATTGTTATAACTTTCTGAGCCTATGACCTACAAGCATTGCTTTCTCTTTAGGCTCCATCATATTTCTTCCTTTATTTAATTTAGTCTTATGTATTATTCTTTTCGTTTTTATAAATGCATCCAAAAAAAAAAATGAAAAAAGTAATATGCCAAATGTAATGATGTATTATACAACATGTAAAATATGAAAATAAAGTGAAACTGAAACTGCAACTGATATGAATAAATATATCCATGAATAATTGATTTAGATTGATGATAATTATCTCACTGAAAGGTCATTCTTTTGCTCTCTGTCTTCTCCTCTTGAAGGTACCCAGCTGACCGTGTCTCTTGAAGGCTGCGATGGCGGCCAGCAGGATGAAACAACAGCTCCAAGCAATGTCCTTTGTGGTAACTGGTCTGCAAAAGGTAGTGAATGTCTTCTGAAAATGCACATTTAAAGCGTTCTCACACATGCTTTATTTCACTGGGTACAATGCATTATTTGATTCAATTGACCAAAACACACCAGTAAAGGCTTGTTCTTTTATAATTCGGTAAAACTGTGGCAGTTTACCACATCACATGTGCGTGAGCCTGAATAAAGATACATATTGTGCATGTGTTTATCTTCATGACTGAGGTATGAAAATGCAGCTTCATTACTTGGAAGCTATTTTTATAGTGCATCAACCTGGAGAGGGTACAAGTCTTTAGGAAATTTGTTGCAATGTAATCATCTCTTTGACAAGATTCTTGCTACTTCCACTTTTCTTCAGGATATGTGTCCAATTCTCCCAAGGTCAACATGTTCTTTACAAAAGACACTCCATTCCAGATCACCAAAGTTCAGATTAAGGTAAGTGAACATAATTACATGTATTTCTTGACATTTGAACTTCTTTTTGGGCACAGTGGTCTTTCAAAATATATTATTTTAAGGGAAGAACTTTTCTTGTACTACTGTACATGTGTGTGTCCTTTGGAATGCTTTTATCTTTATTTTTTTTCATTTATTAATTTTTCAGTTTTGAATAAAAATAAATTCTCATTATACATTAAAACATAAAAAGAGAAATATAAACTTATTCTAAATAGAAGTGGCTAAGGCTCCAAGATAAGCGAAGCTTGCTGCCTTGATTGCCTGATAATATTTTTTTACATTTCCTGTGTAGTGAAACATTTAAGATTATTTTATGTTCACCTTCCTTGCTTTATTTTATTTTTCAGTTTCAAATGATAACATATTCTAGGACCCGGTATATGAAAACTCAAGCAATGAAGATAAAATATTTCAATTGATATATCTTATTTACACATTGCAGGTAGCCAAAGGTGCCACTGGACCAAAGTGTGGTCTGATCTTTGTCTACAATGATCAGTAAGTTGAGCAATTATCACTCCTTTTGTTAACCAATCTTCATACAGTGTTGTTGCTTTGTAGTGTAAGGAGGGTTCCCTTGTTTTTGTTTTTTTAATAAATCATTCATTGTAAATGTTGGATTAATAACATAACGAATAATATACATTTTTCATAAATTTTAATGAGCTTGTGTGTGTGTTTACATCATGGAGATGTTGAAATCAAAGCAGTTCGTCACTGATGATATTTCATATCTTACAATTTACTTTTGTCTTAACTTGATGTTTCCAGGAAGGGCTTTGACTTGAAACGACATCTGGCGATATTTGAGAAGTACGATTCTTGGAATTCAACAGACTACAGGCTCTTCCAAGGATTAAGGTATGTATGATTTCTGCCATATTAGAGGTATCAAGTGACAAAAGAAGTCAAGCTCAAACTTTTTTGGAAGAAAAAAATGCTTGAGATGTCTACGTCTACGTCTATGCTGGAACTCGTCAAAAACCTTTTCAGCAACTACACAAGGATATTGTGGTGTGGTGTCTCTCATAGTGGTCACGATCGATTAGTATATTATACAAGTATATTATGCTAGTTGTGCAAGTAAAAACAGTTCCTCCTATGATTTAGGCACTGATGGCTCCTTTGAACTTCTCCACAGAGGGAGCTCATCCCAGTCCTGGAGTGTTGTTTAAAGATACTGACATAAAAGACAACACAGTTAATAAAATGTTGTGCTGCTGGCACAAGGTCGTTAGCATATATGTATACCACAAGGCTAATTTCTGATAACTCACTTCTTAAGTTTTGACTGCTCTATAAATGTAATACCATTTTATAAACATATATTATTGACTGATAAAAAAAGAGAATACAGATAGTAACTGCATATTGTTAGCAGTACAATCAACCTCACGTAAGTCGATCGTGACGGGACTGAGTGACTTATATCAAGTTGTGCGTAAGTCGTAGAATATATGACGTACCCATTTGTAATACATAATTAGGCCTACATGTTCATATGATATGTTGCCCTTAACATATTAACTCAGGCATGCCACGACATGGCCGGTGGCATAATTGGGATTACAGCCCTGATCCCAAGCCTTAAAGGCATCGTTTAATAATGTTAAATCTGATATGCATGGCCCTACGTGTTATCAGGGTCTGTGATATGGTGTAATATTGAAGCCCTAACAAAAGTAACCATGCTCATTTTCCCCAATAGATTGTAGTGTTATAAAAACTGTTAGGAAAAACGAAAAAAAGACATTTTGAATTGCAATCATAAATATCTTGATAATCAGACAGGCGATCCGCTTGTAAAAGTCATGGGATTCCTGACTGACCTAAAGGTTTATAATTATCATTGCAGCATGAGCTAAATCCAGGATTTTGTTCAGAATCTGAGGCAATGTTACCGAGTCACTTTAACATCCAGAAAATGAGAGCATACCTCCATGACTAATCCTGTACACAGTGACTGACTTCATACTCCTGTAAGAAATTTAAGAATAAATAAGGATAAAACAAGACACGTGCAGAAATTGATTCCAATGTATTGATTCCAATGTATCGAATCTGCGCTTTATGTTTCACATTGCTTTTGTCACCTCTCACTACTTCGCCCGCTATGTACGTTCGGCAGGCTAGACTTGTCTGAATGTATTAAGGTGCTATGGAAAATCGGAGTTTAGTGACCTCGTGTATTAACAGGGCTTTTTAATAGTTCTTGGGAGGTCATAGAGGCAGAGGGGACACTTTTGTACATCTTATAGAAGAAAAAGAAAAGAGGGGGGGGGGGGGGGAATAAGAATATTTTAGAGTTAAATGAATCAAGTTTTTAAAAGAAATATATCAATCTTGAAAAGCAAAAAAACACTTGCCATAGCTATGTAACTACCTGAGTATTGCTTTTTTTTTCATAATGAAATTGGGCTAAGTCCTATTAAAAAGAATATCAACATTTTGTAGTATGGTAGTACTTTCATCAGATAATATCCTAACTTCAAATATTTTTCTATCTTTGCTGACAGAGCTGCGTCCATCTGCGGAAAACCTGATAATCCAGTAGCATATTTCAGCTTGGACAATGATTGGTAAGGCTATAAATTTCTAATAGTGCATGCATGCAGGGCTCGACTTTAAGTTTTATTCATAGTGGGATTTAATGGAAAATAATAGGGCCTTTCTTGAACACCACCTGGAAGCCCTGTTTAATTTTTCAAACTTTATATTTCAGCGTTATGATCTTTAGATAATGTTTAATGATCTAATACATGAACGGCCTGCCCTAGTTAAGTATAACTTAAAGTCGATCTTAGTCTCTGTGAAACGCTTCCTAGACCTCATCACACATCATCAATGACTGCGCCAGGAAGGTTCCCCAGGAGGCACTAAAGGAACCCCATCTTGTGTCAGATCTGTGCCTTCGCAAGGCTCTCCAACCTTGATATGTCACTCCGAGTCCAACCTTGATTTGTCAATCCAGCTGCAAAATGTCATATGAAAGGAAAGAGATATAATACAAAGACAACAGTTAAGAATCTCCAAAATAAAGATTGAAAATAAGTAAATGCAAAAGAAAACACTTATATTATTGCATAAATGTACTATCGTTGTTTGAACAGGGATGAAGTGGAGGTACCTCTTGACCAGTGTTTTGTCGGTCAGTATGCCCTTATCAAGTTCCTTGGTCCGAGAAGTGACTCGGCCACCAGGCTGGGCATTGTGGGTGTCCATTTCTACGGCTTTTCCCGAACCTCGTCAGTCCTCGACAACATAGACATTGTGAGTACTGAGATCATGTAGGTTACTGCCCAGTTAGTATTATACATGTAGAACTATGCATTATTTGTGAGAAAAATTAATTGTATACTACTTGTATGATATTTGAGAAATTAGAATAAATTGTCTCAGTAGCACAATGTTTTGAAAACAAAATAACTGTGGAGAATCCCTCTGTAAAAAAAAAATACACTTAAGATATCATTATACAACAGTATATTAAAAAAAAAATTGTAAATGATGAATTAGAAATGTAAAAAAAAATGGAAATTGATTCTGCTTTCTGTGGTAAATTGCCCAGAAATAATTGGTAAATATCAATACCAGAAAAGAAACGCTTATTATTGAAAAATAAAGGAACAACTGAATCTATGATCAGCTTGTAATTGATGTTGACTTGAATCTCTTTGCAGTCAAGTGTGGCTCCTCTTCCATACGACGTGGATTCTCCAATCAACACAATGATTCTCTTCACACAAGTCATGAGCTTCATTGTACGCATCTGCCAAGACTTGGTGAGTCCATTAACCTGTTTAATATCAAAGCCACCTGGGGGGGTGTTTCACAAAGATCCTAAGTCGAACTTATCTCTTAGTTGGACATAACAATTATGGAAAGCCATTAGCATCCTCGAAAATATTTTTGTAAAAGTTATTTTAAACGGCGTAAAATGTGATTCAAATCATTCATATTTTATAATATCATGGGAGATTTCATGTTCTTGATGTGGAATTTATGTCTAAAGTACTTGAATTTTTGCTTTTGAATATATTTCAAAATAAGGCTACAAATGGCTCTCCATAATATTTAAGTCCAACTTAATCTAGGATCTAGGAGGGTGACTGCTGGGAGGCCGGCCGCCCACCCGCCGGCTGCCGAGATGGTTGCTACAGCGGTCGCCGAGTTGAGGGACCGCAGTGGCTCCTCGCTGCAGGCAATAGGGAGTCAAGTTCGACTTAGAATCTTTGTGAAACAACCCCCAGGTAGTCATTGTCCATGGGTATTGCATCATAATTTGCTGAAGACGTCTTAGAAATTACATGTAGTTCTTAAAGATGCATTCCAAAGGATTTACAGGTGACTGTGTTGATGTTTTGAGTCCGACATGTTATTCAGACGTGTACTGGAAGACCAGAGCTAGCCGCCACTTCTACGGCCACTACAAGATGCCCCATCTCTGTTTATGTTGTAAGGTGTCCTTTTGATTCGGATGGTTTAGTTGGGTCATCCACTAATCATAGGCCTATTGACCATTATAGTGAAAATTCTAATTATGAGCCTGGCTGGAATGCTCCCCAGGAAGTGGAGAATGTGTATACATTGTGTGCGGGGTAGCCTGAATCTGATACGGGGTAATAATATACAAATATACACTGCCTTGAGGGGTTCTGGTTAAAACTATGCGCAAGAGGTGACTCCAATAGTACTATTTGCTGAGGGGCGCAGCCCCGAAGCAAATGGTACTTTTGGAGTCACAGAGGCCCATAGTTTAACCAGTACCTCGAATAGAAGGCATGGTATATTTGTTTTATATCCTGCATCAAAAATTTATTAAAAAAAAAAAAAAAAAAAAACATTTTTGGGGAAAAAAAATTTAGAACAAAAAAAATGTCAATTTTTATCTAAAAAGATTTAAAATATTTTGTATTCATTAAATTAAGATTTGAAGAAAAAAAATTGATTCAATTCAAAAAAAAAAATCACATTTTTTTTTTCAACTCCCAAATAGTAAACCAAAATAGTACTCTCATATAGTACTTTCTAATAATAGGTCAAATATTTCTGGTCATGTGACGAGCTCTCAACCAATCAAAAGCCAACAAATTTTTGATGCAGGATATAATACTGTATATCTGTAAAGTGCTAAGTGACATCGTTGTTGTATTACGTGCTATGTTAACGCGGAACAGTATTATTATAGATAAGACAAAATTTTCAACAATTTTAATGTATAAATTGCTATTTAATATGAATTTTTATGTCAAATGTTTATCTTATACAGTCAAACCTGCTGCAAAGACCACATTTGTTGTTTCCCTTGAAAATGGTTTCTCATTGAAACATGTACTAAAGGAACCTGTCTACAAAGACCACCTGTCTACAAAGACCACTTTTTGTGTTTCCCTTGGGTTGCTGTAGACAGGTTTGACTGTATATGCATGTGCAAAATTCAGCTTTTTGATGCAAAACATGTCTAAAAAACATTTATGTATTGATTTAAATTGAATGCCAGGAGGTGATGAAGAAGAGGAAGGAAGGGACTGTGATGCGTATCCCTGTACCAGACATGCAGCACCTAACTCTCAACATTATCAGTCAACTCTACAGTGCCATCCCACAAGAGTGAGTACTTACTTACTCTGTGCACAGGCTTAAAACCCGTCTGCACTACTTATAGCTACTTGCGACCTCTATATAGCAAACAATGCCTATTTGGTGCCTGTTGAGCTGATTTGATGAGATAACCACCTGTCAGTGACCTTGCAGGGTGGTCTAATCCCCTCTGGCCAAACTAATGCTAAAGTCACCTAAAAAATAATGTGTACAGCTGCAATGATGATAATAATGTATGAGATTTGTTGGGCACTGAATCCACTTGAAATCAAATGCTCAAGGCGCACTTGTGGAAGAAAAAAGTAGAAAACAGAAGGGGATCACATAAAAGCATCTGAATTATAAACAAAGGAACAGAAGAAAGCAAGAAAGAACATACAAAAATCACAGAACAGTTAACTTGTTGCCGAATTAAACAGATACGTTTTAATTAAAAAGCAACTTAAAAAGAATAATTCGGCATTCTATGGACTAACAGATATGGAATATGAAGAAAATAAAGAATAACATAAAAAGGGATATTTCATATTGACATACTCAATTACCCACCTAATCTTAACCCTGCAAAGGGTTAAAGAAAATGTTTTAAGAAGTGTAGACCTACCAGTAGTTTACTTCAGAGCCCAAATCAAGATGCAACCAAGGGTGATGAAGAGGTGTCTAGTGGATACGTTGCTGGACTTTGCACAACTGTTGTTGTTGTTACTATTATTTGTATTATTTATATTATTATTACTGTTATCATTATTATTATTATTACTACTATTATTAATAAAATTATTATTATTGTCATCATTATCATAATCATAATTATTATCATTATCATTATCATTATTATTATCATTATCATTATCATTATCATTACCTATACCAATACCATTGTCATCATCATTTTCTTCATAATTATCATTATCATTATCATTGATTGTTTGGAAGTAGTCACCAAGAAATTTTAATAACTTGTATTTTTGCAGTGACAACCAGTGGATGTATGCCAGGATACTATGTTTGAACCTGCTTCATATCAGCATCCCAAACCTAGCCAAGCACAGAGAGAAGGAGACTGCCAAGGCTAGAATGCTGTCAGATCTTCAACTTCAGGTATGTAGCAGTAGTCACATACAAATGAAGGATGTGACAATAACAAGAGCCACAAAAGATAGGACGCAGAGGCATACATCTTTTCCACTAGTAGGAAGCGGTTCCTCTTTAAGTTTAACAAGTTTCCCAACATTTCTTAGAAGTGAATTTGTAAATAGCCAACCGAACTAGCAACCATTATCGTGCAATGTGGGGATAGGGAGACACTTGCAATCAATGTCACAAGTACCATTACCTTGTGAATTCAGTCTTGGAATGATTTTGCTGTTAGTATTAATAGCAGTACATGTATGTAGTCGACTCTATGTAATTTAGAACCTTGAAATGATGTGTATTGATTTCTAAGGTATCAATTTTCATTCATGCCTTATTTGTTAAGGATCACCGAAAGCTTGGAGAATTTCAGCTACATGGTGCCCAAATTCAAGAGACTCGATTTGATAATCAACCAGCAACGGACAACCAGACATCTCAAGAAACACCGGCAAGTGCACAAGCACAATCAGAGACCTTGACAGATACGCAGCGAGAAACACTTGCAAACACTCCAGGACAACGAACAGCGTACGTCCAGGAGTCGCAGGAGATGCTGTCTCCAGGACTGAACAGTGGTCCATCCCCTGGAGCCACCCCTACCGCCGTCACGCCACCACCGATGATGGCTCTATCCGGCACATCCAGCCCGATGTCGGAAACCAGGGAATTAGATACGAGCCTGGACCAGAGACAAGCGAGGGAGCTGTTCAATCACCTGTGCCAACTGGCAAGCTTTGACGGAGGAGACGGGTCGCAGGAGGATCCTAGGATGCTACTCAAGGCGGCTGCTGAGGGAAGCATTTTAGATGGTAAGGCCTAAAAAAAATGATGTTATATTGCCCTTCAGGTGCCAGTTGGGCCAGTTGGTCGAGGAAAAAAAATGTATAACTTTTTTTCTTTTTTCTCTCCTTCTTTGGACTGATATTTCTCAGTTTTTAGAATGCTTTGGTATTTTTTTTCTCTAAAAAAAACAGTTAAAAAAGAAAAGAGAGGACTGGTCTATACATGTAACTTTAACAAAGAGGAATTTTGAGAACTGATGGTAATATTATCTCCACTTGACAGGTGCTGCAGTGTTTTTTCCTGGGAAGGATGCAAGGAGGGAAGAGCTCTTTAATATGATGAATTCAATGGTGGTAAGTTAGACAATCTTTTCCAAGAGTATGGACCTTAATAGGATAACTAATGTGATGTTTGTTTTTGTACTTGCAAAGAGTAGTAAATACACAATGTATACATATTTGTTTGAAGTGTATCTAATTAAATAGGTCAGCTTCTAAAGAAATAAGGTTTGACTCTGAACCATGTTTTTGTTTTATGGTGGTAAATTGTGCAATCTTTTGCAAGTGTATTGTAATTTTATGAATTGATTTGTGTATTAGCAAAGAGAAGTTGCTAATTGTTCATGTAAGTCTGATTTTCTGTATCTATTTGTATAGATCAACTTCCACTGAACTTAGTTTGGAATCTACACCCTGTATTTCAAATTTTCAATTTCATTGTTACAAAAACTTCACCATAGCATCTCCTACTGTCCAATGACACAAATTTGTTAGTCCTAGTTTGGACAAATTACGGTGATGTATAGTCTATTTTATAATAATGCCATATATTTTCCTTTGTTTAGACTGGAGAAGACACAGCTGTTGGTCTTGTGTTCCAGTCACTCTGTCGATTCTTCAGCACTGTAGATCCAAGTGGCTTGCTGGAACTCCCTTCAAGCTCACAAGAGGTGAGCTCATGAATATTCATATTTATTCAAGTTCATTATGCAACAGATAATTTTAAGAAAGAAGGTAAGTTTCAATTTATGAGAAATTAATGAATTCAGAAAGTTCCGTAATATTTGCAGTTAGGTTTGCAGTTAGCATCATGTGCATACATATATATGCCAGTATGCATAGTCATATACATGTACACCAGTACAATAGTGGGGGAGGGTCCTCTAGTAATGAACAGGGAATGGCCTTGGTGATGATTTGGTGCCCTGGCTCAGCAAAAAATTTGAATGACCTTTGAAAGATTTAAAACAACTTTCTTCTACTCAAAAGCCACTTGAAATCAGGACAAACATTTACACTGCATATATTTATGTTGCACATCTTTGTTTCCATTGAGAATGCCTCCGCTACAACAAAGTAGCCGAAGACATTATTTTTTCTGGTTGTCCGTCTCAAGAACCAATTGATGGATTTGGGCCAAACTTGGGTCATGAATGTATCTTGCTTGCCAATGAACTGATAAGATTTGGGGGTCATGAGGCTAAAGGTCAAAGGTCACAGGGCTCATTATGTATGCACAAATAGCTGTTATACACCTATGTATGACTCTTTCTCCCTAGGAATTTAACCAAGGCTCTGTCCTGATGGTGTTTGACACCCTCCTCTCCGCCTCCTACAAGGAGTTTGCTGAACTGATAGAGGAGGGGGAAGAGGGATCACCCCCATCGGGCCCCTCCCATGTTTGCAGCCTGCTGTGTGCCCTACAGACCAGTCTGCTAGGTTGGGCAAAGCACTGTCTGACAGACTCCAAGGGAGATAGCAAATTGAAGAAGACAGCAGGGGAAGTCATAAGAGACTGTAAGTAACCCTGTAAAGGATCATTGGATCGGACGCCAATACCGATAATAATTTCCGATCGCCGATCAATTAAAATGATCGGAAAAAAATCGGCAGAATTTTTTTTTTTTTTTTTTTTTTTTTTTAATGCCAAAATTTTTCAAGTTTTTGGCTATCAAATTTTCAAAAAACAATTCATGGCTGGGATTATTTTGTCATTTGGAGTTGTTGTAGACCATGTTTGTTGATATTTAGTGCCTTTTCATGACTTTGAAATTAATAATATTGGTCTAAGAGCAGAGGCAAAACATGCGGGCCGCCATCTTGGATTATAATGTAGGTATGCATTATAATCCAAGATGGCGACCCGCATCATTTCTTTTCTGAAAAGGTTTTTTCAGTAGATAATCTGTAGTATAGCAGCAAAAGCAATCATCTTTTATAATTTATTTTATATATGATTGACTCTGTACAAACAAGTGTACCAAATTTGATAAGAATTTTCACTGGCATGTAAATAAACTGTTGCTTTTGAAATTACTGGACATACATGTATGCGTAGGTGTCATCGGTGACAATTTTTGCTCATTGTTCATATGTTTGATTTTAAAAGTTTTTATCACATTTTCTGTAGCATATATCGATGTAGTGTAATTGATATTTGATTATTGGCTGATATTAAAGCCCAACTGTACTACTTGTAGCTACTTTCTCTATATAGAAAACAAAGCCTAAGCGGTGCCTGTTGGTCCCCCATGGTCCTCTTTTTCTTAAGTTAATTGAGAGCTGAGTTGATGAGATAGCCACCTGTTCGTGACCACACTGGGTGGTCTATTCCCCCCTGGCCAAACTCGTGAAGACAGACTCTAATTCATTATTTGCTGATTTGATTGCTTTTGTATAGATTGTGGGATGCAGTGTTCCTGGGCTCGGAATGCTCTCTGCTTGCTGCAGAACCAGAAGGGTGTCAGCAACAGACTCAATGACCTCATCCACACCTTCATCCCTACTGCATTCAGACAAATGGTGAGTAACACCTGGCTGGAATGCTTTCCAGGGAGTTGAGATTGTGCACACAGTGTGTGCGGGCAAGTATTGAATCCAATGACCGGGGTAATAGTATATCTGTAAAGCGCTTCGAGACACCATGAATGTATTAAGCGCTATATGAAAGCAGAATTATTATTATGATGGTTATGCAGAGGTCTTGTGGTCTAGTGGGTATGTCTCAAGACTGTGAACTACAGGGTGCAGGGTTCAAATCCCTGCCGCAGCATTTTGGCAGGACATTAATCTACATCCGTTGCACTTGACCCAGGTGCAGAAAGTGGGTACCTGGTAGGATTTATTCCTTGAATGCACTGAGCACTATATGGTTGCTCAAGAGAGCTAAAGCCAGGGTAATAATATCCAAAGTCCTTTGGGGGCTCAGAAAGACATTGTATCATAATGTTATATGCAATATACAACAATGGAATCTTACTAATATTGTAATGCTTGTATCGCTACTGCCCATATGCAAATATTGTATAATTATGCATTTTTCATATTAAATTTTATTCAATTTTCCTATTCTTTTAGAAATTATATTGATAAAGAATAAAGAATCAGAGCTTGCAACCCTTTTAAAATGGTATATTTCATCATGCATCTTTAATAAGAAATCTTTATTGACAATCTATTCCGTTTTATTTTTGTCTGTCAGGTTCTCTGTGTTACTCTATTGAGTGAGATGGATATGCCGTACCTACACCTAGCTCAGAGGCTACTCAGTGTAGCTGTGGAAATCAGACAGCTAGAAACAAAACTCAACATCCATTTCCCAAAGGCAAGTCATTAAGAATGTACATGTGATCTATCTGTCTGTGTGTCTGTATGTCTTTCTGTCTGTTTGTCTTTCTGTCTGTCTGTGGATCTGCCATACCTACACCTAGCTCAGAGGCTACTCAGTGTGGCTATGGAAATCAGACAGCTAGAAACGGACCTTTCAATCTACTTCCAAAAGGCAAGTCATTGGTAGAAATGTCAAATTTTAATGGCTTAAACATTTGACTTGTTATGAAACCGTCATGGGTACAAGCCCTTGCACTTCAGCAAGACATTATTTAGCATTTACCACTCTCAACCCAGGCATGGTAAATCATAACAAGAAGGGTACCTGGTAGAAAGGAATTTCCTTAACGTGACTCGGTAACATTGCCTCAGATTCTGAAACAAAATCCTGGATTTAGCTCAAGCTGCAATCATAATCATAAACCTTTAGGTCCGTCAGGAATCCCATGACTTTTATAAGCCGATTGTCTGTCTGATTATCAAGATATTTATGGTTGGAAATCAAAATTTTTTGTTTTCCTAATGGTTTTTATAACACTGCATTCTATTTGGGAAAATGAGTATGGTAAAACCGCCACTTTTACTTTTACTTTTTTGAAGCACTTCATGATCATTTTGAAGCGCAAATTTTGTAAGGCTTCAATATTACACCAAATCACAGACACTGATAACACGTAGGGCCATGCATCCCAGATTTAACATTGTAAAACGATGCCTTTAAATTTTAAGGTGCCGTAATAGCATCCAGGCTGAAGCCGTAGTTATGATATTGGAGCATTAGGAGCATTGTGTAGATGACTAAACAACATTAGTGCTATAAGAAAATCTATCATTATCCTTACTGTTTGGGAGAGAGGAGGGAGGCTGATGTGAGGGGAAGGGGAGAGATAATAAGTACCAGTATCTATATAGAGGGTAATGTATCATTATTGACATCCAATCCATCCAATACAGAGAAGACCAAGATCAATAGAATGTCTAAGACATTTTTGCAATTATTTTGTCATTGTGTATTTGCAACTTTTCCTTGAATTCATGTGACTCTCTTTAACATCTTGACCGTAATGTTGTATGCTTGCAAAGTATTTTTGCCGTTTTGTAGTTTATGGCTCGAAAACAGAAAGGAGGTTTAATTTAAATCATTGTCTAAACCATGGACTAAGATAAGCATAGATAAGCATATAATGATAAACCTCCTATGAGGATGAGGGCTACTGTTCATGGTTTTATTTTCAAATAAATGATAATGCTGATTATAGTAATCAATATTATTATTCCTTAATACAGGATGGAGCACCAGTCCAAGGCAGTGCTAAGGAAGAGGTGGTTGTCCTGAGGAAGTGGCACATCGAATCAGCTCATAACTATGACAACAACCAGCATGTCACACAGATCTTCACATGCCCTGGTGCTGACCTCTTTGAAGTGACCTTTGACTCCAAATGTGAAACCGAGAGAAGGTGATACGTGACTCTCATTTTCATTTTCAAAGATCTACATACAATAACCTGTAAATCTCAACAACAATTTTTTTGTTTTTTTGGTGTGTGTGTATACATGTGTATAAGACGCACCCCCGACTTTCGATTATACACAGAGATTTACGGTACCTTTACCTGCAATTAATAAAATAACAATATGATATGAACATCTTCTAGAATAGAAAGATGCTGCATTGCTGTTGTTTTGCACATAACATTTTTGAAAAATAGAATATTATGGTATACATACATTTTCATGTGCATATTCTTGATATTTGTCATTTGTGAATATATGGAAATATAGGTAAACCATTGAATTGGTTTGAATGGAATTCATTGTGTAATATTGTTGCTCATAGTAAGAGCTAAATTGAATTCTGCTCACAACACATCCTATATTTGCTTTTTACAGATATGGTGTGCAATTCACATCTATCAATAATAAATTCATTCTATATTTGCTTACATAAACTTCCAGTTTATCAATATTTATATATTGTATGTTCGTTGCATATTGCATATTTCCTGATAAATGAATAGACAATAAGAAAATGGTAAAGGGAACTGCTTACTGTGAAACCTGAAAGATCGCTTAAAGGAGACAAGAAGAGCATTCTCAGTAGTCGGATGGTCTCTAAGTATAGGTTCACTTTATACATGCACACAAAAATGTCTTCTTTTTAGACATGTTGTTTCCGTGTAAAAGACGCACCCCTATTTTTAGGGGAAAAAAAAAGAAGGTCATCCCTTCAAATTAGGAACGTACATGTAGGTTAACCTCAAATAGTAGATCCTATTCTTTATTCACATTATGTAATTTTTACATTGAGACACAGAGATTTAAAAAACCCACTAAAAAGTTGCATTTAGAGGACTCAAAATCTCCTGTACCTGTCTATAAGACCGCCCCCCTGTTACGGTAACCTGGTTTCATTGTATTAACCATTTCTCTCCTTGTATAGGTATGACTATTTGGAGTTCACTGACTCCAAGGGAGTGAAGACTCGCTATGATCAGAAAGTTGGCACAGACAAATGGCCGACCAACGTCACCTTCAACAGCGGTCAGCGTCTTCAGTTCCTCTTCCATTCAGACAGCAGCAACAACTTCTGGGGATATAGCTTTGATGTAAGTTCATTGGTTGAAATCTTATGATAGTGGTCGAGTGGATATGTCACTGAACGGTTCGAGTCCTGCCATGGCACTAATGTCCTTTGGCAAGACATTGATCTACATTTGCCACACTCAACCCAGGTGATTGAAATGGGTACTTTATAGCAGGAATTAATTCCTTGAAAAGGTAGATCGCCGTTATGGCCGCCTTGCCGCCCTACACATGGGGCCTCCAGTTAACGTTCTAGTCGGAGGAACGTAGTGCTGCATTGAGCTGCAGAGGGGAGGGGCAGGCTAACGCACAATGCGGCGACAATCATAAATGCATTGATGTCTGCCCAGTGTGGACTGAAACCGATGCGCATGATGAAAGTCATGCATGAGAGCCAGACGACGATCCGATTGCGCCACACCACCTCCATCTGTACCGAACTTTTATTTTCGTTTCTTCCCCAATGCTAGGTTGTATCCAAAGGCAAGCCAGACGTGTCTCTACCCTGGCTATATGATCTTCAGCTAGGACTGGCTAAACTCATCGGTACCCTCTGCTCTCAAATACTCTCTCTCAAATCAGGTAATTATGAAGAGCTTCGAACCCTGGAAAGCAATTTACATATGATATCATATGTTGGACTTGTGGCTTTCAGCAGACACTATGTTTGTAAAATGCACTTTATTTAACAAGATGTTTTGTGAAACAGAGCAAATATCTTGCCTTCCTTCTTAAGATATTTGGACATTAAATTGTCATTTACTCATGGGCATTAGCACTTGATATTTTCTCATTGTCATTGTCTCTTTATGAGAAGAGATAACAAGAGAGTATATCCTTAGAAACTTAGAAACTATATTCATGGTTACATACCTTAAGGACTCCTCAATCCTCCCTCTCTCTCACATGGTGCATCCGCAAGCCTACTGTATGTATGGTTACATAAAGTATGTAAATATCCCTTTTCTTTCTTGTTCGAAAGGTTCAGAGTCCCATTTTGAATAAGAATAGTGGAGTTTATAGTAACTTGACATGTAATGAAGCATAAATTGCTACATACCAATGTCTGAATTCAAGGAGGTTTATCTCAAACCCAGGTTTAAACTTCCTTAAGCCTATCATGTGTTTTTCCTCTTGTCCAATAGCTATGTACACTTACTCACACTTATTGTAGTCCGTCTTTGGGATCTCAACCATGGTTTAGACAATAGCTCAAACCGATCCTCCTTTGTGAATTCGGGCCTAAGGGTTTATTATTATTTATTTGGCAAAGACAAAATTAAGAAACGGTGAATACACAACAACAGTAAGATTTGAAGTTAGTCATGTGAATGCATGTTTGTCCTGTAAATTTCCTGGTCTTTAAAGCTACTTGCGCCCTCTATATACTGTAGCAAACAATGCCTAAGCGGTACCTGTTGGTCTTACACGATCCCCTTTTTCTTATGTTAATTGAGAGCTGATTTTATATGATAACCACCTGTCAGTGACTTTGCAGGGAGGTATAGTCCCTCCTTGCTAAACTAGTACAGACAGGCTTCAATACTGTAATATGCAAATGAATGAATTCTTATTCACATCCTAAACCCTCATTGACAACAGAGAAACAGATGCGGGAGGAAATCTGGGAGAGTGACGAGCAGAAGAGGAAGGCTCGGGAGGCCCTCTTGTCTCAAAACTTCTTCCAGACCTTGTTCAGAGGGGGTCACAGTGTTGGCAAACCACTCAGGTCACTGTCGGGAGAGAAGGTGAGTACATACCTGTCAACCCCCTCCGAATTATCTAGAATATTATGATTTACTGGATTCTTAGGACCAAAATATTGAGATTTTTAGTTTTGTTTGTTTTGTTTGTTTTTGTTCTTGCTAAAGCCAAATTAAGCTTGTTTTATCATCTGACTCGCGACTTGAGAGTTCACGTATCGCAAGCATTGAATCGCTGCTTGATCGAGCAGCAAATTTGTATTCACTTTTTTTGTACAGATTTACAGCCTATTGCCAGTTACACTGCCGCTGCATATGCGAATGCCTGTTAAGGGTACAGATTTCTTATTTTCGAAGACATGCCCTGCTAGAAATTCCTAATTCTTATTTTCAAATGTTGGCAGGTATGTGAGTATGATGAAGATTGCTCCTGGCTTTATATTGTCAAAGATATAGGGTTAGGATTAGAGTTGCAATTGGAATTTAGTTTCACTTCAGATTTTGGGTTTGGCTTTAATACATGTACATGTCGGTTTAGATTCAGGATCAATGATTTCTGAAGTACCGAAGCATAAATCCCCTTCAAGCATCCTTGTAGAAGCTTTTGGTTTAGAAGGGCAATGAACCTTGTAGATACAAATAATGAATTAATATATGGTATATGGGAGCAAAACAAATGATATATATGTACATTTTATATGCAGAGCCTGGTTGCTATGGGCAGCAAAGTTCACAAATTACTAGTGAAGGTTGCAGAGGGTACAGATGAACCCGCCACAGAGACGTCCATCGCCAAGGACAACGAGGACCACCGTTCCAGCGAACCTGAAGCTGACGCAGAAGACATCCTCCTGTCCAAGGCTGTGGATACCTTCCTTCATGAATGTCATGAGAAGGGTCAGACGCCTAAAATGGGTGGACCGGTCATCACAAGGACCGTCCACGCTGTGTTTGCTGCACTGCTGTGGCATTCAGGTTCACTCAGGGAGTACATAGAAACACATGGTGAGTACAGGAGGGTGTTTCACAAAGCCTTTTTTTCAATGGCAAATGACAAATATCAGTGACAAATCTGCTGATAACCAAGCAGAAACAAGGATTTCAGTAGCTTATAACAAGAACTGTCATTTGTCACTGATGACAAGTTTTGTGAAACGGGTCCCAGGTCTTCCTGAACACTTCCCTGTAAATGCCTATTCTTTATTCTACATGACTTGTACTTTTCCTAGCTTCAGAAGCATAATAAAATTGATGGTATCATTTCTTCTCATTGAAAAATTCGCCTGATCGAATACATGTAGATCAGTATTCTTTACTGCAATATGTTTCAAATGTATTTTCTCACTTTTTCCAGATATACTGAATTTTATCCGGACTAACCAGCCTTTATTCATTTTATTCCCTATTTGCAGTCGAGGAGGGTACATCAATCCCCATCACAGATGACATCCTCTATGCCTTCCGCACAGCTGAAGGGCTCAGGCCATTTCTGGTGAGAATTGAAATTTGTATCTTTGTTACAAGATGATGTGGTGCTTTTATGCTTACGTCCGTCCGTCCGTCCGTCTGTACGTCCCGTTCTCGTGATTAGGTTATCCCAAGAACCAATTCATGGATTCCCGCCAAACTCTGGCAGAGTAAGGGATAGCATTTTATGTTTTTTTTTACATGGGCCAAAAACGAGAGAGAATCTGTTTAAAATTATTATTGCTGCAAGAATCTATCTGTAAGTATATCTACTTAAAATCTGGACGGAAATAGGTTTTCCCCATTGCTACTTTCTTCTCTTGTTTTTCAAACAAACAGAGTAAGAGAGATGCTCAACAATATGTTGAGAAAAGGGAGTTTTCACATTAAAGATGTGATTAGTCTCAAAGTACATTCACCTCTGTGGAGATGTGTCTCAACATGTACTAATTGGAAAGCTAAAATGTGGGTATTGTCCTCTGGGGGGGGGGGGGAATATTTTTTTGGCGGGGGATAAATTTCTGGGGCTAATTTTCCTTGGGGGGGGGGGGGGTAATTGTGCTGCTGGTCCAGGGGGAGTTGTCCTAGATCCGCAGCAAGCATATACTAGCTTGAGTATGTGGATTCTTTGTGTCTTCACTGCCAATTACTGTGATAAATCTAGTGCCTTCAATACATATGATGGCAAACATTTATAGGCAGGATCTTACAAAAGACTGATATTTGCTTTCTATCCTTGCAGGCTAATCTGAGGCAGATGTTTGTGTACAGTGAGGAGAAGAAAGCCCCAAACAACACCCTGAGGGATAACTTCAACCCAGATGAACCAGGTATGTATAGAACACAGAGATAGGGTTTTCTAGTGCCATTTATGTAATTTCCACAACATAAAATGTATCAAGTTATGAAGAACTCTCACCATTTAGATTTTAACAGTAAAATGAATCTGGGGGGTGTTTCACAAAGATCCTAAGTTGAACTTAACTCTAAGTTGGACTTAAAAATTATGGGGAGCCATTTGTAGCCTTAAAATAAAATATATTCGAAAGTGAAAATTCAATTATTTTAGACTTTTCATAAATTCCACATCAGGAACATGAAATCTCCATGACAATAGAAAATATGAATGATTTAAATCAACATTTCATGCTTTCTAAAATAACTTTTTCAAAATATTTTCAAAGATGCTAACGGCTTTTCATAATTGTTAAGTTCAACTTAGAGATAAGTTCAACTTAGTGTCTTTGTGAAACACCCCCCAGGAATCAGTTTTTGTGATACATGTTCATGCACTGACTGATAGCTGTAATTGCTGTTGATTGATTTCAAACACTTGCTCTAATTATTATACCGGTATGTTTGTAAAACATCTTACAACATGTGACTTTCATTGTGTTTATCCTATCATGCAGTGAACGCTTGCAGAGCCAAGGCTTCATTTCTGTTAGAATTTCCACCAGTAGTGAAACAGGATCGGAAGGTAAAAGTAACAACAGATTTGAAGATAATTGCTCTGTTAATGATTCCAACAGCAATGTTTGTAAATTTGAAAGGAATCAGTATAAGGTATGAATTTTTGAAATCAGTAAGACTGATTGACATATCTTAAGATAGAATGCATTATAAACAATGCAGTGGCATGTTAGACATACATGTACATGAACATTTATTTATTTTTGATACCTACATGTATTAATGCTCAAAACTTTATAAAAACTGTGTAATGTATGGTACACCAATTGACAAAGTAGCTTGGACTTGAACTTGACCTATAACATGTACACGAGTTTGCTCACCTTTTAAAAAGTATGTTTAGATTTACACCTAGAATGAACCTACATAATTTAGAGGTAAGTCTTAGTAGTAATCTAAATGTACTTGTCCATATCATGTATGGAAAGTTCTGGTAACATGAATTACTTCCATTTTATATTGCTTACAATTTTGACCACAGAAGATCAACAAAAGTCTTCCTCTGCGAAGTCTGTCCAATGCAAGTACTGCTGCAGACTTTGAAGGTTTTCAGGTAAATATTGTGCTTGTTTTGATGCCGAATAATTTCTTGCATTTATATGTTGATGGTTCCTTTCATTTATATGTTGCCATTTTGTCAGTTTAAAAGCTGTGAAAGGCACAGCATACCTTTTTTACAAGGTGTTTTACTTCACTTGATAAATTTCAAGATTGACAACACTAATGGCTATAAATTATCAGTGTACTGCACTATTCGTCAGTTACATTTAGTTGGTTTTATTTTCGGTATGAAAAATGTATGCATACATGTACATATATATGAACATGTATTGTATTGTATTGTATTTATTAAACTTCATTGATGTACATCAATATTCTGTTTATAAACATAATTATAATCACTTTACAATGTAATGTAACAATCTATGAACAAATTAATCATTAATAGTATTTTATTTTTTTCATTTAAGCATTGAAGGTATTTTGGGCTCAATATTTGATTGGTAGTATTGCATATTTGTACAATTTCAAAAGTATTAAAAATATGTTGATTTGTAAAATGTGTTTGCTGTTGTAAAGCAAATATCAAAAAATAATTATATTATCTTTTTACTCATTTTCAAGTCTTCATACCATGGACTTAATTGCACAATAATTTGAAATTAACTCTGTTATTAAACATCTGATTATTTTCCGCTGTTAAACATGAGTGTCTTAACTGTGATTTTGCAGTACTCCTTCTTTGTTTGATGATATAAAATTGAATGTTGATATTACTGAAATGTTCTTGAGTTTGTAGTCTGGACCACTTTGTCTGTAGAATGCAATGAACAAAACTAAAAAAGAAACTTGCAATCAGTCATAAACCTATCATTGGTTGAATAACTGTTCCATGTTCCATTATTTTCCATAAATAAGGAGGAAGCCCATACCATTTACCTCAATCCCTCTCTTTTAAAGTGACTCGGTAACATTGCCTCAGATTCTGAAACAAAATCCTGGATTAAGCTCGTGCTGCTATCATAATCATAAACCTTTAGGTCAGTCAAGACCCATGACTTTTACAAGCCAATCAGCTGTATGATTATCAAGATATTTATGATTGGTAATCAAATTTTTTTTTTTTTTTGTTGTTTTCCTAACAGTTTTAATAACACTACAGTCTATTGGGGAAAACGAGTATGGTAAAACCGGTCACTCAAAGATTTTTTACTTTTTTGAGGGACTTAATGATAATTTTGAAGTGCTTTTTTTTAGGGCTTCAATATTACACCATGTCAGAGACACTGATAACACGTAGGGCCAGGCATCTCAGATTAAACATTGTTAAACGATGCCTTTAATACTTATGTTCACCTTCTAGGGCCCTGCTGAAGAAGAAACCATCTTGAGGTACTACCCAGAGTTCAAACTGGTCCTAGACTTCATCAAGAACCCACACTTGGATCACAAACGGTACTTGTTTTTCAGCTACAGCATAATTATAATTGCTTATATAGCGCTTAACACTTACTTTATCAGAAGTCTCTAAGCGCTCTACAATTATGTAGCATAATTACCCTGGCTTTAGCAGTGCAGCTGCCAGGAGCGCTGCGTTTCAAGGAATAAATTCCTACCAGGTTCCCATTTACTTCACATGGGTGGAGTGTGGCAAATGTAGATCAATGTCTTGCCGAAGGACATTAGTGCTGTGGCAGGACTCGAACTGCGGACCTTGTGATCAACAGTCCGGTGACGTACATGTATCCACTCGACCACGACACCTCTACTCAACATATTGTTGGCTCTCTGCAGGAAGGTCGTAAGAGCTATGTATTGTCAATGGCAGTACCGTCCTTCTTGCAGAGATCAGATAAATCTACTTGCAAAGTGTATATTAACAGAAGTCTCTGTTTTACAACACAAGCATTTACCAAAGTAATTTCTATTTAGAATATGGAAATGATAAATCACTATAGCTAACAACTGGAGAGAAGTAGCTTTATATGCAGCTCCAAAAAAAAACAAAGTTGATTGATTTTTATCAAGTCAGTAGAAATCATTAGACAAATGATTCTTAAACAATGTCTTTGCTTGTCATTTGAGTTTTTTAATCTTTGAAGTTTAGATACTTGTACTCCTTTTTCCACCCATTCCTGTCTCTCTCTCTCTTTCTCTCCCTCTCTCTCTCACACAAAAACACACATACAACACACACACATACAAACACTCTCTGTCTGTTTTTCTCTCTTGCTACCTTCACATCTGTTCCCATCTCTTTATTAAGCATTATTGATGGTGTCTTTGCTCAATTACTTTTATCATACTGCTGTCATTTTTTATCAAAACGTGAAAATAAAAATAAAATAAAATGAATACCGCTGTCTTTGTAACGCCTAGGGTGAGGTTAATACTTCAGGTCAGGGAGCAGAGTGCCAAGGCTGTGTCTGAGGTTTACAAGCTAGCCAGTAGCTTCCTCTCTGCGCACAACAAGCCCCACATATTCCATTCTCAGTGTGTACTCTTTCTGAAGGATATGCTCTTAGAGAGACAACTAGGTGCATCCTCTGCACTGTAAGTAAATCAGGATGATAATGATGATGGTGATGATGGTGATGGTGATGGTGGTGATGATGGTGGTGGTAATGTTGATGATGGTGATGATGAATATGATGATGATACAAGCTAGCCAGTAGCTTTCTCTCGGCGCACAACAAACCTAACATATTCCATTCCCAGTGTGTACTCTTTCTGAAGGATATGCTCTTAGAGAGACAACTAGGTGCATCCCTCTGCACTGTAAGTAAATCAGGATGATGATGATGATGGTGATGATGGTGATGGTGATGATGGTGGTGGTAATGTTGATGATGGTGATGATGAATATGATGATGATACAAGCTAGCCAGTAGCTTTCTCTCGGCGCACAACAAACCTAACATATTCCATTCCTAGTGTGTACTCTTTCTGAAGGATATGCTCTTAGAGAGACAACTAGGTGCATCCTCTGCACTGTAAGTAAATCAGGATGATAATGGTGATGGTGGTGGTGATGATCATGATGATCATAATGGTGTTGATGGGGATGATGATCATGATGGTGATGGGGATGATGATGGTGATGGTGATGATGAATATGATGATTGTGATGGGGATGATGATGGTGATGGTGATGATGAATATGATGATGATACAAGCTAGCCAGTAGCTTTCTCTCGGTGCACAACAAACCTAACATATTCCATTCCCAGTGTGTACTCTTTCTGAAGGATATGCTCTTAGAGAGACAACTAGGTGCATCCTCTGCACTGCAAGTAAATAAGGATGATGAGGATGATGGTGATGGTGATGACGATGATGGTGGTGATAGTGTTGATGATGGTGATGATGATGATGATGATGGTGATGATGATGATGATGATGGTAATGGTAATGGTAATGATGATGATGAGGATGGTGATGATGATAGTGAGGATGGTGATGATGGTGACGGTAGTGATGATGGTGATGGTGATGGTTTTTGTGATGATGGTGATGGTGATGGTTTTTGTGATGATGGTGGTGGTGGTGATGGTGATGATGATGATGATGATGATGGTGATGTGGATGATGTCGATGGTGGTGATGGTGGTGATGATGGTGGTGATGATGGTGATGACGATGGTGATGATGATGATGGTGGTGATGGTGATGATGGTGGTGATGATGGTGATGATGATGGTGATAATGGTGATGATGATGATGATGGTGATGATGGTGATGATGGTGATGATGATGGTGATGGTGATGAGGACAATGAGGATGATGGTAATGTGGATGATGTTGATGTCGATGAAGAGGATGATGGTGATAAGGACGATGATGCTTGTGCTGGTGGTGATGATGATGTAGGTGGTGATGGTGATGATGGTGATGATGATGATGATGGTGATGGTGATGATGGTGGTGATAATGATGATGATGATAGTGATAATGATGTTGATGTCGATGAAGAGGATGATGGTGATAAGGACGATGATGCTTGTGCTGGTGGTGATGATGATGTAGGTGGTGATGGTGATGACGATGTACATGATAGTGATGCTAAATATGGTGATGGTGACGATGGTGATGATGTTAATGATGGTGATGATGATGTAAATTATTGTGATGGTTAATATGGTGATGGTGATGATGATGATGTAAATGATGGTGATAATGATAGATGATGATGAAACATGATCATTCTGTGTGCACTGTCAAACTGTCGCTTGTGGTCAACTTGCAATTAATAGATGCTAGGTATTAAAAGAACTGAGAAAATAAAATGTTTATTAGACTGAGCACAGTGTTTACATGTTTTCTTAATATGTTAATGTTTAATGCTTAATAATTTGGAAGTGATCAGTCATGCAGGCCTGATAATTACCCGATTTTTTTTTTATATTTGTCCCGGTTTTTTCCTTATTTTCCTTATTTTTTTCCCTGATTTTCCCCATATTTTCTCTATGCTTCCCTATTTTCCCCTTATTTCCCCCAATTTTCTTACTTAAAAGGGGGGGGGGGGGAATGTTGTTAGATACAATTTTTTCCCCCACGAATCATCTTTTTTAATTTTTATACTCAAGGGGGGCTTGGTTGAGGGGGAATAAAATGTTAGTTTTTATTAATCCAATATTCCTTTCACTTTTCAGACATTACGCATCTCGTCTGGAAGGATGTGGATTGGAGTTGGAAGACAAAGTGAGGGCAGCATACTATAGCTTCCTGAAACAGCTTGTAGAAGCGGTGACTGCAGAGTCCCAAGCCACACTCTCTGAGTGAGTTTAAATATTTCTACATTGTATTTTATTCCCCATCTCTTCACAATTTCACTTATGGAGTTAAAACAAAACAAAAATGACAGCCTCCAATTGTGAAAACTGGCATTGTAAACATGTGCATGTACATTGTATAAATTGATAGAAAAGTTTCAAAATGTTATGCTTCATTATTACATTGTCTGTATTGATCTATTCCAAAACAAATCTGAGCGGCAAATTTTTAATTATTATTAATGACTAATTGAAATCATGATCTAGCTAAAGGAACAATCGTACTATTTATGTGATTATGTGATTTTTGGATGTACCTTCCAATGTATAATTTTCTATCTTTCATGTTTGTCTTGCAGTGATGTCAAAGCAGCATTTAGTTGCATTCAGAACATTCTTCTCCACCTCATGGACGTCTCCTGGTCTCCTAGCGACTGGCAGTTTGTAGCTGACATTAAAGCACCAAGCCTTCTCATCAATGCTGCAAGAAGTAAGTTCTATTTCATTCAATCTTGTCTATGTATCATCGAAGAGAAATATGTATTTATTTTGAGATAATATTTTGTGACAATGTGAATTGCAAATAAAACTTGTTTAAAAAAAAAAAAAAGGAAAAAAGAGAAGTAAGATCTTCAAATTTACAGTTGTTGATTAGATTGTCTTCTTTATAGATTTATCTCTATCCTTAAAAATAGTAAAAACAAACAATATTCCATTATACGCGCAAGTTACACATAGTATGTTCATTTAATCACAGGCAATAAGATATCTTTATAGTGCTAAGTAACATCAAAGAAGTTAAATTATGTGTTTATTTAATACTTGAGTGCATCTAGAAAATTAGTATTGTAATCACAACAAGGGATATGCAACCTTTATGTGAAATGAAAGTGCTCACATATGAACAACAATGAAGTACTGGTATGAACATGAAATTAAATACCAATTAAACCCAATTTGCCAATTTCTTTAAAGCAAATGCATTTCACTGGCATTTTGACAAATACTTTGATACACTGCTCTTGCTTTTTTTTTGTAAAGGCCTGAAAAAACAAAAAATGATTTAGCAATATCAATTTAAGAATGCATATATTCCCATGTAGGATGTACATATAAATATTTCTTATATTACTGTACAAAATTTTAGGAGCACATATTAGAGAACAAATAAACATGTACCTCCTGATACATGCTGTAAAAAGAGAGGTATATTTTGATACCATTTACAGTTAACAACTAAATTATTCATACCCCTCGTAAATTTGTTGTTTTTGTGTTCTTTGTAACACAAGAATGAAAGGTGGCCTCGTTGAATTAGGGCCTTTGTTGAATACTTTAGGTGTGAGCTTTAATAGGTCACATTCTCAAGAAACATAAATCGGGGCAAATCAATTTTTCACATACATGTACTTAAAACTTAAAAAACTAGAATTTAGCTACTTATATAGCGCTTTTCGGGACTGAAGGCCCTCTCAAAGCGCTTAGCAGATATATATTATTACCCCGGTCATCGGATTCAGGCTTACCCGCACTCAATGTATGCACATTCTCCACTCCCTGGGGAGCATTCCAGCCTGGCGTCATTTTTACAAGCGCACACTTGCTAATCTAAGCACATTAGCTTTCACATCCTATAGTATACCCATTTTACATCTGGGTGGAGAGTGGCAAATATAGATCAATGTCTTGCCAAAGGACATTGGGACTTGAACCGTGGACCTTGAGATTCACAGTCCGGTGACGTATCCACTCGTCCACGACACCTCTACATATCAACATAACATTTACTAATGCTAGCATTGCTTATATTTGCAGCGAGTGGGAACGTGACCCTGAGGGACAGCACTGCTGGAGATAACCTGAGCTATGCCCAGCAGCTGAAGGCGTACAAGCAGTGTGATGATTGGATGAAGGAGTGCGAAGGAGACGATGCATTCAACACGTGGTTCTCTAACATTAGCAGCTTTACAGACAAGGAAGAGAGAAGGGTGAGTTCTTCAGCCAAGAGCCTCCCTTGAATTCAGTCGTATCAGTTAGTCCATTTTGACCCTTTAAAAGGATCGTTTAACAATTTTAAATCTAAGATGCACGGCCCTACGTGTTATCAGTGTCTGTGATATGGTGTTATATTGAAGCCCTAAAAAAATTGCGCTTCAAAATGATCAAGAAGTGCCTCAAAAAAGTAAAAACCTTTGAGTGACTGGTTTTAACATACTCATTTTCCCCAATAGACTGTAGTGTTATGAAGACTGTTTGGCAAACGCAAAGTTTGATTTCGATTTTCAATCATGAATATCTTGATAATCAGACAGGTGATCGGCTTGTAAAAGTCATGGGGTTCCTGACTGACCTAAAGGTTTATAATTATCATTGCAGCATGAGCTAAATCAAGGATTTTTTTAAAGGATCTAAGATAAAGTTACCGGATCCTTTTAAAACTACTTACCGGTAGACCATCTTAGTTATTTTCAGAATAGAAAGGTTGTTGGCAACCTAATGCAGCAATTCAGTTTTAGCCCTGAGGCCCCTGAGCGCATCATCTAGCCTATAGACCAAGCTTTGTCAAATAGAAGTACATAGAGTATGGCTGTACATTATGAAAGATATACTTAGAAAGGGTTGTCACCCGCCGCCCCCCCCCCCCTCTCCCTCCCTTCTGCTAAAAAGTTGGGTCAAGTTTACCTCATCCAGCTCATGGATCAAACTTTATCAATAGAAAGAAGTATGGCTGGGCATCACCATAACAAGAAAACTGACCAAACTCTGCTCCGCCAAAACAATCAGGCGCCATCTTATAAACAGTTGTGATTAATCACATCTTATTTTGTGATTGATATCAATCGCAACTATGTACATGCCAGATAGGGGACTACAAACTTGGGATTGATTTATAGTGGACTTGTGATTGATTTGGATCAATTGCAACTCTTTGTAAGACAGGACCCTTGATGTAAAGCAAAAAAGCATTGATAGTCTAAGAGTACTTGGTTCATTTCAATGCAAATTTGTAGATCTTAAAGGCATTGCTTAAAAATGTTAAACCTGAGATGCATGGCCCTACATGTACATTGTATGTGTTATCAGTGTCTTTGATATGGAGTAATATTGAAGCCCTAAAAAAATAGCACTTCTAAATGATCAAAGTGCCTCAAAAAGGTAACAATCTTTGAGTGACAGGTTTTACCATACCGGTACTCCGTTTTTTCCCCAATAGACTAGTGTTTTAAAAACCATTAGGAAAACGAAAAATGAAATTTCAATCTGATGTCAAATAATCTTATATGGAACAAGTTATTTTATCATGAATATTGTGTTTATTGATTGCTTTGGTATTTATTATCTTGCAGGCAAGGCACATGTTTGTAGCTCGTTTCTGTGACCGTCTAGACATCCAAGTGGCCTGTGATGGGTGCGAGATGCAGCTGCTTGGTCAGAGATACCGATGTCTCGTCTGTGAAGACTTTGACTTCTGCTACAACTGCTGTCAAGGTGAAGATTTTGTTTGAAATGGATTTTGGGAATAATTCACTTATCAGTGTTTCGATCAGTTTTCTCCATCTTATCTCACTGGATTGTTAATTAGTAAAAAATTAATTTGATTGTGCTCACTGGCTCTAAACTAATAAGATTGCAGGGATTTCTGAACCCAATTTATAAAACCTACTGGCTTCATATAAAACTCAGAACACCCTGGCTTCAATACATGTACCTCAAGCTATATACATATTTTGCTAAATGATAGTAGATGGATGAACAACTGTAAAAGTAACTTGAAATGTTGAGCCAATTATTGCAAGTAATCATAATCTAAAACAGAGAGGAAATTATTATATTGCAATTGTCAAAATGAGATCCATGAACTGAAAAAAGTATACATACCCGGTAGGATGCAAAAGCTAATGTGCTTAGATTAGCAAGTGTGTGCTTGTAAAAATGACGCCTGGCTGGAATGCTCCCCAGGGAGTGGAGAATGTGCATACATTGTGTGCGGGTAAGCCTTGAATCCGATGACCGGGGTAATAGTATATATATATCTGTAAGGCGCTTCGATAGGGCCCTCCTGAAAAAGCGCCATATAAGAAATAGTTATTATTATTATTATTATGCAGGTTCGTCTGTTATGAGACAGATTAGGACATTGGTCAAATTATATTGAATGGAATTATTTCATTAGAAATATATCATTAAAGCATGATGTACTTGTTTTGCTGTTACAGGAGGTGCCAAACCAGATGAGCACACCGACGATCATCCATTGGTCCATCTCATGTAAGTTTGTCATTTCAGAAAATTAAAAGAATTGACATCAATATGTGACTCGTGTGAAAATTCAAGCAGTCCCATGCTGAAATATTCATTTGAATTTAATTCATTTCCACAAAACATAAAATAAAAGTGTAAAAAATGATACAATGAAATGAAAGGAGGAGGGGGGGGGGGGAGTAACAAAAGTATGAATACTTCTCTAGGTTATCCCCTATGTGTATCTGAAATTCACATGTATACACGTGTGTACATATATAAGTTTCCCTTTTGTTTTGCTTATTCATTTATTTTTCACAATTGGGATGGAACACTTTGATCCGCGTGACTGTTGTTTATCATAGGGGTCCTCTCACATAAAACAAAGAAGATATATATATATATATATAAAGTACCAATGGGAATGATTAAATGTATCATTTTAAAAATTCATTTACATCTACAGCAGTACCATATCTGGGAAATCAAGTTTGTTCGTTCGTTCGTGTCTCCTTAGATCAAGATTAATGTACCGTTCCTAAATTAAATTAAATTAAACTAAGTTCTTCCATCGCCTGATGGCTGCGATGGTCGTCTCATTTACAAGGGCAAGGTCCAGGGCCAGGTCTTTATCTGTGATCTCTCAAGTAGACGGAGCATTTGATTTATAAATAGAGCTATGAATTATTAAATACTGCTCAACTTTGTAATTTGAATTTGCAGGTATAAATGTGATGGATTCATGTACGGTACTTGTATAGCAGTATGATATCTGGGGATTCAAGTGATCTCCCAAGTACACGGAGCATTTGATTTATAAATAGAACTATGAATTATTAAATACTGCTCAACTTTGTAATTTGAATTTGCAGGTATAAATGTGATGGATTCATGTACGGTACTTGTATAGCAGTACGATATCTGGGGATTCAAGTGATCTCCCAAGTAGACAGAGCATTTGATTCATGAATAGAGCTATGAATTATTAAATACTGCTCAAATTTGCCATTTGAATTTGCAGGTATAAATGTGATGGATTCATGTGCAGTACTTGTATAGCAGTACAATATCTGGGGATTCAATTGATCTCCCAACTACACAGAGCATTTGATTTATAAATAGAGCTATGAATTAACATGACTCAACTTTGTGATTTGAATTTTCAGGTATAAATGTGATGGATGCCACGGGCTGATCGTTGGTACTCGCTATCACTGCAATGTATGCGAGGACTTTGATCTCTGCCATGGATGCCAGCACACGGGACACTACCCCTCAAGGTAAGTCCTCCAAAAGTACTATACATATACTAGGGAGCTTTGCTTACAAACAGTCTTTTAAAGCCCCACTGTACTACTTGTAACTACTTGCGCCCTCTATATAGCAAACAATGCCTAATCGGTGACCATTGGTCCCCTATGATCCTCTTTTTGTTATGTTAATCGAGAGCTGATTTGATAAAATAAACACCTGTCAGTGACCATGGAGGGAGGTCTGATCCCTCCTTGCCAAACTAGTGCGGTGGGGCTTTAAAAATATCTAGGTCAAATTTGATTTGTTTGCAACGATCATGAACAAAGAGTATAAGTAAGTTGATAATTATATGTTTCATTTTTATTTTTGATTTCTCCTTTTACATCTTTCTTCCTATTAAAGCGCATAGAGATACTATGGCAGTGATGTGCACTATAAAAAAGCACTGTATTATTATTACTATTATTAGTTCAGACTGGAGTTATGTTTATCAGTGGTATGGTATAGAGGTGTCTATTCACCATGTGTTTCAGGATTGCAGTAGAGGGAAGGGGAAAGGGTCAAATTATATAAAATCAACAATTCACTAATTGTTTTTTTGTGTGTATATTTCTTTGCAGTCACAATGAGTTTCATGATTCAACTGAAATAATGATGAGAGTGTGTAAGTATTCAATATAAATCTCATGGGCTATCACTTAAAAAATAGTAAATTTTCATTATGAAGTTTTATGATAAATTTTCATGTGCAGTCATTTGTAAACAAGTTTGATAGTTTTCAATCGTCAGTAAATATAAGGAAGTAGTATTTCATAGTCTTCTTCACATTCTTTACCCTGAAAAACCTTCCAAATGGTGTTTATGTTTGAGTTTTAGCTAATGGAATTCTATTTTCCAGATAACTTGATATCTAACCCTAATGTTGCTCAGTTTCTTTATACAGTGTACAATTTAGTACATCATTTCATAATGATTGATAAGAAGACTTTTACCACATGCATACATATACGCCTTCTTTAAAAAAATTGCTATAATTGAGATTAACCTACATTTGCCACTCTCTACCCAGATGTCAAATGGGAACCAGTAGTAAGGAATTCCTTGAATGCTGTGAGCGCAGAAATCGGCAGCCTAGCAAATCCCGGTAATATTCAGAGCGCCTTAAGCACGTTGCATGATGGATATGTGTGCTATATAAATATCCGGTATTATTATTATTATTATTATTATTATATCATTTGCAGTGTATACAGGGAGCCAGTACTCGGCTCAGCTCAACAACTACACTCATCTCCACTCCTGGCTGCAGTTCACCTTCCTCACTCTGTCCCTAGCTCAGGCTATCTATGACCAACAATCACAAGGTAAGACTTGATATTAGTCATGTGTGCTGGTTTATATGGTGTGTTTCAAGCAATTTTTTGAAGCTAGCATCACAAACATGAATCACAAATCAAAATGCTGTTAAAAAACACAGTTACTGCGGGAGAGCGTTCAAGTGATTTTTTTCATCAACGCTGATTCTCACTCATTTCAAGCCCAGCCACCGCTCATCTTACTGCGCAGTTAAACCCAGGAAGTAAAGGTCAATTTCGCCGCGTGCTTTCTGAATTTCTTAACGGTCAACTGCCGGCCAACCAAGAAGCAGGCCATGATAATGACGTTTTAGAATCATGATTGAGAACCCCTTGCGTTCAAGCGATTTTAATTGGTTTCCTGATTATTTATTTTTTTCCCAATTTTTTTTTTCTTCTTGATTTTTCCTCAATTTTCTGACTCAAAAGGGGGGAATGTTGTTAGATGCCATTTTTTTCTTCTTCCTGAATCCTTTTTTTTTTTTTTCTCAAGGGGGGGGGGGGGGGGGGATGGTTGAGGAAAAAAAAAATGATAATATTTTATCCAGTTTTAATACAATAAGTGCTTGATTTTCAGCGATATTTTGAAAGTAAAACTATCCTTTTTTTTTCAGGAACGTTGACTTCATCCCAGGAGGAAGTGGGCAAAGAGCTTCTGAAGAGCTGTGTGGAGTTAGCCATGGAGGGACTAGAGGTCATATGCTGTAAGTCACTCATGTCAATCTACCATTTTGTATTTTAGGATCGTGGAATCCAGCAATGATTGCAAACAATTAAGGTGAAACGTGCATATGCGTTGTGTTAGTGACTTTAATAGTCTTTCAGTGAGGAAAAGAAATTATAGCACATTACTTTAATAGCTTGTAAAATCTTGCGATTCTAATAATGGCCAAGTAATATATAGTGCTCTTATACATCAAGTAGCAATGCTCAATGCACTTAGACATTATTATCCTTGTTAAGCTGAGCTGCCAAAGTAACTAGGGCTCGGGCAAGTGTATAAGGTACATGTACCCATTTACACCAGGGTGGGAAGGACGTTAGTGCCAGGCTGGGATTTGAAACCTGTACCTTGCGATCTACAGACTGATGAATTATCCACCAGACCACAACACCTTCGCCTTACAACTTCTCAAAGCTTTTCTGTAAAGTCTGATGTTTGTTGAGGAAATTTCTGTAAAAGCTGTATTAACCAGGTTTATTTTCCATTGAAGGAATTACATATCTTGAGTGAAATTTCCGGGTAACTTTTAGGGGATCTCTATACGCCATAAGGAAGGCTTTTAAAAATAATAATAACAATAATAATTGGATTTATATAGCGCCTCTCCAAAGGATACAAGGCGCTGTCTCTTTATAGACCATCAACAATTTAAGAGGAGTTGTACAGGTAAATTTTCAATTGTTTTTTGAAGAAATCTAGTGAAGGACTGTTTCTTAAGAACGAGGTGAGTTTGTTCCAGAGCAAGGGGTTAAGGACTGAAAGGATTTGAAACCAGTTTGTTTTACAGGATTTGGGATTTTAAAGCAGGTCTTCTTGAAAGAAGAGTAATTTAAAGACTGCTGATGATTGATTTTATTTTATTTGCAGCTTCTGATGAGGAAGGTGATGGCACCATGAGCATCCATGAGAGGGTCTTTGCCGAGCAGTCGCAGGAGAGGATGCTGGGATTGCTGGCTGCTATGTTACCCGCAGAGAAGGCGAGTCTAAAAACGAATGGAACTTCAATTCAATGTGTCCATTTTGTCATTCGGGCTGTGGCCAATTTTTAGTGATTTTCTTTTAAAAAAGGAATTCTGATTTACATGCTATAAAAGGTGGACTTGATGTGTTTTGAATGTTACAGTAAGTGATAAACTTAAATATATTTCATTTTTTAATTTGATTTTGGAGGTATTTCTTATTTATTAATTTATTTATTTATCATTATTATATTATTTTAGATATTTTTTTTGTGGGGGGGGGGGGGGGGGTAAATTGAATGCCAATTGCATTTTGCCTGTAAATACATGCATACATTTTTGCATGTAGATGTATGATTTGGAAAGATATCATTACAAGATAGTGGAAAATTTCATCGGTGTCTCTCTAATGGACTTGTATGCCTCAAGAGCTGTTTTGTTGCTTTAAAAAAAATTCAAGTTTGATTATGGATTTGCCATGTGAACTGTGACTGATTGTTATATACTGGTAGTGAGTTTCATACATGCTGTAGAATGTTTTATTACTGTGAAGGAGAGGAGCAGAATGCTGTCATCTTCTGAGACAATATTAACAAATTTGGACTTTCTCTCTTCGATCACTACCAGGGTTCAGACAAGTCATTTTCAACAGCCATGGCTCTCCTCAGTGTAGACAGGTTCCTTCCTCTTCTCTTCACTGTAGCACAGTAAGTACATGAACAAAGGCGCGTATGCAGGGGGGGGGGGGGTTGAGGGTTGAACCCCCCCTCAAATTGACTTTACCCCCCCCCCCCCCCTGAACGAAATATCGGTCGGCCAAATTTTCCGTACCCCCCCCCCCCCAAAAAAAAAAATATATATATATCCTCCCCCCTCCCCCCTCCCCCCCCCTTATTCAGCGGCTGGCTGAGTCGTTGCGAAACTTTTGGTGCGATTTTTAAATTTTAAACCCCCACTTCGAAAAAATCCTGCGTACGCCCCTGCATGAACATTTCCCAATACAGTTACAAGGCATTGCAGGACATCCATTTTTCTAGTAATACCCCGTTCACACCAACAACCTCCGATGGTCAAGCATCGGTCAGTTCGGAGTCGATGTGAAGTTGGTTTGGCATTGTGACTGAGGAAACTGGGTTTGAATGTCAAGGTTAAAGTTAGGGGTGTAGGCATCAGTCTCTTACTAACTCAGTCACACCACCAAATCAGACTTTAGACAAACAAAGAAATTGCATTACTTTCAATTGACAAGAATCGGTCAGTTTGGAGAACTGAGGTACTTGTATAAAGAACACCTTTTGGTGATAAGACAGTTTACGAATAGCCAGCGAGCCCATTTGGTTTATTTGAATAAACATGGCAGTCTGAAAATATTCACATCAGCAGTAAAATGACAGAATTGCTGAAAGTGATGTTGACGAGTTATCTTATACATAAAAAGGTTTAATTTCAAAGAGCGTTACAATAATTGCACTATTGGGTATACATGTATCATCAACTAATATCGGGAAGAATATATTTCTCATTTAATCCATTTGTAGTTTATTTGAAGAAGAAAAAAGGCCAGTCATAGTCAATTTGTAAGGTCAGCATTCATGTGCTTTAGCTATGATCTGTGATGATTTTACTAATTTTGTATTTATTTCAGGAAGGGAAGTGGTCACTATGTTCCCACACAGCATCTTGCTATGGGCCTCTTGGGACAGCTGCTACCAAGCATCATGCCAGAGGTATGAATCACGTTTCATCTTCTTTCATCAACTCTAATATTGATAATTGATTAAATTATGAAAACGTATTTTTTTATTGACATTTTCAAATTGTGGTGAAGAGATAAAGAGATAGTGACAGAGATTGGGGTAGAGATGAAGGAGACAGAGAAAGGGGCACACAAAAACAGAAAAAGAGAGTAAGAGTGAAAGTGAGAGAGAGAGAGAGAGACCAATAGAGTAAGAGGGAAAGTGAGAGACAACAATAGTAAAAATTCTTAAGATTGAAATGAAGCAGCAAATGTAGCAAGAATCATGATAATTCACATTTTTATGCCTCCGTTACGAAGTAGCCGGAGGCATTATGTTTTCGGGTTGTCCGTCCGTACGTACGTACGTCTGTACGTACGTCTGTACGTACGTCTGTATGTACGTCTGTACGTACGTACGTCCCGTTCTTGTGATCGCGTTATCTGAAGAACCGATCGATGGATTCCTGCCAAACTTTGGTCATGTATGTATCTTGCAGAGCCGATGAACTGATTAGATTTTGGGGTCACGAGGTCAAAGGTCAAAGGTCACAGGGCTCATTAGGTATGCAAAAACAGCTCGTGATCGCGTTATCTGAAGAACCGATTGATGGATTCCTGCCAAACTTTGGTCATGTATGTATCTTGCAGAGCCAATGAGCTGATTATATTTTGGGTCATGAGGTTAAAGGTCAAAGGTCACAGGGCTCATTATGTATGCATAAACAGCTTGTGATCGCGTTATCTCAAGAACCGATTGATGGATTGCTGCCAAACTTAGGTCATGTATGTTACTTGCAGAGCCGATGAACTGATTAGATTCAGTGGTCATGAGGTCAAAGGTCAAAGGCCACAGCACACATTATGTATGCAATAACAGGTTGTGATCGCGTTATCTCAAGAACCGATTGATGGATTCCTGCCAAAATTAGGTCATGTATGTTACTTGCAGAGCAAATGAACTGAGTAGATTCTTGGTTCATAAGGTCAAAGGTCAAAGATCATGGGCTCATTATGTATGCAAAAATAGCTTGTGAACGCATTCTCATTAGAACTGACAGATGGATTACTATTTAACTCAGGACATCTTGCAGAGCCAAAGAACTGAGTAGATTTTAGGGTCATGAGGTCAAAGATCAAAGGGTCATATATGTATATGAGAAATTGCTTGTAATCACGATATTCTGAGAACCTGTCAATGGATTACAATTGAACTGGAATCCGAAAAATTTCTTCTGTTTTGGTTTGTAAAATTGCTCTATGACGGAGGCATCATTTTCGACTGCGCGCAGTCGAATTCCATCTAGTCTTTTCATAATAAAGAAGTAAAAAGTATTGTAATTACAGTGGCATTGAAGTATTTAAGAATGATTATATGCCTTTCCCACCACAGGTATCAGATATGGCTTTGGAGTCAGTCACCCCACTGTCAACACCAGAACCCCCTGATTCCTGGGAGGAGAGAGCAGACGGCTCCCCAAGGAAGCCCAGTCCTCCGATGACAAGAAAGAGGAGGAGGAGGACGACAAGGAAAATATCAGTACTAAAGATGAAAAGGAGAAGGAGAATGTTAACACCAAAGAGAGTGGGAAGAAGGAGGGAAGGAATGATGATGGAGGGAAGGTAGAGGAGGTGGAGGAGAAGAGTTTTGGAGAGAAAGGGAAGAGGGCAGGTAGCCAGGAGGTGCAGAAGAGTAAGAAGATCAAACTGACGAGGGACGATTCCATCGCAAGCTCCGACATGGACGGCACTAGGACCATCAAGTTCCTCTTCTCATTCGGTGCTTCATGCTTGGAGAAGTAAGTACAAAATTGATATTTCTGTGAAGATCATACTCTAAACCTCTCCATTCTATGAACTATTTTGTAATACAGTCAAACCTGCTCTAATGACCACCTGTATAGATTTGCTACTTGTTTATGCAAACTATCACTATACAGTTTACTTTGAAAGATGTATTCAGTGGCCCAGTAAATAAAGACCACCTGTCAATAAAGATCACTTTTCTTGTCTTCATCAATTTTTATTTGTGTGCAGGTTTCACCACATATCACTCTATCTTGGACTAGAAATAAAATCCAGACAAATGTGCATTGCAGAAATGATATTCAAGAAGAATTTCTCACTGTAGTATGTGCATTGTTGCCTCGTCTTATATATTTTAAATATTTCATTAGAGAGACTCTTTATATTACAACTTCTATCAATTCTATTTTGAATATTGAAAATATAGTAAAATGGATTATTTACATGTGATAATCACCAATGACAGCTTTTTTTTGTCTGTAGAACATACATATATTAAAGATGAGCTTGTATTCTTCATTATGTTATTGGTCATATAACCTTCAATCTTTGAAATCAATTCAGTTTACAATACATGCACATGCAATGAGCATATTGTTTGACATCCCTTAAGTTTTATTTTTGTTTTATGTATCCATTTAATTCTGTTGCAGGAGTCGACTTGAGTGGGCTGCGTTATTACCCACAATGCTTCAGAAGCTTTGCCGTAACCTGGGTTGGAAGGCCAGCATCACTCGTCAAATCAGCCATAGCATAGAGAGACTACCTGAAGACTCCTCGCTTCGATCAGTCTTTGCTCTGTTTGTTGTGGCTGGTTTCCCTGAAGTAAGCGATCATTTTTCTATTGCTGGTGGTTTTCTTTTCCTCAGCCATTTAAACATTACCTTCTCTATGAATGCTTAATATAGTGCTCCAAGGAATTGAACCTGTCAACTCATGAGCCCATTTCAATTTAAAAATGGGTAAAATAAACAAAGCTAAGTGACTCGGTAACATTGAAGGTTGATGAAAAAATTATGAATTTTTGTATGAAATGTGACTTATTATATTCCTTCTACTGTACTAACTGTCTAAACATGCACAAAATCCTGAAAAAATTCTCTACCAAAAAGATATTATGTTTTTTTTGGCAGGCGCCACTGTGCGACACCCTGTAATAGTAAATTCTCCCAACCATTTTTGAATTTTTCCAACCATTTTTCCATGAAAATAAGACAGGCTTTACAAAATTTCTCAACGCTTAAACATGTCTGGAATGGTTTATAGAGTGAATTCATTGAGTTGTGATGATTTACAAGTACCTAAAATGTGATTAAATTGTAATAATATAGTTGGGAGAATTAAGGAATCGATCAGTTCAGTTTTTCCCAATTTTGATCATTAATAATGGTCTGTTTTCACTCAAATTTTCAGATTATCTTTAATTGTACAACTAGCATTAAAGTCACTACCTTAGCACCATTTTCTCTCATCTGAACAATGTTACCAAGTCCCTTTAATGGAGCTTTGAGCTCTTACATGTAGCTGAGCTCTTGCCCTTTTCAGGGCTCTTATTCATTTGAAATAGAACATGGTGCAATCCTGAAGTTTCGTCACCATGAAAACACTGAAACTCCACTCACAAAACTTTTGACTTGTTTTTCCTTCATAGGTTCTTGGACATGGCAGCACAGCGAGCTATCTTGATGGGAACCGTGAGCTGACTGACGTCCTTATCCTCAAGCATTTCTTTGAGAAGGGCAGGGTCTGTGTGGTAGATGTCAAGACACGCAAGATGAAGCATGTAAGTAATAAGGCACATAATCCAAATTTGTCGTCTTAAATACCGGTACACATAATGTCACTAGATCATCAGCTTCTAATGATTAATAGGAGTTGCTGAACAAATTTTTAATTGAAAAATATATATTGCTTTATATATGTGGTTGTGTGTCATGAGCTGGCCCTTCCTCCAAAAAACAAGGTTGTGCTGTTACACAGAACAGGTTATGATAAAAATAATAAGATAACAAAAATATATACTTCGATTTTTGTCATTTGTCATTGAAAAAAGGCTTTGTGAAACAGGCCCCAGATTGAACTATTCAGACCCCCTATGCATGAGCCCTATGTAAAATTTCAAAAATTGCGGGGTCCAGACTTTTATTTGGGGCGTCCATGTGTCCTGGATGCCTGTTAGTGTCGAGCCCTGATATAGTCTAAATAATCCTAATAATATGCATGTTACAAATATAGTTTTGTGCAGTGAAGTAGCATTCACTTATTTCATCATTCCCCTGTCTTTATATAAATTCTACTCTTTCACCTCGTAAGCCTAATTGTTTAAGAATACCATCAAATATTATGTGGTTCCATCCCCTCTTTTTTGTTATTTTAAATAAATATTGACAATGATTTCTTCTACTTTGACTCATTTACAGGTGCCAGAGTACCAGTTGCAGCTGAGTGGGTCAGGGGGTCAAGTCCTGGATGGGGAGCGGTTCCTAGCCTTCACAGACATCGCTAGGATCATCATGCTCCAGCTCAAAGACGGTACATGTAGGTCCTTGGCCTCTCGGGTAGCTTGGCAAAACAGATTTGGCATGAAATGGACCGTCCATAAAACTTCTTTACTGTTAAAGTGACTCGGTAACATTGTCTCAGATTCTGAAACAAAATCCTGGATTTAGCTCATGCTGCTAATTATATGATAACTATAAACCTTTAGGTCAGTCAGGAATTCGATGACTTTTACAAGCCGATCGCCTGTCTGATTATCAAGATACTTATGATTGGAAATCAAAATCAAATTGTCTGTTTTCCTAATGGTTTTAATAACACTACAGTCTATTGGGGAAAATGAGTATGGTAAAACCGGTCACTCAAAGACCTTTACTTTTTTGAGGTACTTCATGATCATTTTGAAGTGCAATTTTTTTAGAGCTTCAATATTACACCATATCACAGACACTGGTAACACGTAGGGCCATGCATCTCAGATTTTACATTGTTAAAAGATGCCTTTAAGAATCATTAATTTTGTGGCATAGATGTACATATAGTACCATATCATACCTGCCAACCACCCCGATTTAGGCGGAGTTCCTCCGCTTTTTACATACCAACTCCGAATTCCGATTGCATGCCTCAAAACTCCGATTTTTTTATTTTTTATTTTTTTTTTTATTTTTATTTTTTTTATTTTTTATTTTTTTTAGTGTAATGCACTTGGAGAGTATATAACTATTATGTTTGTATTTTGAAATGTAAAGCGCCTTGAGCATGTTCATGTAAAGGTGCTCAATAAATACCAATATGTATGTATGTATGTATAAGACTAAAGCATAACACAGCACTGATAACCAGATCACGTCAACATCCGCGCTCGCGCTCATAGAAGATGTACACAGCGCAGCCCGAACGTGATCGTTAGTTCCGCAGTCACCCCCTGTGTACCCCCCCCCCCCAATCTACGGGCTACTACCCCAATCCTTCGGTGGTTCGCGACCTCGTAGTCCATCCCGAAAAATTTACTCCTAATTTCTCTTGTCTCAGGTTGGCAGGTATGCCATATCATACAAACAGGGAAACACCAAAGAGTTTTTTTAGTGGAGCTTTCCGAGAGAAATACAAAATGCAAATTTACAGTACTCTAAAAATCATAATTTTATGGTTGAACAGTATCATAAGGTTATGGATCTGGTAAATGCATGAACATCTACATGTACATCCTCTCTTTCTTCTTCTTCTTCAATTGCAGTACAGGCCATCGTCAGGTGTATTGTTGTACCTCTAGTAGATTAATTAGGCTTAATATTTATCAAAAGTGTCGCCCAGATATGTTAAATAACAACCGTTAATGATGATTAACATTTATATGGCGTTATACTCGTGTTTGAAAAAAAACATTCACAGGCTCCTCCAATGAAGTCAGTATTGTCTTATTATTTGCTGATAGCGGCAAGTCTTGATGCATGACTTGACGTTATTTAGACGGTCCTTCCCACAAGCTACTATACCTTTTGTGTTCCAGACATGCCTTCATGTCCCACTACCTTTTGCTAAGCTACCCCAGTGATGCATGCTCATTTGAATCTCTTTCCTTTCTCTACTACCTTTCTGTATATCCAATTCAATATTGGGATTTAATACATGCAAGTCAATGTGTTACATAGCATTTAATCATAGTGTGTGTGTGTGTGTGTGTAAATGCGTCTTAACAGTTTAACAGTTTATAAATTATTATTTACGTCTGGTTACTAACCTTTAACGTCACCATCCAACGACGTGATTCAGTTTCGAACCGGGGTCCCCCTGAGTCACTTTGTAGGCGAAGACAGAGAGTTGACCAAGTGAATGTACCACTAGACCAACCTTCCATCTCCCTAATTTTGATAATAATAATAAATCTAGATTTATATGATAATAATGGATTACCATCTCTAAGCAGTTTACAGATATTATTATTTATTTATCCGTCATCGGATTCATTCACACACAAAGTGTGCACAATTTCCACTCGCGGGGGAGTATTCCTACCATCTGGGGCCCGTTTCACAAAGCCCTTTTCAATGACAAATGACAAAAATCAGTGACAATTCTGCTGATTAACCAATCAGAAGCAAGGATTTCAGTAGCTTATAACAAAACTGTCATTTGTCACTGAGGACAAGTTTTGTGAAATGCCTCCCTGGTCACAGTGAGGACATATGGCAATTTCTATCACAAAGTCTTTTAGCATCCTACCAGGTCCCCATTTTGCTCCTAGGAATGCAGTAGCAAATTTAAATTAATGTCTTGCCGAAGTGCCTGTGATCAAATCCATGACCTTTGTTTTTCCAGTCAAGTGCTTAAACTACTCGACCATGACACCATTTCAAAGACAGTGCATGTACATGTGTTAGTCCTTGGCCTTGGCCTGTTAGTGATTGCATGCTCTTTTGAAGCTTTTTCCTGTTTACCGGTATACCATCTGTTTGTGTATATAGTCAGTTAAGGACTCAGATTGAGTCAACGTTTAGCTTGGCCAAGTGAAATGTGTGCTCCAAAAATACTAATGTTACATGTTAAGACTTGGAAAAGATTTTAAAGATATAAGTGCAATCATCTCTCAGCAAATCTCTGTTGAGAAATGTCTGTCCGTTGTATAAATGCAACTCCTTTTGTTATTTTCTTTGTGTTATAGGTGCCCAGCTGAGTGTGGAGAACCTGTGGGTTCTTTATCTTGTTCTCAAGGCCATGCTAGCCAGCCTGAAGGTAAACCAATAAGATGATTCATCAAATTCAAAGACAATCAGCAACATATTTCTATCCCAGAATGATGATTTTTTTTTTTTTAATCAACTAAAAGAAAAAAAAATTGATATGAAAATGTGAACGAGAATCTACAACAAATCATACTCACATGTATTACTACAATATGGCATGTTTGATACATGTGCATGTGCATGTTCAACTTGATTCGATACAATTCAATTCAGTTCAATTGTTTCGCTCACATTTTTTGTTTTCTAAAATTTTTAGTGTAAATATACATGTACTAAGCAGCTGCTACAGTAATGAGCAAGTATTCATAAGGACAACAAGCTGGGAGTTCACGCCCACAGCTAAAATGTGCAGTCATGAACTTGTACGTGTATGTGCTGATGTTATTTCCAGCAGCTTTTGTGTGTTAATATTTGTTGGTCCAAGCATCTTCTCTATACTACATACCGGTAATGTATGCCATAAACAATTGAAAATTGACAATTCATTTCAGCCACTTTCTTTGGAAATTGTATATAAAATGAATTAAATTGAATTGAATCAAGGTTTATTAAAAAAAATATGTGCCGCAGCCCAATGGCTGAATTGATCATGTGTACTGCGTGGAATGCACTTTCGAAGACCACCCTTGACGCTACTTCACTGGAGGGCTTCAAGGGAGCGCTTCCACCCAGCATCTAGACCAATAACTAGATAGTTAATTCCTCAGCACTACATCCTGACTTATGGATCCTGCTGAGTATCGTCGTAGAAGTAGAAGTAGAAATACAAATAAAACACTCATTGCATATTACAAACAATGTATTTATGAATGACCACTGTTATCTTTGGTTGTTCTGATATGAAGGTGAACTACTCTCAGCTACTGAACAGTGACCTTCTGCCTCTCCTCGTCCACCTAGCCGGTCAACCCACCAAGCTTAGTAAGAGATGGCTACTCAAAGACCTAGAGGTAGGACACTTAACTTGCAGTTCTTACAAATGTTGATGTGTCCAGGTTTTTTTTCACAAAGACTAAGATCAAATTGAGTTGGACTTGAAGTATAGCAGCCCATTCATGCACTGGCTGCTCTCACCATTTGTCTCTTAAAGGCTGTGCAAATTGTGGTAACAAATCTACATAATTAACATTTTTTGATAGTGCATCATTAAGAAATTATTACTTAAATTTAAGTTCTACGTACAACTTATTGTAGTCTTTGTTAAATACCCTCTGGAATTGAACTTCAGCCTTGGAGGCATATATTTATTGCACATTAAAAGAGCATGATTGTATATACATTATAAAAACTTGGTCAAAAGAACTAAAAAGTATAATGTAGTCTTCTTCTTTCGTTTGAGGCGGTAGAATCTTTTACTATTCATTAGAATTGATTCTAATCTGTTTTTGCTGTTAAGAATAATATTAACCTTAATCCTTCCCACAGGAAATGTTAAGCTTATGATTATTTAATAGTGTAACAGTTAGATTACAGTACCAAAGCTTTGTTCACATAATCCGTGATAAACTGCTGGGAAAAAAGGGTAGTGCACCTTACCTTCCTGTATCTTAATACAGCATCTTATTATTATTATTATTATTATTATTATTATCTTAATACTCATTGTAAAGGTACATTCAAGTGAGTATGTGTAGGACTCTTGTTGCATGCAGCTGTTTTTTCAGCTTTTTTTGTCATCCCCACCTGCCATTTATTTACTCATAAAGAAAAAAAAAACTCTCCCAGTTTACGGCATCATTCAACATGTATTTAAATCAGCATTAAATGTCATAATATATTGTGGAGGTGTTGTGGTAAAGTGGTTCATTCACTTGACTCCCAATCCTAGGGTTTAGGGTTCCAATCCCAGCCAAGCATTAATGTCTATTGGCAAGACAATCCACATTTGCCACTCTCCACCCAGGTATAAATGGGTACCTGGCAATGCTGGGGGTAATAATAAGTGCTGGGGGTGTTTCACAAAGATCCTAAGTCGAACTTAACTCTAAAAGTCAGACTTAAAAGTTATGGAGAGCCATTTGTAGCCTTAAAATGAAATATATTAAAAAGCAAAAATTCAAGTATTTTAGATTTTTTATAAATTTCACATCAAGAACATGAAATCTCCCATGATAATAGAAAATGTGAATGATTTGAATCAACATTTTATGCCCTTTCTAATAACTTTTACAAAATATTTTCAAAGATGCTAACGACTTTCCATAATTGTAAAGTCCAACTTAGAGATAAGTTCAATTTAGGATCTTTGTGAAACACCCCAGGGCCCACAGGAAGAGCAGTAATGATACTGACGTGGCTACCCTGGGTGAATAAGACCAAATTATCATTAATTGTAACAATTAAAATCAGTTGTCCTATCAAAAAGTCAACCAGGATCTCTTTTTGTGTGCAGATTTTATCCATCAAGCTGTACACTCGAGGCAAGGCCAAGACCAGTGGTATCACCCAGCTGCCCTCCGTGCCCCTCGGTATGGGGGCATTGGTGGGACCGGAGCACAAGGAGCCCCTCCCTCCTAAGCTCCCACGCTCCCGCAACTCATTCAGCTCTGAGAGTAGTGACTCCAGGTCAGTCGATATGGCATCAAATCAAGTTCAAGTTCAAGTTTTTTTTATCTTTCTTTCTTTCATAACACACATTACAAATATGACATGAATATAACAAATTAATAGAATATGGCGTTACAATAGAAAGATGAGGTGACCTTGGTTGAAAGCAAGGCTTGTGGATTTAAGGTCCCTCAAGAGTAGCTTATGAGTATGTCTTAAATAAACAAACTCGTCAGATAAGAATAATGCATACATTTAAATGCTTACAAACTAAACTAACTAAACAACTGGGAAAATATAAATAAATAAGTGTGATTAAATCTACTGACTACTATGGAGTGCTATAAAAACTCCTGCTAACCCCTATTTGGACAAGGCCGAGATGTGTTGTCACGTATTATATGCTTTTGAGAGAAATGTGATGCTGATTTGTTTTTCATGAAAATTAAGTAAATGGGTGTCTCCCTCCATTAATTTACGCGGCCGGTAACTGGACATTTGATCTGGGCTTTATTCATCAATGATTTAAGTCTAGGGTTATGGGTAGGGTGATTAGACAAAACATTGAAGTTACACAAATTTGGTTACCGCTGGGAATCAAAAGCATAGTAAATGTTGCTGGAGAATGTTGTTTGGACCCTTTAATTGTCTGTATCCCACAAGATTTATTTTCTAGCCAGATTCTCTAGGTCTGTGACCAATAAGCTTGCCTTTCTCTGCCGCATTGTACTTGTATATTTAATAAATTCTTTTACAAGTTCATACTTTCTTTCCCGTTTTAATTGTTGACACAGTGATGTTGTATTGAATGACGCCCTGCTGAACCTAGACAGTGATATCAGCAGTGATTCTGATGACAGTGAGAGCTGGCACTCCTACCTGACGGCCGACTCCATACCACAATCCCTACCCTTGGAAGAATATGGGGTAGATGTGGATGAGGAGGGGGTAGGAGGGGGCGAGGATCAGGGAGCGGGGAACAACCCTGACCCCATGGGAGGGCTGGATGATAAGGCTAAGGCTTGTCTTCAGGTGAGTGTGTTTCCCCATAGGAGTGTTTGAAATGTGGATCAAGAGGGGGAGGAAGGGGAAGCAGGAGGGGCAAGAATCAGAGAGATGGGAACAGTCCTGATCCCATGGGAGGGCTGGATGATAAGGCTAAGGCTTGTCTTCAGGTGAGTGTGTTTCCCCATAGGAGTGTTTGAAATGTGGATCAAGAGGGGGAGGAAGGGGAAGCAGGAGGGGCAAGGATCAGAGAGAGGGGAACAACCCTGACCCATGGGAGGGCTGGATGGTAAGGCTAAGGCTTGTCTACAGGTGAGTGTGTTTCCCCATAGGAGTGTTCGAAATGTGGATTAGGAGGGGGAGGAAGGGGAAGAAGGAGGGGGCAAGGATCAGAGAGAGGGGAACAGTCCTGATCCCATGGGAGGGCTGGATGATAAGGCTAAGGCTTGTCTACAGGTGAGTGTGTTTCCCCATAGGAGTGTTCGAAATGTGGATTAGGAGGGGGAAGAGGGGAAGAAGGAGGGGCAAGGATCAGAGAGAGGGGAACAACCCTGACCCATGGGAGGGCTGGATGATAAGGCTAAGGCTTGTCTACAGGTGAGTGTGTTTCCCCATAGGAGTGTTCGAAATGTGGATTAGGAGGGGGAAGAGGGGAAGAAGGAGGGGCAAGGATCAGAGAGAGGGGAACAGTCCTGATCCCATGGGAGGGCTGGATGATAAGGCTAAGGCTTGTCTACAGGTGAGTGTGTTTCCCCATAGGAGTGTTTGAAATGTGGATCAGGGGGGGGGGGAGGAAGGGGAAGAAGGAGAGGCAAGGATCAGGGAGAGTGGAACAGTCCTAATCACATGGGAGGATCAAATTTATTTATTTTTATTTATTTATTAGTCTTTTTTTAGTAAGGTGGCCCCATCAGTAGTTGAATACTGTTTTCCGTGGAGGCCCTACAGCTAATGATACGGCTAAAGCTAATCTATAGATGCATTTAAACAGAAACAGATTTGAGCATGTATGTCTACTTTGGAAGAGAGATGCAGTGTTTTGACTAAAACTACAAATCAAATGTCATTATTATCTGGAGGATATACGATTTATGTATTAACCCTTACTGTACTGGGGGGGGGGGGGGGGGCCTGGGAGGCCCCCCCCTCGACATTTTCGAAGATCGCGCCGCAACCGCTTGGAATTTTGAATTGTCATTTCATGACTTTTTTCCCTCAAGTCTTGCGCACATTTTGATACCATTTTCGTCGAAATCGGATATACCTGTAAGGTGTTACATAACAATTAGTATGCGCATGTCATGAAAAAAGTGCTATAATTGCATATATTCATGTACAAGCAGAAATGTGAAGATATGAATTGATATCAAATTGCTTTTATATGTTTCTCAGAGTAACTTGATGTATTCCAGAACAAAAGAATACATTAGAAATAAAACAATAGATATAATAAGAAATAAAAAACAATAAAATACACAAGAAAATAAATAGTTGAAAATCGCATCAAATTTGCATAAATTATCATTATTAATTACATCAAATAACTATTTTGTGTTAGAAAAGAAGTTTTATATGAATAATGAGTTTCAACATTCAAAAAGTGGAGTCTGACAATTTTTGTAATGATTCTAGTTCCCTAAATATAGTTCCAGATTTGATATTCATGAATGCGTAATTTGTGTATTCATAATTTATGCAAATTAACCTATGCATTTTCAAATATCATAACAATAATGAAACCTCATGAATTTGAGATGAAGGAAACATAATCAATACATTTTCAAGATTCTTCACAAGTCTACGGACAAATATGTAGAGTTTTCTGCAAAATGCATAAAATTAGCATTTTGCATAATTAACGAGGCTATAACGACAAACATTTGCATATTAGGAAAAAACTAATTATACCATCTTGTTCCTTACGTAAATATCTACAAATATGCAAATTTTTGTGTTCATCGGACACTCGGCGGCCGAGATCATAGGGGGGGGGGGCCTCCCAGGCCCCCCCCCTCCCCAGTCAGAGGGTGCTCAAAATAGCCCAGTACAGTAAGGGTTAAGACCCCTACAGGAATAAAATAAAATCTTAGTGGAAATGTTGTCCTTTAGTCTCATAGAGCACACAAAAGCAAGAATAGAATTTTAGCAACTTATATATTTTTGTTGTTTTGAGCTGAGGAGATCACACCTCATGAGAGATAGGTGAATTGCAATGGTCCATTTTTCATGTGATTTCAGGCAACCCATGAAGCCATCTTGGCACCGGTATCCATCTTGAGAGCTATGTATGAGAAATGCAACAGGAACATCCAGGATCTGGTGGAAGAAGTACAAAAATGGTAAGTTTTTGAACGAAGCTGCCTTTGTTGGTATGTTCATGCTTTAATTATGTACTTATATATAATGTGTAATATACAGGTATTTGTACGAATAAAAATGTATTTATATATATAATTTTTTTAATATAATACTCCGCATGTCTAGGACCGCTTATCAACATGACCTATCTACATGTACATGTATAAGGACTGCATTTTCCAGACGATAATTTGTCCCCCGCTTTATAATTTGTTAATAATCAGATTTGATCTCTCCTAACAACCTTTGGCAAGACATAAATCTACTATTGTCGCACTCCACCCAGGTGAGGTAAATGGGTACCTGGCAGGAATAAGGTCCTTAAATTAAAAAAAAAAAAACAGAACATAAAACGATGATGATGATGATGATGGTGACGGTAATGACGAAATGAATCTAATGACTTTCATTGTTTTCTTCTACACTCAAGCTTCCAAGGTGAGGAGCTGATCGTGAGTGATGATATTAAGCAGCTTGCCAAGCGATGGGAACCCAAGCCAGCCCCAGAGGTCCGAGATCCTACGGAATACAAAACAATGGATACAGGAGCACTCACCTACACGCCCATACCTTCAATGCCTAGGTAGTACACTTCACACTTCTCTTGAATCAAACAACATGATTTTTGATAAATTATTCACGTTATTTAGCAATCACAAAGTTTAGATACCATTCTTCGATGAACTGAAATGATGAATAAAGAATATTTGATGATGTACATTTATACATGCTGGAACATTTTTAAGGGTAAGATGATCTCAGTTCAATCAACAAAAAGTACTTCTTCATTGTGGGATTCCTTTGTAGAGCAAAAAAAAAAGAAGAAAAAAATGGATGAAGAGAATTCTTACAGAGAAGAATTATTCCAACATGTGCATGAATTACGTACACTGTATATAATGGTGATCAGCAGAAGTTTTTTTTTAATGAAAAAAAATTATTTTATGCATAAATATGCATGTCTCAAGCCACATACCTTATCAATGAGTCATCTTCCTCAAGAAGAGATAGGGGGAAAAAACAAATTTCAAACTGTACTTTTGAAAGATGTACGATAATTCTGTTGCTTGTCATACATGCAAAATAACTCCAACTGCTCTGTTTCTTGGTCTGCAACAATTTGCTTTGTTACCATAGGGAGCTAGATGACAATTATGCGGTGCCAGAGTTGAGCCAGCATGCACCCATCCTCGTGGCTAACAGTGAAGCAGAACTCAGAGAGGTAAGATTCTGAAACCTTCTCTGATTAATATCATGGAATTTTACTTATTTGATCATTCGTTCACGATTCATGCCACATACAGTACATGTAGATACACCAAATATATATATATATATATATATGCCAGCCATGTACATAGACACATCTTGGTACAAGGAATTTAAACAAAATAGCAAACTGTAATGCTGTTCGAGGTCATTCCCGCCAACATGTCGATGATGATCATCAAATCAAGAATCATATAGTTCACTCAATAGAATTTCTGCATTTCGTAGCCTGGCTGGCAGAAGGGCGTTAGCTCGAACTTCAGGTAAAAAATGAAGCGTTAAGCAGAAGGGTGTTAGCACTAAATTGCCTCAAACTTTTATAAAACTGACTTATTTCCCCCCAAAAATTGTGGCCATGTTCTATTATAACATTACTATTACGGTAGTCTTTTAAGTTTTAAATCAATTTTTGGGACATAAAGCAGTTTAAATATAAAACAAATCGTTAAATGCGAATAATTTGAAAAGTAGTTTTGGAGTCGCTCGCTCGCTAACGCCCTTCTGCCAGCCGGCCAACGATTTCTATTACAACAGGAAAATAAAGCACAAGTCACACTTGCAAAGAAACACTATTAAAATTCTCCACTAGTCTAAACACTGCTTATCATAAGTTCAGACATCATTTCTTTGATTTCATACTTTTTGAAGCAGAATTTGTATCTATTCTATTAGACAAATACCTCTCAGTCATGGTACAGTCAATCCTGCTTTAGCGACCACCTGTGCATAAAGATCACCTGCCTATAAAGACCAATTTTCTTGTCTCCCTTGAGCGGTCTTTATATACAGGTTTCACTGTACATGATTCTGCTTTGTAAATTCTTACAGAGCTACAGAAAGCACCAGCGCACCAAGAGTGGGGAACTTCTAAAGAAAGAGCTGGAGAAACATGGAAAGAGTGCATCCAGGATCTACCTGCATGTGGTGAGTCCATGACCATCTTTAAAGTGAATTAATAATAATACTCAGTTCTTTTATAGCGCATAACACATTACAGGATAGCATGTCCCTATGCGCTTGGTAACATTGTTGAAGGTTGATGAAAAAATTGCAGAATTTTTATATGAAATGTTAATACTTATTGTATTCCTTCTAACCCTCTAACATGCAAAAAAATCCTGAAAAAAATTCTCAATACACAAAGCTATTTATGGTTTTCTTTGAAAGTGTCACTGTGCGACACCCTCTAACAGTAACTTCTCCCAACCATTTTTTGAATTTTGCCAACCTTTTTTCCTTGAAAATAAGACATACTGTAAGACAGGCTTTAAAAAATCTTTCAATACTTAAATGTCTGGAATGGTATATAGTGCCATTTCATTGCTTTGTGAAGATTTAAATTCACTTAAAGTGTAATTAAATTATAATAATATAGTTGGGAGAATTAAGGAATCGGTCCGATCAGTTTTTCCCAATTTGTATCATTAATAATGGTCTGTTTTCACTCAAACTTTAATTGTACATCTAGCATTGAAGTCACTACCTTAGCACCATTTCCTCTCATCTGAACAATATTACCAAGTCCTTTTAATCAAAGGAATAAATGTGACACGTATAACATGACAACTTCCTGTGTAAGGTGCATCTGTAATGACTAAATCCGGCAATATTTCTGCTCTTCATTGTAGAAAGAATTGTTTCTATTTGCTTTAAGAAGTATTATGCAAATGAACAAAAACATGTCATTACCTGTGATTGATTTGATTTTGATTCGATTTAATTTAATTTTTATTTACTCCATATACATCATTAACACATACATTTACAATTGTATATCTTTAGATGTATTATAATGATGACATGGCATATAAAGAAATGGGGTTTTCTTCAGCATTAGTGATGTCCTCTAAAAAAATGAAAATAACAGTAAATACAATATGCAGTAATGCATACAAATTAAGAGAGGAAGGAAGCAGTGGAAAAATACATGGGGCTCAGGGCAAATTTGCCCCCGAAATGCCCAAAAGAGCCCCCAAAAATCAGAAAAGAGCCCCCGTAAATTTGCCTGGAGTTCAATGCAAAACACATTTTAGAGTGTTATTTTTATGCAGGCAAGCTTGAAAAGTAGCCCCCGAAAAATAAATATTAATTTTTTCCCTGGAAGAAAGAAATATAAAATGGGCATTAAAGAGAAGGGACAGAGACCAAGGAGGAGGGATAGAAAGTTGCATTCATGATAGTATCGAGAGGAGTACATTATACAAATAATGAATGGTTATGAGTTCAATAGTGCGAATATTTTCACGAGTTGAAAGATTAACATTCTATTCAATGAGGCGTCAGCCGAGTTGAATAGAATTAACGTTAATCTTTCAACGAATGAAAATATTTGCACTATTGAACGAATGAAAAACATTCATTATTTGTTTTATACAACATCGAAGAAGATCTAATAGAACGTTAATCAACAAATTATGCTTTACTCCTTATATTAAAGATAAATTAAAGTTGGAGTCAAGCCCTCTTCTCGATTGAGATTGCCTTCGCGTCAGATACACGCAGGGATACGCGCGCGCACGACTGAGAGGTACGCAGTCTGCATATAACCAAAAATGCACAGCGCATATAACCAAAAATGCACGACCGTGCAATATACCATCTATTGAATATCATGTGACCAACAATCCTCCAATCAAATGACAAGGATCCACGTAGGTGTTGTATAATATTATATATCAAGTCAAGTTGTGCATGTACTAACAATCACCTTTTTACAGCTACTGATTTATGACAATAGGGACAGTCTTGGGGTCTGCCCAAGTAGATATCAACACCTTCATGCATATAGCATTCTTACGTCAGGGTGACATTCACAAGTTTTTTTCTAAACAGATGGCATGGGTTTTACATGCACCCATGATATTCATTATTTTTACTTTTCTCTCATTGTGTTCATGTTCAATATCAATTGTTGAGGCAAAGTCATTAGGTGATGCATTTAGCTATACCTTTGTAATGCAAGAAATAAATTTATGTAATACTTTATATATAGATGTAGGATTGATGCAATTTTTACTGTTTTGTGATATTCAACAAAACATGAGTTTATTCATGTAAAGGATAGTTTCATGTAAAGATACTTTCTCAAAATCTGATGCAGATCAACAATGCTCTGGCAGTGATGTGTGCCAGACAGGTGCTAGCAGCTCTGCTTGCTGATTGGCCAGCTACCGGTGATCATGTGATCAGTACTAATACGTTTGGTTGTAAAGAGCATTCGCAGTTGGTCAGTATACTTGACCTGCTTCAGAGAGTCGAGGAGAAAGATGTCTTCTTAAAGGTGAGTTCAGTGCGCTAATGGATCGCAAGATGAAGATGAAAGGGATGGTGATAGTGATGATGATGGTGATGATGATAATTGACTATGGTGATGATGATGATGATGATAATGATAATACTTTTCAAGACAATGATGATAATGAAGGTGATGATGATGGTGCTATTCGTGATGATGATAATGATATTTGTGATGATGATGATGTTGGTTATGCTATTTGTGATGATGATGATGATGATGATGATGTTGGTAATGATTGATTATGATAGTGATGATGATGAGGATAAGGATGTTGATGAAGATAATGATTATAATGCTATTCAAGACGATGATGATAATGATATTTGTGATGATAATGATGATTATGCTATTTGTGATAATGATGATGGTGATGATGAGGATAAGGATGACGATGAAGATAATGCTATTGAAGATTATGATAATAATTATATTTATGATGATGATGATAAGGATGACGATGATTATGATAATAATGATATTTGTGATGATGATGATAAGGATGACGATGATTAAGATAATAATGATATTTGTGATGATGACGATGATAAGGATGACAATGATGATGCTGATGGCTTCCTATGTACATAAAGCACCAGCTTCTCTTCTACTTGGCACTCACTGTGCTTGCTCTAATGCTTGTAGTCAGTGTTTGTGAATGTGGGAATAAAGTTTCACTGCCTATGAACACATGGACAGACGCAGTCAGTGGCGTACGCAGGATTTTTTCAAGGGGGGGGGGGGTTTAACATTTTTGCAACGACCCAGCGAGCCGCTGAATAAGCGGGAGGGGGGTAAGAGCACTTTTTTTTGGGGGGGGGGGGGATAAGGTCACTATTTGGGGGTCACCCTTTGGTACAAAAAAAAAAAATTAGGGGGGGGGGGGAGTTCATCACACGTAGGCGTCTGGGTGCAGTGATCTTTATTATATGGAACAAATAATGAAAAGTGTGATACTAATGACAGTAATGATGATGATGATAATTGCTCTTAAATTACTGGTAGCTCATAACTCAAAAGTGCCCCAATGGTTTGCACATCGATAGCCACTTTGAGGCTTTTTTTTTTTAGATGCAATACTTTACTCCAACAAAAATGGATTTAAATTTGTTAGTGAGTTTTGCTCTTTCTGCTCACAATCATGTCATATGGAATTTTATCATTCCTTATAAAAGATAATGCATTAATGACATGGTGTGTAGCAGCTTGCTCCCCAGCTCATAAATGTACGTCAGTCAATTAAAAAAAGTGTTATTAATTCTTTCATCTTCAGGTTGTAGAGAATGTTGTCCATCATTGTGAAGATGGGTTACTAGCCCCGCTGTGTCTAGCTGCGTGCTCCTTCATGCAAGTGACTGTCATGTTGCCCAAGACCTTAGAATCCAAACACAACTATGAGAGCAACACTAAAAAACAGGTAGGTGGGACTGTGCTCTATAAATTTTTTGTAGAATCAAAGATATTTTAAAGAACCTTTGCACCTTTCATATGTGTAGCTGTTGGTCAGAGATAAGATTGTACTTGTGTTATTTGTCACAAACAGAAGAAACAATTTTAATGTACAATAACATTAGCCGAGTAATGAGGGGCAAAAGATGAAGTAAATCGTGCAACTAGTACCAGCCTGCATGTATTATGGATCCATGTTAATTTAATCCGTGTGAGTTTGGTTTTTAATAAATGTGTTTTCCAGTAAGTTCTTTTCTTTGTATTTTGTTGAACCAAACAACCCACTACCTGCATGATAAACAATTAAGAATTAATGCGTGCCATTTTCTCTTGAAACAAAGTTCCATGACTGGGAACTCCAGTTTAGTTTGACTACTCTTTGATTCTTACAACGTTTCTCCACAGGGCAACATTTCTCTACCGGGAGCCACTCACCTGAGCATCAAGTTTGATGAACGCTGCTGCACAGAGAGCTGCTGTGATACACTACAGTTATCCTCCAACTCGTCTTTCAAGCACGACGTCCATTCATTCTCGGGACCCTATGGCAGTGCCAACTGGATAGACTTTGATTTACCAGGTTTGTGGTAACTGTGTGATGGTTAGAAAAGTTCTTTAGACGTCAATTAAATAAATACTGTAGATGAATATTTAATTTTTATGAGTTGAGATGGTAAATACTATTTCATGAGTTAGAATATAGCTGCTGTGCTATGCTGCAGATATATTACTCACCCATCAAAACCAGGTCTGTAATAACTTCAAATTGTTAGGAAGCTTCATTAGAGGTCAAAGCTGATTCATGATTGAATAATAAATAGTATGGTAGACAAACATATTTAATGTTTATGAGTGAACCCTATGGCAGCGCCAACTTGGTAGATCTTGAATTACCAGGTCTGTAAGAGTATTCAATTAATCAACTTCTATCATCATCAATCAAGCTCACGCACGCCAGCCATTCTCCACTCCTGACGACGGATAGTCAACCTGTTCGAAACGTCGAGCCACTCATCCTCTCCAAGCGCTATAGTTCTCCTTAGAACAATTTGCTAAGAAAGATAACAAACAGTCCTTTTCAGGACTACCACACCCCCAAGAAAGATTACCGAGTCAGCGTCCTTTTCAGGACTCCTCAACCCTCTCTCTCTCTCTCACATGGTGCACCCGCAAATCTACTGTACATCATCAATCAATAATAAAATGTGAATTTTGTTTACATGTATGTATGTATGACTTATGAATATGTCCAGATAGCGGATAAGATTATAAAGTTGGCTATACTATCCTCCTATTACCAAGAATATAATTTGAACATATTTGTGGCTTACACCCAGTAAATAAGATCGATTGATCGATCTGTGATTCGTTTTTCAATTACAGATCGATCAATCGATCTTATTTACTGGGTGTAAGCCACAAATATGTTCAAACTCTTGAAATTTCTCCCAGGAAGCATTACATTTATAAAAAATAATATAATTGTTCAATTTTATTACTGCTTTTTAATGCTCTATTAAATACATCATATACATGTACATTTCCTCTGTAGGTGACACCCTGTACTACAAATTTCATTCTGATGACGGTAGCTCAACCGAGTGGGGTTACAAACTGACAGTCACTGGCAACAAATTAGGAAGGTAAGCACATTGGCCCATATTCTTGATAGAGACCGCAATGAAACCTGGGTCAACATATTATACTAATTTATGGAAAGCCAAGTGTTAACAGTAACATTCTATTTGATTACTGTAATTTAGGGTATGTATTGAAATAAATAATACAATTACATGTAGTTTAGTCATGAGATTAAAGGAAAAATGTATTCTGAGAGACATGCCAGGTTATACTCATGTTCAGTGCTATGTATCCTCAGGATAAAGTGCTGTATCAATTCAACTATTATTATAATAATTACTTATTGTTGTGGTTGTTGTTCTTATGTTTTTAATTGTTGTCTTTATTATTAGTAGTAATAGCAATATCGTTGTTGTAGGTGTTACTACTACTACATAAGGCATACTAAAAAAAGATGTATTGCCTTTTGAAACCGACCCAATTTTTTGTTTTTGTTTACTGTTATTTAAAAAAAAAAATGTTTAATGAATAAAGAAATATGTCGCATTCAAAACTGAGAAATATCAGCCCAAAGAGGGAAGAAAAAAAAAGTTTAAAAAAAGATTTCCGACCGACTGACCCATGTTTTGGCACCTTAGGGGCAATACAACATCCTTTTTTTTTTAGGCCTAATACTAATTCTTTACAGTAAGATTATTTTGCACACACACCCTGCATTCTGTTTGTATTATCACTCAGGTTTGAGACTGGCTATGTGATCCTCAACACAGTACTAGCTAACCCCAAGCTGGCCCAACAAGTTCCTCTTCAAGAGCTGTGGGAGTGGCTTGTACAGGTTGCTAGGAAACAGGTCGGCCAGAGTCGCCTCAAGGCCGTGCAGCTACTGCTACGCATCCTTGCTAGTATACCAAGGTGAGTGAGTTGGTGTTGACTCTTAAAGGGATCCGGTAACTTTGTCTTAGATCCTTTAGAAATAATCCTTGATTTAGCTCATGCTGCAATGATAATTATAAACCTTTAGGTCAGTCAGGAACTCCATGACTTTTACAAGCCGATCGGCCGTCTGATTATCAAGATATTAATGATTGGAATTACAAATTTTGAAAACCGTTTGCTGAACGGTTTTCATAACACTACAGTCTATTGGGGAAAACGAGTATGGTAAAACCGGTCACTCAAAGATTTTTACTTTTTGAGGCACTTCGAGATCAATTTGAAGCGCAATATTACACCATATCACAGACACTGGTAACATGTAGGACCGAGTATCTCAGATTTAACATTGTTAAACGATCCCTTTAAAACATTCAAAGGTGACCTGTGTATAAAGACTACCAAATCCCTCTTGCAGTGTCCTTCATTCAAATCCATATAAAAGTAACCTGTGTCAAGAGAGTCTGTTTTTATTGTACCAGCGTTCCTCTCTGAACCTATAATATGAAAAGAAACTGAATATAAAAACCACTATATTATACTATATAAAAGACCACTATGAAAAAAAAGTTATATAGAATATTAAAGCTCTGAGACATTAGAAGGTATAGATGGTATGAACCTATTTGGGTTAAGCCTTCATTGACCGGTTTAGGAGGTTACAATCATTCATCTAAGTATACTCAGGTCTGAAGCCATGATTGTAATTCATACTTAAATATATTTAATTATACTAAAATGTAAAATAGGTCTCTGATGGGCTTGATTCCATACTGTGAAGAGCATTAATTCATGAATTCATTATTTCCTGCGATCACAGTCCGTCTCAGACTGAGTCATCACCACGCACCTACTCAACATCCACCGTCCCTGACCCATCGACACCCTCGCCCCAAGACAAAACCAACGAGGACACGCCCCCATCCTCTACCCCTGCCGAGCCCAGACCGCCGGTGGACTTGACCCGTCTCAAGCCTCTCTGGCTTCTGCTGGATTCCATGAACTGCAGGCTGAGTGCAGACTGCTCCCCCCAGAGCTTGGCCGCGGCACACCGGGCCCTGATGGAGCTGTTTCTGATGGTGGAGAACATGGTCCAGGAGTGGGACATGGTGGAGGAGTATGTCCTGGCCATGAGCAATGATGATGCTATCAAGAGAGCACTCATACAGGTGAGAAAAATGAGCAGTAAACCACCCCTCCCCCAAATAGAACAGAAAACAAACGGTAACATTCAAATCATTTTATGTGTGAATGAATATGAGAGATGGGGTGAAAAGATCAAGGTGCACACAAAAAAGGCCCTTACTTATTCATGTATCTGTTAGCTATAAGATAAAGAAACGTGAACCGCACCATTCCTTCATAATTTCATTTTGCTGTGTGTTATCCACTGTATATAATATCTCTTTGTATACTGCTGCACACTTGTAATCCCTTTATTTGCCTCAACCCACCATTCATTTTGCTTGTTCCAATCCCTAGGGTGCTACTCACATCAAGTGTATTCAACTTGCGCTGTTCAAGAGTAGCAGCACAAGAGGTGAGGAGGAGCTGGCCATGGTCGCCACGGAAACTGAACCAACAGCAGCAGCATCAGGTAGTGGTTGCAGCACCAATAGCAATGTTAACAACAACACAGGCAGATTGGAGGTTGAAGATGTCCCACGGATGAATCCTGTTCTCTTCTCACATCTCTTTAGATAACACAGCGCCTTGCATGTAGTCTTGTACCCGTTGCACACGATGCGTCATTTGCCTTGTGGAGGATTGCATTTAATAGCTACTAGCGCTGCTTTTGACGTACCGTATTGATGGTTTGATGATTCATTTTACCTGACTGCTAAGAAAGTATGTGTATGCTTGTTATTAAGCAACCAGGATACCAACGGCTTTGAGTAATGAGGATTAATGCCTCACCCAAGGGCACTGGCAAATCCACTTTGTTTTAAACCTTGGACTGCTTAGTTTTAATACTAGCTGTTATTCCCTTCAAGGGCTTGATTCGCACAGATAATAATGCAATCGAAATGACGCCTCTAATTCAAGGGGCATTACACCTAATGTTGATCTATGGCAGTGATTGGTCTATGTGAGAAGTTTCCAACTTCCTGTATATTCTATATATTGTTTATATATATATATTTGATTTCTACATGTAGTGGATTTACCATAACACAAATGGATGTAAGATGCACTTGCAATGTGTGTTTAGTCATTATTTTTGTTGACTAATAAGAGCCACTATGTGCATGAAATAGATTATGTTGCCTTCCTTGTTTCACAATGGGAGTAAAGTTTGATGTAAACACGTCTGTACCGAAACAATGCAAGCAACTTTTTGCCATTCTCTTCCAGCCTCCCCCTCTCAATTATGTATTTGTATTGACTACAAGTGTGTGGATTTCAGACAGAAATAAGATGTGCCCTTTTTATTGCTTTTCCATTGCAAGTACTGATTAAAGGATTGTCTTAAAGGATGGGGGGTCAAATGTCATGAAATCTCAATAGCACCATGCATGTTGAGATGGTGCAGCCGGGGAAAGAGTGAATTAATTAAAGCTTATCTGTACTAGTTTATAGGAGGGATTAGAGCACCCTGCAAGGTCACTGCACAGGTGGTTATCTCATCAACTCAGCTCTCAAATAACATAAGAAAAAGAGGATCATGGGGGACCTATGGTCACCAATTAGGCATTGTTTTCTATATAGAGGGAGCAAGTAGCTACAAGTAGCACAGTGTGGCTTTAATATTGTTTGTGTTTATTTATCTTGACTTGGCTCCTCGCTGCAAGCAATAAAGAAGTATATCGCTACCAATCTCTACATTCATGCTCGCCACCAATACATGTGTGAGAAAGAGAGGGAGAGACACATAGAAAGAATCAGGGAGAGAGAGAGAGAGAGAGAGAGAGATAGAAATAGACAGAAAGATAGACAGACAAACACATTTGACAAATAACAGTTGCCTGACTTTGTGACCTCTTGACTTTGTAAGATGTTAATACAGCCCAAGACATACATAGAGGTGGACAAATTGTTATAGCTATGAAGGCTCATTCAGATAAGATGTGGTCACCTGCCACAAAAACAGCCACTGCGGGTTGTTTTAATCGTGTATTAAAATGAATGGCAACTGTATGCACGCAACAATGGGCTCTGAGCTCTGTGGTATAAGGTACAGAAATGTGAGGAGTATTTTAATTTAGGCCACCATAAAAAAAACTACCTCGGTCTTGCGGTATTATGTCTGAACAGAGCCAAACAGAGGAGAGGTTAAAGCCCCACTGTCCTACATGTACTTGTAGCTACTTGCACCCTCTATTTAGAAAACTTCCCCAATCGGTGCCTGTTGGTCCCCCGTGATCCTCTTTTTCTTATGTTAGTTGAGAGCTGAGTTAATGAGATAGCCACCTGTCAGTGACCTCACTGTGTGGTCTAATCCATTCTGGCCCAGTAGTATTGACGGTCTTTAAATGAAATATTTGTGATAGTCCATCTTCAATGTTCCAAAATTAAATTGTGAGTATAGCAAGACTGCGAAAACAAAGTGATATGAAAAACAACGATTGCCAATAAATTGTGTAGACATTGATGAAATAAGTAGAAAAAATAGCAGCACCTATCTTACTTCTTTTCCTTATTTTGTAATTTCTAAAGGAGCTGTCCAATATTTCATAAGCATATCTTAACCCAAGTATTATTTATTCACATAATGCATTTACCTGTATGTTTATAATCACCAGGTAATTATTTTGTAAGCTTTTGACTACAGAGTTCTGTCATTACCATAGGCTTAGCACAGGGACCAGCTGGTGCCCCTAGGCAATTGGTCCTACTTTATTATTTCTTTGATGTGAGTCACTTTCAAGCGGCAAGGGTTGTAACAAATCAAACATTTCAGACATAGCACACTGTCAATCATAAGCCCACTGGCATCCATTTTGTTGATGCCAATTTGATGTGAATAATTATCTTTTACAAGTTTAGAATTCATCAGCAGCAAAGTTGTACTCTAGTTTCCTCCTTCATACACCCTTCCATGAACTGACTGTACCAATATTTTTATGATATGATTTTTGTAGGTGCAATATACATATACTTTGTTATGTATTTGATAAAGACAATTATTATTTTCACTTGTATTCATGTTTTAGGTTCATGATAGCTGAATTATCTGTACTTCATGTACTCCCCCCCCCCTCTTTTTTTTTTTTTTGTGGGGGGGGGGGGGTACACCTATCAATATAGCAGGTAGTGGTAATATAAATAGACAAAAATTAGACTAAGATTTGTCATGTTATGCATTTTTAGTCCCATTGTGTATGCAGAATATGTCTGTAACGGTTAATTTACCCTGTGTACACTGGATTATTAAAGGTACTTGTATTAACTTAGAAATACCTATATTTTGTGCACTTGGAAAAATAAAAAAGCAGAATGGCAATCAGACATTATAATTTTGTGAGTTCTGTCCACTGCAATGCTGTTTATAAATTACTTAACCTACACACACACACACACACACATGTACAGTAAACTTTTTTAAACTTTTATTTACTAAATGTAAACGTACACTCATATTTAACTCGACATGCTCATGATTACCATCTTAATAATCCCAAACTTAGTTTAGCCCTACGATCAATTAGACACCATGTACCAGATATTTGGAATAACTTATCAAACCATATTAAAACTAGGACCTCCCTGTATTCTTTTAAAGCTTATTTGAAAGCATATTTGTTAACTAAGTATAGTTTACTAGATCTTACATAGAAATTTAAAAATTATCTAATTTGTTATGTCTTGAATTGTTCTGTCTTTGTTTGTCAACAGAAATGGACCCTGCATACATTTAATATTGTCACCAGTTACTGAAACCAACACACAATTAATGTCACGGTATTAGTCTCTTTTTATTCCACCCAAGCTAAATTTTTGCACCTTGCACAAATGCACTTCTCAACACGAAATATTTCACTAAATTTGTTTTGTTACTTTCGCTCAAAATTAATTCAGCCATGCTCACTTTTAATCACTTCAATTATATCTTATTTAACATTGAATACAATGCAGTTGCATGGGTTGTTCTTTTATTTTGTTAACTCGGCAGAGGCCACGGTCATGTTCAAGCATTTACGCTTACGACATGTGGTCTCCTGCTTTTTCCTTTTGTATGAAACTTTTTATTTTAACTAGAAACAAATTTTGTCAAACTTACATGTTATTCATTATATTTATTTGTATGTTTCTTTGTATTGATATGAAAAAGTGGAAATAAAACAAAACAAAACAAAACAAAGTATGGCAGGAACTAGCTATCTACTATTGATTATGCTTAATTTTCAGTGTATCTTATCTTTTGTTATAGAAAGAAGATGACTGACAATGCCACATTTTTTTTATCACTTTATATTTTGATTTTAAGGAGGGTTGAATTTGCAGTCATTTAATGCGTGTCAAATCAAAGGTTTGTAAATCTACTGGTATGTGTAAAGTGTACTACTTTAATTAGTGGACCATACCCTACATGTATAAATTTAAACTCAAACATGCTGTATTGTGGGAATTATAAATTGCATACAAACGCGGCATGATAGCAGATGACTAATTCTTGGTTATTTGTGTGTGAAGCTGTCGGTGTCGATCCCTATCAGTTGGTGCTTAAGACAAAGAGTCGAGTTCAAAACTAATCAATCGGGTCATCATGGAAATGAGTAATGCTCTGTATGTCCAAGTTCAGTTTGTTACTTTTGATACCAGAGTGCAGATATTGATACTATATCTGCATGACAATAGCTGTACTTCAGAGAGGATGAAGATAAAATCAGTTTTACTGAATGATATTCGTCCTTACACATTCAAGGGTAATCCTACCTTTTTTTATATGTTCATTTGTGCAAAAGCACAAAAAAAAAAAGAAACAGAATGGTGAAAGTTTGGAAGAAATCCAAGAAATTGTAAGAAAAGTTATGAATGTCTGAAATATGAGTCCTCTAAAACTATTCAAATCTCAAATTGGCAATGTTGTCAGTGAATTGTGACATATCCATGCTCAACTCTGCTCTTTTGTCGTGTGGTCTTGTGGGATGTAGCCACAATTGCCACCTACCACTCGTGAGTGTTACACAATGGGAACATTCAAATAATGCTGTGCCTTTGATTTGCCAACTCAGTTTGCGCTGTTACTGAAGTTTGATTATTCTGATGTTACGATGTACATATCTACAAAATATATATATGTTTCATTCTCTTGAAAGAGTACTTCCATACATTGCTTTTGTGAAAAGGCATGAAATATGTGTAGATATTTGCTAATTTAACAAATAAAGAGTAGGTTTTTGTAATATTAACTACAATTATTACATTTGTTGCATATGATGCCCAGACATTTTTGCTTTGCAGTAGTCTCTTTGAAGATAGTCGACACCTATCTTACCATTTTTGATTAATGATTGTACACCATGTGTATGCCTGAACAAACGAAGGCCATATGATGATTTATACTTTATACCTTCACTTGCTTATTTCTTATTTGCAGAACTCCTTCCCTTCCCCATCTTTTGAAAGAGAAGTAAACACTACTTTTGCATCATTATATATTCAGACGCGGATAATTCCTATTTTTTCTTTAATGGAAAGTCTTTATTTATATTTGATCTTGCATAGCATTTGTATTACATTTGTAGGGTTAAAACTGGAAAGATATATGCTTTATGTGCATGAGCCCTTCTCTTCATTTGAAAGAGAAATAGAAAACTACTTTTGTATTATTTCATTCAAAAGTTTATTCATGTATTAATATTTTTTTTTCATGGAGAGTCAATGGTAACATTTATCCTTTTTTCAGTAGTATTTTCATTATATATGTAGGGTTTAAAATACAGAGAGATATGAATTGTTCTTATATTATGTAACAGATTTGATTTCCATTTATCATTCAAGTTGTATTGGTAATTTATTTCAAAGTAAAATAAAAATGTTAAATATATGTTTATAGATTTGTATCCTGTAAAAATGTTGCGATGATTAAATGGTTTTCCGCATCTACTGTAGGTATAAAGGAAGACTTAACATATTTGTTCCACATGCCAACATTTCTCACATGGATAGAATTTGTATAGGTCATAAAATACACAGAGTGAGTTATGAGGTATTCTTTTCTATGCAATGTCTCTTCAGTTTTACCTATCGGGAGCTTAAGATTACAACTGCATTCGTCCTTCCTTATGAAGATGATTGGTTCCAAGAAGACTTTTTCGCAGAAAAAAGGAAAATTTAACATGGAGAAGCAATTGTACCATACAATGCAATTATGCAGTAATGCAATTATGCTAAGTAGAATTAGACAGTAGGCCTTTTAAAAAGGTATTTATGCTTTCATCACTTTCTGCTTTATTTGCAACATCTCTGAGTTGAATAAACATATGATACAAATAATACATTGAAAGGCCTTTTATTTTGTGTCTGCAATACATATTTTGTGAAGATGATTCCTTTATTTGTGAATGTGTCTATTTTATGACTAAAAACACCTCAATCCTTTTATTATAAATAATAATAATAATAGTGTAAACTTATAGAGCGCACACACCGTCCAGGGACGCTCATGGCGCTAGCTCAGCAACAGTTCTCTTTGATACA